CGTACGACGCGACGTACGCCGGTACGGTCCGGGTCCGGGGGTCGGGGGCGGGCGGGGTAGGGTCGGAGGGACGGACGGACGGTACCGTCCCTTTTACGGGAGGGAAACGGGCGGGGGTAGCGGGGGAGGGTTGAGCCAAGAGGGGGGAATGCAAAACGGGGGAGGGAGCCAGAGTGCTAGCGGCGCTGTGGCGGCTAGTGGCAGTGAAGGGATGGAACTGCGTGAGAGTCTACCGAAGGTTTTGGCGGGGGGGCCGGGGGGTGGGGTCGAGGCCTTGTCAGAAGGTCACGCGACATCGGAGGGCAGTGCAGAGTCTGCCAAGCGGCTCAGAAACGGGGCCTCAGGTGCAAGCGGAATGCACGCTGAGAGCCAACGAGAAGAGACAAAACACGCAGAGCACCCCGTTTCGAAACCGGGGGCTCCGTCCGCAGCTTTACCACCCCCCCCGAAAGCTGCCCAGGAAGCTCCCCCAGCGGGCGGCGCTCAGGCCGAGCCCGAGAAACCACACCCTCTTCCCGAAAAGGGGGGTCCGTCTAGCCCGGCCCCAACCCCCCAGACTGAATCCGAGCCTGAACACCAAAAACCAGGGGGTGCGTCTGGCCCCTCCTCGACCCCCCGGAACGTGTCCGAGTTGACCGAGTCCCTCCTGGCGATCGAGAAGGACGCCCAGATGGTCGACGTGGCAGACGTGCTGAGTCAGCTGGTGACGGCATGCACCCCAATCGCGCAGTACAAGCAGCTGACGCTGGAGCACGTGGGGCCCCCACCTGGCGCCCTGCCGTTGGTTGCTGCGGAGCCACACGCGGTGCGCCAGGTGCTTAGCATCGTGCTGGATAATGCGCTCAGGTGAGAGTGCCAACAGAAACTTCGTATTCAGGTCCATTTGCGAAGCGCTGTTTACTTTGAAGATCGACATCCTGTTTTCCCTTCGTTGCTCATGCACTGTCATTTGTAAGTTTTGAGGTCGACAAGCAGACTAGCTTTCTCGCGCGTCAGAAGTATTTCGAAGCGACAATACCAGCCTGAGCGTTTTCTTCGATCGTTTCGATGCTTTGATGCTTCACGCAAACCCTGTAACCCGGCCTGGGTAAAGGCGTTTAGTCAGGACGAACTGCGCTTTGTTACAAGGGCAACCAAGCAACCGCTGGCTCAGTCTGCATGTGATGAGACTCTTCTCCCGTTGGCAGATATACGCAGCGTGGCGGCTGGGTGCGCTGCGAACTGGTGGACGCGTCGGGCGCCGGCGTGTTCATGCGGGTGGAGGACGACGGACCCGGAATGAACCTCCTGGTGAGGACAAACATTGTTGATACAACGACCGCGCTCAAACCTCTCCAAAATTCTGGACCTTCCGATCCACTGTTTCAGCCGCTTTCCTCTGCCAGGTGATTGTCGGGGTGAGATCTTCACACATCTGATCTTGCATAAAAGCAACCTTTGTCCAAGGAAGCTCTGGAGACCTGCATAAGACGATGGCCGGCACATTTTTTTCCGAGATACCGGGTCTGATGTGAAGTTGACGCATATCCTGGAGAAGGATGATTGAAGCAGAACCCAGAGCTCAATATCGACACCGCTAAGAATGAGAATGGTGTGGCAGGGGTTCGTCTGCTCCGGACGAATATTATCGTTTGGGTGAGTTCATAATTCTGTTCCCTTTGTCTTCTTTGTTCCATGTGACTTCTCCTCTTCTGTCTTGAACCCAATACAGAACTTCGCCACGTGCTACTCTGGATGCTTTCCAATGCGGAGGCCAATATATGTCGTAGGCGGTCTTGACAGCTCGGATCGCCCGAAAGATACTCATCAATTTGTTGGATGCTTGACGTACAGGCTCAGGCGCAGGCGTTCGTCCCGACTCCCGAGGTGCAGCTCACCTCCGGGGGGGGCCAGCTGCCCGCCCAGTTGGAGAGCCAAAGGCAGAGCAGCGGCCTGTCGATTGCCCGGGACTTGGTGGAAATAATGGGGGGGGTGATGCGGATACGGTCTCCTCGGGTGGCAGACGCTCCGGTCGGGCACTGGGGCACAAATGTCGAGATCTGGTTGCCGACCGGGAAGGAGAAGGAGGGGGAGACCGGGGAAGGGGACCCTGTGCTTGCTGGCAGCAGCAGTGGCCAGGTCTGTGAATAGAATGGAAGGCACAGTTGCTTGTCAACAATGTGTTCGGCTATGATGAGCTGTTTGACCGGGTCTCGTTTCTGCCCTCGAGTTCATGGTTGATCGATTTGAAGAAGGTAGGATCTCGTCACGAGGCATATATGTACATGCTTGCAGTAAGCTCTCCTTCACATCCATGTAGCTCGGTATACTTAACTGCAATTGTAAGCATGCCTTTGCACTATACTGCAAGTCCGACCAGCAGGCCCTATTCTTCAAGATAATGATGAAGGATGCTACCTTGGCCGGCCGGGTGAGGCCAAGATCTCATGGGACTCCGTGCAAACAGGAAGGGCCGCCCGATCTTTTCGAGTATACATGCGTATATAGGTGAAATTAGTCGTCAACTATAGATTACAACTTTCTACAACATATGAGGGCGTCTGTGCATATCAATCAAGGTTTAATCTTAGTGATGCTCGAGCCACACTCGACTTGAACCCCAATTGCATGGTGTACTAGATACAAGGCAATGGATTTTCACGTGCATGCACATATACATGCCAGATGCACATGATTCCTTTCAGTAGTGAAGTTCACTCATACATGTCATTCGTATCACAATGATACCTTTGAGCAAGTTGAGGCGGTCTCTATAGCTGTACTTGAAATACCATTCAGGCATCAGTTGCGTGACATAATGTCCATGCAGGCCAGTGCCTACGATGCGTGCGCTTGCAACCCCCAGCTGCTCTCTTGGACTTGCCTGCCATTATGCGTGCTGATTATGATCTTCAATACGGGCCTGACAAGTCGTCATTTGATCGAGATGAATGCAATGTCTATTGCACAGAAGTTGAACTCTGGAATGAGCACTATATCTCAGCAATTCACGAGTCTACTCGTCAGGTAAAATTACAACCTCTACAACGAGACAGTCGTTCGCCCTAGCCAAAGGCTCACTTACTAGCTCATGATAGCTAAAGTTGTGTTCGTGAAACTCAAATCCGTAGGCGTGATCTTTGTCAAACTCCTGGTTATCATCGAGTTTATATTCAAGCTCTTTATCCTTCAAGAGCACACGCACGGTGCAGCTTGCCGTCAGAACTTCATCTGGAAAGTCGCTCTGCCCTGGTGGACAAATAGCTTCAAGATAGATACCATCTTGATCCAGGAACACATTCCACCAGCGAGATTCAGGATAGCAGAATGTGTAGATCAGCATCGACTCTTTCTTCAGCTTCTCAGTCACCCTCACAAATCTGAACTGCGCTGTGCAGCTCTTCTGGTCCGCTGACCGCGTCACCGTAACACCAGGGGTTAACGCCTCCAGCGCATGAACAAGCCGTTTCAGGTTCCAGTGGCGGGCCTGATCGAGCAACCGCTGATCCCGCTCTGTGGGAGCAGTCCCTGTCGCCAAATGTTCCAAGATTGCTGCCCATCGTTCGGGGTGGCAGTTGACGAGAGCCCGGCCCTGCTCATCTCGCGCATAATCCCACTCGCCATTGTACATCTTGTTGAGCAACGACTCCGGTTCCGACTCTAGATAACTCCGAGGAACAGACCCTGACTGTCCCGTTCCGGCCAGAACAAAGCTAAACTGGTTTCCGTTTTCTGCTTTCCTTGCTCCAGCAGCTTGAGCCTCCCTCAATGACTCATCTTTTGCTGCCAAGCTTTTCTGAACGTCGTCCATTTCGCTCGTCAATGCATCCCTCTCCTTTTTGAAAGATCTGTCCTGCTCCTCGCCGTGTTGCTTTGCCTTCTCTAGTTCCCCTTCGAGCCGCTTCACCTCTGCCTGTAGCCCAGCGAACGCCTTGGCTGCAGCCTGCCACTCGTCGACCGCCCTCTTGCAAGCGAGCTCGCCCTCCGCTGTCAACACCTGGGCCTGGGAGAGGGTGACCGGCTGGCTGCTTGCCAATGTTTTTGCACAGGCAGCTTCATCCTCCTGCACTCGGCGCCTCTTCAGCGACGCTGAGGACAGGGTCTCCCTACCTGTCCCAGGCATTTTAGCCGTGCTCTCTTTCCAGAGGGGATATTTTCAGCGAACTCCCATGGAAATGCCTAAGTTGCGCCCTGGTTGCGCCCCTTGGAAAGGTTGTAATTGATCAGAACGGTTCTAACGACTGAGAACCCTGCCAGAGAGGCAGGCTGCACAGAAATATGTGTGAGACTAGGGTGTGAGACTAGGTATGCGAGACTATGCTAGCAGAATTTTGAACGATTTGGCGGGAACACGAAAGTAGCAGTACGTCCGGGTTCAATGGACGTTGTCTGAAACGGCGCGGCGTCTCAGTGCAGAAAGGCCCCGCCGTTCTGCCAACCGCTGCCGACTTTCAAGTTTCAAGTGAAAGTGAAAGTGAAGGGTGAAGTATTGTTCCCCGCAGAACTTCGCTGCTTGAACTTGAAGTTGCATCAGCTGCACCATGCTGGCACTGGCACTGGCAGCCTGAATTGCAGTCCACTGCACAAGGCAACCCACTGCATTGCCTGGAGGCTGGAGCCAGCTAGCATAGGTATTGGAGTAGCGGCTACATGACATGAGAGGAGTTGGTATAGCGGTAGTCACGCGTGTTCTGTTCGACCAAGCGCGCAGGTTAGGAAGGATGGAAGCAGCAATAGCCAGCATTGAGATCCTGTTGGAGAAAGCACAGGCGGATTTGGAGGTGAGTTGTGAGAGCACGTATGGACTTTCAGCCCAGCCATATTCACTTCTGTAGTTGAGGCTGTGTGTGATGACACGAAATCTCGAGCTGTTGAATGCCAGCTCTGATCCAGGCGTTCCTGTACAGGAGAGACTTTTGTTTCTCAGGCGTTTCAGAGTGATTGCAGCTCGTTCATTTGGTGGGACTTGAACCTAGAAACCGCATGCAGTATGACAACAGCCTATCCTACTGCAGTTTGTCGCTCAGAAACTGGAGGAAGAATTTGAAGAGAAGTTTTCAAGAAGCGGGGTAAGTATCAGATAATCTTCTGATTTTGAAGGAACGCGAAGACTTCTATGCGCACTTCTCAGAAGTTTGCAGCTTGCATTGCCCTTACTATCTGGCATACTCAAAGAGCTTGGCAGTCCTGTGTACATGCTCGGAGAAGTAGCTGATTGTCTGGACATCGCAGGTCCAAAATGCTCTGGTGTCAGTCCTTGTCTATGCTATTGGGATCTGGGCAACGACCAACACTTCAATAGAGAAAAATGTTTGCCTTAACAATTACACAAGCAGCTCTGCGACTTTAGGTGAACCCAATCAAGCTGGTAGCAAGACTGAAGAAGATCCAGGAGGAGCTCCCCCAGGTCAAAGCGGAGAGCGAAAATATCCTGGCTGCAAAACAGGTATGGCCATGCTGGGCGTTTATACTTGGATAGAGTGGCTCTGAACCTTTTGAGTCCGGTCTTCTGACCTTATTACTTGCCAGTTGCCCTGCTTGCAAGCTAGCCTGATTGCAAGCTGGAACCATAAGCGTCGGTAAAGTTGGACCAGTTCCTGAGACGGAATGGTTTCGCGCAGTCGGATCCATATGTCTTCGACTGAACAAAAAGAATGAAGAATCAAGCTGTGCAATACTAGGTTAATGGAACATAACAACGGTTGCTATTTCGATTTTATTTCGACCAAGTGGGCGTAGATTTTCTGTTTCGAGCATGGAAACCAGCACGTTTTTCTTGCTAGGAGACTTCGAGGCATTCTGGTCATATCTGAGAAGTCCACACTTTCTGCCTGTCTTGCTTCTCTAGGAACATTCCACTTTTTTGCTGGAACAAAATCGATCAAAAACTCGTACATTCTGTTGCCGTCATCGTGCCTCTCAATAAGAAATTTGAGGGGGCTTTTGGAATCACTTCCTGGAGGATCTGATCGACACTGCCAAGCAGAAAGTCGATCAGAAGACTCGTACATTCTGTTGCTGTCATCGCCTCTCACTACAAAGATTGAGGGGACTTTTGGAAGCGCTTTCTGCAGGATCTGATCGATACTGCCAAGCAGAGCATTGTGACAAATCGGGACCTCTTGAGGCGCCTTCAGGGTCGAGCAGGCATGCCGGTTGTGCCAGATTTCGAGGACGGAACGTATAGAGCCTTCTCAGAAGCATTGCAGGAGTGGGACTCTCAAGTCGGCTTACATACAGGTACCTGCTTTCTTCACATTTCTCATCTTGTTTTTCGCTTTGGTTTGAGATGTGCTTCTTCTCTTGAATCAGAGTTTCTGCTAACATTCTACTTGGTCTATTGTCATCCGTTTCAAGGGCAACCATGTATGGGCAAATTGGACAGAAGGCGACACGAATTCTATAGTTGTGAGTTCCATCTCGTAGGGTCACAATCCTGACCCTAGAAAGAGGGGAATCTGATTTATAGTCACTTATCTGGTCTCAACTGACAGCTTTCGCATGCCTCTCCTTGCAGTGCAACGAAATGTGTCTGCCAATGGCAAGGGGCTGATACAACCCCAAGACCTAAATCTGGAGCTTTTTAGATCATCAAGAAGGGGCCAACCTTGAGACTTCGAACATGTCGATGTTCTTAAGTCAGCCTCAACATTTCAGCTCTTGATAAGCGTTCAGGCCTATACCTTCTGAGTGTAAGGAGGTGCAAGTACATCATGGCAACGACCTGTGTTTCGAACTTGCTGATCAGGTTTCCCGTTCAGTCCTCCATGTTAGCGGTCAGCGAATGATACTGGTGTTACACCAAGGGGAATCAGTCTCGAAAAAGAAGGGTACTACCCATCAACCCACTTCAGAGTCGACATTTAGTTCGATACGGTATGAATTCTATTCAATTGAATCCCGCTAGTTATCATGGAGCTACCGTTCATGGTTGTAACTTCTCATCTGTTAACCATCGCCCTTACGCACGTTAAAACCATTGTGCACGGTCTCCGTGATGTTTGGCTGTTTAATTGTTGACTCTACAGCTTGAAGCAACTACCAGAATCTGACCCCACGACTCAGGACCTATATCAGAACTCAAATCTCTATGCAGACGAGTCAAGCTATATGCCAACGAGATGACAGCTTTTACGATATATCAAGTCCCGGACTCATCGATCTCCAAGCCTAGCTTGGATGAATCACGCATGAAAGCAAGTCAGATGTCACGTCAGAATTAGAGCAACGATCGCTATTATACAGCTTTGTTTTACAAATTTCACACAGCTGAAGCACCTAGACAAAGAATAAGTCTATGGTTAGTCATCTAGCCAATGCAGCTTTGCTCCCCGGCCGCTCAAAGTCCTTTCATCGCCTACACGGATAGCCTTAAATGCGCTATCATATAGGGCCTTGTCTTTCCCCTTATAATCGACTGCTCGCGCCTTCTCTTATATGATGCAAAGCAGATCTCCTACATCAATTGCAAACAACCAAGTCTTTTTCCAACCCCTGCCTTTCGGGCCTTCACCTCACTCTATCGACCCCTTCTCAATTGGTCTATTCCTGGCAAAAGGCAAGACTAGACTACAACCAATTCCTCTAATATATACATGATCACCATGCTACAAGAATGACAACTCTGCTACCGCCGTCTAGCATTAGCTGCCTCGTCCTTCAATCCAGTCATCTGTACACGCCTCGGACGCTGCCGCAGTCCTCAACACAAACCTCCCTAGCTCCCACGCTCCACCTCCTCGGTGGGAAACTCAAATAAGGAAAACCTGGCCCGCAGTTGAAGCACCTTGGCCGGGTCGACATCAAGCGCCACACCGGTCAGAAGCCAGTACCCCGGTTGCCGATCAGGCCCCCGAGTCAAGCTGGCAAGCCTGACGTACCTACCCAGCTTCGACTCCTGCTGACGCTCGCGGTCGACCTCCCGCTCGTCAGACTCGTTCCCTTCGCAGGAGGTCGTCGTCGACCCCTGAGTCTCAGCCACACTTACGCCACTGAGAGACGACAACGTCGGCAAGCCCCTGCTAGAGCTCCCGGAAGGGGTCCCCGTGCTTGCGGAAGGGGTCCGCCGAGAGGGCTCCCACTGGGAGGTGATTAGCCGCGCCCCCTCGAGGACGGAGTAGTGGCCCTTGATAGACAAGACCGGAGCGCTGTCCCCGGGCTTGGCCTTGGTGATGGCTAAACGGGCGCCTGTGAGCACGTGGACCTTGCCCTGCTGCTGCTCCGAATAAGAAACCTCGGCGCAATCCACCTAGGAATGTAAGAAGATGGGCTGCTTTAGTAGACACAATCGAGTGATCGCGCCCTCGGTGTTCGGGTCTCGGAATCTAGGCGTGAGATCCTGGAGGGGGTTCACTTCCGAACAAACCCTTTCGCGAACCAAGTGGCCTTCCTGATTCCTGTCGAAAAGCCGTTTTGAAGTTTTCCATGTTTCGGAGAAACTTGTTAGCATTGCGGAATCCGCCTGACGTCGACCAATCTGTTGAAATTAGGTCGCAGGCGGTGCTGCCTTTCTGATGACAATATGCAGGACATCGTTCGGGGGTAACAAAGTAAGTAAAACCAACGGTTTTTTGAACACCCGTCTTGATATCCGGGTCATAGTCCCCGAGGATTACCTAGATGCTGACCACTGAACTTTCAAATGGTCTCTTCATTAATGCTGACTTCATTCTGACCATGAAACAAATGAGGAGCACAACTACAAAACGTCAAAAAAGTAAAGTCACAACGCGTGTAAAACGAGTGTCGTCGCCGGTCGTTATGCAAGGTCGTAAAGTAGTTGGTCTGGTTCTTAGGAAGAGCGACTCTTCCTGCGCTCCAGATCCGTCAACATCATCCACGTACGCGCGCAGTTTCCGCCCTATGCATCATTGCGCGCCCGCTCGAACAACGAAACTCACGTTCATGCCTTTGAATTTGACATAGCGCGAAAGCGCGCTTCGGCCTGGGTGCCACTCGCCGCCCTCCATCCGGCTGGCAAATCCGGCGCGCACCAGAATGTCGGGCAGCTGGTTGGTGCGCTCAATGCACAGCTCGAGCGTGTCGTTGTCAATGCCCGTGATCCAAAGTTTGATGCCAACCGGCACGCCGCCTGTGAAGCGTACCTGCACACACAATACGTGGACTTGAAGCTTCCACATGGCAGGCTCGGTTCAATCAGGGCTCAATCAGCCTCTGTTGACGTCACGATGACCAGAAGGCTGTGGCCTTGATGGCCAGGTTGCTTCCATAAGTGGTAGTCCTGGTGAATAACCACCAGCGAGAAGACGCTTGCTTGCATTCAAAACTTCGAATCTGCATGCGGTTATCAGGTAAAAATAGGTGCATTCAGTCCGGCGCACATGCATAATGCCAAAGCCGTTATCCTGAATGCTGGTCGAAACGATGGCTTTGTCTGGAGACAAAGCCATCGAGTAACGAGTAACAAAGCTATCAGCAGACCAAGGAAAGTGTGGAGAATTAATTCGAAACTAACAGTCGTCAGACGCCTGCTGGGCTGGCGCTCAGGACTTTGAGTGCCTATTGGCTTGTGTGATTCAGGACAATGACTATCAGGACTTTCTCGTTATCTGTAGTCAAGTGATCATGCTTTGTTGCGCCCGTATTGAAGGCTACAGCATGGAAGTGCCTGTCGGCGAGTGCAATGCAACGCGTTAACGCTGCTCGCTGATATTATTTAGGCTCCGTAATGGCAGGTATTGTAATCAATTCTCGTACTGTACATTTGTGAATTTCAGAAGCACAAGGAGCGGGTGTTGGCAGACTCACAGGATCAGTATTGACGTAGAACCTCCGGGCCATGCCAAACCGCGACATCTCCTGGAACAGAAACTCGCTGCCAGCCTTGACGGATACCGGGCTCCCTGCAGCACCGGCCGTTCCTAGCTCGGTCTCGCTGACGTACTGCCTCCAGGTTTCGCTGGTGGCCTGTGACGTCTGCTTGACGCGTTGGAAGTCGAGGTACGCCGCCAGGTCGAAGTGGGGCACCCGGCTCAGCGAAAAGGGGGTGCCCGAGCCATCGACGACTTGGTTCAAGCACCACCGGTTGGCGGCTGCAGGGAGAATGACACTGTTCAGATGCCGCGGAGGGGCCGCGGAAAGGATGGGCTGCGAAAGTGTTGGGTTTGGGTTTTGTGGCGTAACCAATAATTGGGCAAGGTGATTGATTAAGATTGCAATGGTAGGACGCAAGCTGACCACAGGAAAAGATCGAGGCTGGCGATGATCGGAGCCCCCTCCAAGCGGGTCCACCGAGGTGGTTCCTCGTACGCCAACACATCTTTGGACCAGTCTTCGCCAAAGGTTTCATTGTCTAGCACTTTGTCGAGATACGAGGGCATTGATGGACGATCGAAGCGAACACTTTCACGAGCAACAGAGCTGCTCGGTCCCTACTTGGTCCAGACCAATAGAAAACGCGCATCTGATTCAACCGGAAGCAATCAACTGAACCCCTAAAGGGATCCGGGGCGGCACCGGATGAACACCCAGCTGTCTGAAACGGCCCTGAAGCTCCCCAACAGCAAAACGTACTCACAAACTCGACGAATAGTCATCCGGTACGTACCTGCTTGGATCCACTTTATCGCATCTTCGAGAAGACGCCGCCGGGCCTCGTCTCGGACAAGCTCGCTCTGCAGGACGGTAGTGGCGGTAAATACCACGGCGTCGTCCGCAGTCCCATGTTCGTCGGCTCTTGTCACCTCCTCCTGCGGGAGAGTCACACACATGTGTGGACCAGTCCAGAAGCCTGTACGGAGACGTGGGGCAGAGTAGAACGCGGTGGTCAGCCCGGATGTCCCACAGCGCTGGACTGGTACTTTCGTGTCAAGTCATCTTTATCTTCATGGTAAGGAGTTGGCTGACCCTTTGGGGATAGTTGGCTCCGCTTCACAGTGTGATTCACAAGGTTGGACTCAATTTTGCAGGAGGGAAAATGGAAGCACCACGGGGCAAGCTGATGAAGTTGGCACATAACGTGCCTGTTCAAACGGAAATCAATTAGCAGCTTTGAGGACCTCTGTTCGGGGGATACCTGTTCGTCCTTCGTGCTGAAATGTACGCAAAACCGATCATTAATGTTTCAATTGAGAGCCCTGCAAACAAGAATTCCTGATTGTGGAAAGACTGATGAAGATTAGCTGCAACTCCTGGGCAGGTCAGATCCAACTAGCGGGGGTGCTTATGCTGGTGATTGCCTGTCCGTGCTTGAAGTAAAGTGGCGTAAACCTCAAACAAGCATCATGCCAGGTTGTATTCAGACTGTTGACAGGTGGAGCTCAAATGCAATCCGAACATGGGCCCAACATATCAGCCCCTCCACTCGACCCGTAAGCTTACCTTGTGCTCTCCTGACGCCGCAGCCGAGCTGCCGAACTCGACGCCGGCAGAGAGACCGGTTCCGTCCGGCGTCGTGGCCCCCAAGCTTGCTTTCGTGTTGGTCGCCGCACGTCGACCTCCGAGTTCCTCAGTCTTGCTCCCCGACTGCTGCCGAAGTGTGCCCACGTTCACAGCCATCACAACGACAAGGCCGGTCTCGAGGATGTGTTGTGCCAGCACGCGCGCGTTCCAGGTTCTTGGGAGGGCCGCTTCCAACTCTGGGATCATGCCCAACCTGACACACAGAAAAGCGTATATTTGTGGACCTAGCAATCTGCATGTTCAAAGCGCAAGAAACCTATACTGTTCGTTGGTAGGCACTAAGAAGCTCGAGAAACCTATCGTTTTCGTTGTTAAGCACTAGCCTGTATATCTGCATGATAAGGAGGGCGCCGATTCTGAGATGAGCTGAGTTAGAACTGACGTTCGCAAAAATTACGCGGCACCTGACGGCGTACTCGCTCTATGAATGCAATCGAAACAAGACGAAAGGCTGTTTAGACAGTTGCAAGCGCCAAGAAGTTTGGCACCTTTAATCGTGGCAATCAATCTATTGGCAACAGCTATCCAAAAGTCACCCGATCGCAAAGCCAGAGGATTGGAAAGCAAACGAATGAAATCTTGTGAGCTGTAATAGAGCGTTAGACAATCTTGTCACAAGCAGAGGCGATAAGAGCGTTGGTAGTCAGGTGCAAGTCTTACTTGGTGCCGTCCTTTAAATCGGAGTTGCACAGACTAAGACTGGACAGGAAGTTGTCCTCTTCGCAGAAGTCATGTGACGACAGCTGCATCCGCAGCTCGGCATGACCCCTGGAATGGCCCGCGCCAATGGTGACACTGTGGATCATTGCGCCCGCTGTCAGTGCAGATGCACTACCAGAGGCAGCCTGCAAGAAAGGGGAGAGAGGATGGGTAAACAGCATGGATCCTGCTTTCACAACATTCAATAGGATGTCTCGCTTGCGCCTCATGCCGCACATTCGCTCCCCGCCTCGTCTTTGACCTTGGCTTATTTATAGCTGGACATCTCATCAGCACGATAAAACAGGTCTGCGCAGGTTCCGGCATGACTCCTTCTGCTACACATAGCTCTCTACACACTCAAAAGATGCGTGAAAGGAAGTCTAAAACGTTGTCCTGCGATTGGGAGTCCTTGAAACCATCCTCTGACAATGGGCACTTTTTGAAACAGGGTAGACTACTGTAGCTTACACCTCGCTGCTTTTCTGTCGGCACTTTTGGAGGTTTTGGCACCGGCCTTGACTCACACAAGATTAGAGCAAAGGAAAGGAAGCAGAGAACCATGTGACTGATCCAACCGCAAACCATAATTCTGGATCATTCTTCTCCGGATCCGTAAGCCAACAAGGGTTTCCAACAAGTAGAGAATCCCCACCTCCTTCTTGCCCTCTGCATGCTCTATTGTGACCTTCTTGTGCAGGCTCGTGTGATGCCTAACGTTGGCAGGTAAGTGTTCAAGCCGCCCTTTGCAGACCTCCACTGTTCTCAGGACTGGCGAGAGATGGACCAGCGGCTTGTTCAGCTGAGCCGAAGGCCTGAGCTCTGGGAAGCCAGTCCCGCAGCCTAGGGTGTCGCAAAGGGGGGACGCTACCTGTATGAGAGATGCCTCAATCTGACTCCCTGGCAGGTAATCCTGAAAGCGGAGCAGGTTCAGAGCAAATGCTTGGATGAGGCCCCCAAAGTATCAGAACAGTTCTGACAAAGGGAAAAGCTCTCTTACACATGTGCAGTCAAAGATTTGCCTGAAGCCAGCAATGGGTGGAAGCTGGACAATCATAAGGTGCCTGTGAAGCAGACTTTGCAGTCACCTTACCCATGGGTTGCTGAGCTCTCTGCTGTGATTGATTGGTGAGCTCAATCAATCACTCCGCAAAGCCAAGCCGACAGCTCACACCAAGATGGTCACAAAAAAATTGCAAGCCAAGTCTCTCGCTGGGACGTTCCCCTGACATTCCCGGTGTTCAGGTATGATGAGCAGTGCATTGTCCACATAGGAAGGTCCAAAACCTAAGCAGCGTCCCAAAACCCTCGAAGTGCAGGCTGCTTGGGCAGTCAAAGTCTCGGTGCTGTGAAGACTGACCTTGGTTTCATCACGACGAAAAATCCTTCTGACCCGGTTCAAGAGGGCCTTGACCCTGTCCATTCCGCTGGGTTGCCGCCTTCCTGTAAGCTGAGGGGGAATACAGCGTCAGTGCGCTAAAATAAGTCAGGGTTTTGATGGAATTCAAAAATATCAGAAGAGGTCAACATAGTAAAGACCTAGCTGGAAACGCTTCTTCTTTGCCTGGACGATGCCTTGAATCTTCTTATGGGAGTTCTTACACAACTTGCCTTCAGACCAGGCCCGTCCTTATGTGCAATAGCTTCAGTAATCCAGAAGGGACTGACAACCCTCTGCATGTCGAGTAACATGTTAGGCCACATGGTCCAACATTCTGAAGTGCATGGCCTGTACATGAATCCAAACATTATGTTACTATCGTTCACAAGTGGTTTATTCAACTTTGTGCAGTATCCTTCTGGCCTGTCCTTGGACATTTCAGAGGAAAAAAAGTTAGAGGGAAGCCCATCAAACCAGAATAAAACACCCTTCTTGCGAATGAGCTTACCGTCAGACACTAGTAACATTCAACGCTCTCTCCAAGATCGAAACAATTGTGTTTAAGCTCAGCTGTACACCACAACACCTCAGTCCCGAGGGAGTGTTTGCACTTATTGCTGGCTCTTGCGCATCAACTGAGCAGCTCGTGAACAATAGAAAGCATACCAACTTCTTTACCTAACAGCTCGGCCCAAGCAATTTGCTTATCCTGGCAGCTTCAAACAAGGCCAGCTTTTCACCTGAGGGAGAACATTCAAGGCAGACTTTTAAGCTAATCTTACTACAAAGTTTCCCCAGCAAATCCTCCATCAACCTATGCACTGAAGCAAACAAACCCTTGTACCTCCAGCTAATTACTCACCTGATGATCACATCGTGCAGATAGAATTGTGCTCTGTTCTCCCTTTGTTCCTCTGTTCACCAGCTCGCAGCTCCAACAGCTGCCAATATATGGCGCTTGTCTTTCAATTGGTGCTGCACAAGCGTGACTACCAAAGGGATGTGGCCTCCAACTTCTGTTCGCCTTAAAGTTGATTCAAAAAATGAATGCTTGCAAATTGTGGAGATTTTCCAGGTAAGGCTCCCTGGGGCAAGCCTGCAGGCTGCAGTGCGTAGCTGACCAATGCAGTGGCCAATGCCGTATATGTCGCTGCCACATCAAAAAGTCAAACGCATCTTTCCAAGCGCCTCTGATTGCAGGGGTTTGTGCCTTCCCAGTAGAAAGCCCCAGGGGGAAGTGGAGATTGAGAGGAATATTGATGAGAATAACGTCCCGATACCACCCCACCTTACTCCCGTCTTGTCTCCTTTTGTCAGTCTACGGTACTCCACTTTCACAAGCATCACGTACGGTACAATTAAGCCCCTGCAAAAGCACCCTCGATCGTCACAAAAAGGTGAAAAGATGCAACGCAGCACGTCACAAGATTCCGTTTTGATGCGCTGGCATCACAGCAGCACCCTGAGGCGTGTGCTGGATTCCGTTCGAGGAATCTAGTTGGTCCGCGCGTGCAGGCTCGCGATCAGCGGCCCGCCCGGGCGGCTCGCGCCAAGGCACTGCACGTACGGCGGCCGCGTGACTGCATGCAGGTTGATGCTGGCTCGCGGCTAGCTAGCTGAGCTGCCTTTTTGAATCAACGATGACAACGAGGCAGCATGGTGCAGCTGAACCGCGTGCTCTTTAGTTCGTCGAAGATGGCTACGGCCGCCGGGCCTTATGAAAATAATAAGAGGACACCAGGAGAGCACACAATAATCCAGTGTAGAACAAACCACACAATGATGGATACAAGAGATGGATACAAGAGATCGACTTTTGTCTCACTGTCGTCAAGCTGCGATTCGATGTACTGCGTGTTGGTGCATGAATCAGGTGCACCGATTCAGAACATGACGCCGCAAAATACCTGTCATTCTTTTGTTTCTTTAGGCGATGGAAAAGCGGCACCGCCCTTATATGTACTAATGGCGCACTAGGAAGGCACGATGCGTTAGACATGAGGATCGCCTGCAAGCTCTTGGGAACGATGAGATGCATTGAAGGACCCTCGGCCCCTGCCAGCCAGCAATGATCAGAAGGACCTAATTATCAAGCGCGCCTGCTCAATTGCGCAGGACATGATGATCGAACAAAGACCAAAGGTGACGCGACTGGGGCAGGATGGCCATGGAGTACAGTTAAGAAGCGCAGCCAACATCTCTCCGATCACAGGTGGAGCGGGTCCCGCATTCATATGAAGAGAGTCCGGAATGACACCCGAGTCAAGCTCTCACGTCAACAAGCTTGCTTCGAGTCAAAAAAGGAGCGAGCAATGTCGATGGCAGCAAGTCGCGGGTTCAAGGTCCCAAGCAAGACCTCCCGTTCGAGCTTGAGAACCTTTGACTGGATGTCGGGGTCCGCTCTCAACCTGCACACAAGGTTCAAGCCGATCAGGCCTAGTCCCGAATCTCCCTTGAGTACCACTTTCACTTGATGCGAATGTATCGAGAAAGGCTTTACACCAAAAGTAATGCGAAGTACGTGCTCATGCGGAATTTGTTCCGTTGCGTCCGCCATTCCACAGGACAGCAGCGGGTAGCTTTCCGTACCCCGACAGAATCAAGTCAAGATCACCGCTAGCAGGGTGTTTCAAAGTAGACCAACAAAGAAGAAAGGAAAAGGCTGAAATGGTCGGAGAAGAAAGACGACATGAAACAGACCGGAAGGAACTGACCCTGAAGAGGACGGAGAAGAACATACAAAAAGCTGGTCCGACTCGGACAGAGTTTGAGGTTGTCCAAAAGCTGAGTATCAACAGGCAATGAACGGCGAACAAGCGAAGTATAACCTGGATCGACTGCGAAAGAGACGTTCACTTATGTTGTCAGAGTACTTGCAACCAATTCTCCGAACTTGAGAAGCTCACACACTTACGCACCTGTCTTCGAAGGCCTCTTTCACGGTGCTCCACATGAGCCGCTTCCGCTGCCCTTTCCGCCGGAGCTCGAGCTCGCCCGCACCTTCCATCATTTCCCGAAACTCGAGCGCCTTCTCCCAAACGGTCCGAACGCCCTCCCCAGTCCGAGCGCTACAAGACAAAACCTACAGAAAAAGCACGTTTTGTGACGAGCCCCTCGTCAAGTGGGCGGGAAAACTGACGCTTCAAACAAGCCAGGGAGGCATACCGAGTGACGTGCTGATTGCGAAGGCAAGAGGCCTATACAGCAATCTCCAGATCATATACCCTTCCCTGGCGGCTGAGCTCGCAAGGCCGCAGGATGGTGGTGTTTCTGATGGGAATGTTTCTGACATCCGGTCGTTTGTCACTGTCGCACTGGCTGCGTAGTAGCTCCGTTGAAGGCTGTGGGACTGCTCGATCGAAAAAGGGCTCCAATTCGAATTTGTGTCCAATCGCCAGACGGCAGCTGCAGGGTCAGGCAGGCAGTCTGTGGCAACTCAAGATACGTCTTTCAAGACTGAGTAACGAATTTTGAATGCCTGTTTTGTAGTTTCCCTCACCTGCGGGAGCCAGTGGCGCGACCGGGGCCTCAGATAGCTCAATGCCGCTCGGTACTCTCCGACTGAATGCTCCGCAACGTCTTTCATCTCTCCGTCAGCTTTGTTGACCACAAGTAAATCTGCCACCTCAACCACCCCCTTTTTGAGGCCCTGTAATTGATCCCCCCCGGCAGGAGGCAGGACCAGCATCAACAGGTCGACGATGTCAGCGACGGCGGTGTCGGCTTGGCCGCCGCCGACAGTCTCGACCATCAGGAAGTTGTAACCGGCAGCCTGCCCGGAAGAAGAACTGGAATCAGTGGACATGTAAACTTTCGAGGGAAAGCTTCCAGAAAGGACGAGATAGGGCAGTCAGATCCCAGCTGCGGTTTTGAACTCCTTCCAGCTCGTCCTTGTCGAGCTACAACACGGAGGCCCTGTCATTCAGCTGAAATTTTTGAAATATGAACAGGGCAAAGAGAAGAGAGCTCATCAGCAGCTCAAGCGAACATGTGATGCGGAGAGTAGCCCTTATGGTCGATGTTTCGAATGCAATCTGTTCAATTGCACCTTGAGAGGTCGGTGTTCTGGCACAGTGCGTAAAGGAGTACACGACCAATCCCCATCTCTAAATTGTATCTCGAAAGTAGCTGTCATGAGTAGAGACAGTCCTTTCAAGGATGACCCAGGAAACTCGGGCTGCACCCTACTGAAAATTTCACTGTACCCGCTTTTGCTCATGCAGCTAAACCAGAGAAAGTACAGAGTCGGGCACCTGTTGAGCCAGCCTTTCGCCAATGGGGCGCAGTAGCTTCACAACTAATGAGAAACACTCACTTCGCAGAGGGCGGCAGCGTCAGCCGTGTTCCGCGCTACTCCGCCCTTATGCCCCCTGCTCGGTGTCGGCCTGACATATGCACTGGGGTTCTTTGACAGCTCCTCCATCCGTGTCTTGTCCCCCAGAATAGAACCCCCCGACTGATCAGATGATGGGTCCACCGCCAGCACTGCGACTCTCCCCCCACCTTCGATTGCCAGATTCCCAAGCCTCTCTAGCAGACTGGACTTGCCAGCCCCGGGAGGCCCTGTCACGCCGACCCTGAACATCTTGGACTTGGACTGTGAGTCTGTGCTGGCAGCAGCAAGATGCTGGAGAAGGCCTGCACTCTGAATTTGATGGTCCCATCTTCTAGACTCGCAGAGGGTGATGGCACGGCTGAGGGCAGATAGCTGACCAGAGAGGATGCCGTCTGCTAGGCTTTGGGTTTGCTTGTCTAGCTTGTAACCCAGGGTTTCTGGTTCGGGTACATGAGAAGGAAGACTCTGATCAGGAGCTGTATGAAAACACAAACTTGTATTGCCGGGAGCCTGTGCTGAATTTGTTGATGGCTGGTGCAGTGGAAACCTTAAGAAGCGGGGTAAGAAAGAGTAGAATGTGCTCGTGGCGCTGAAAGATTTCAAAATCAGCTCAGCACCCTTCTGAGATGCAAACGAATGCATGCTTGGGCTCTTTACTACCAGTATTGATATAGCTTGCAGGAAACAGACATGAATGCAAGTTACAACTACAGAAGAGAGCAAGAATACAAGACCAAAGGTTCCTCGAGCAAGTGGATCCGCCACAGTACAAGTAGTACTACCGTCCTATCCGGTAGTAAGCTTAGTACTACCGTCCTATCCTACTAGTAGTACATGCTCGCTGGCGCCAAGCTGCCATGCACTGCCAGCGCGCATGCAGTGCTACAGAGTTGCTCATGCATGCTGAAGGCTGCGCCAGCCTGAAAGCCAGAGGTAATGGGGTTTGCGAGAATGGTAATGATCGTCAGCAGATTTGACTGCCGCCTGGCAAGACGGCGGGACCGGGCTTCAAGTTCCGGCGTCCGCCGCCCTTCAAGTCGCGGTTCTTGACATCTACAGTGCCGGTTCATTCGATGCCCGAGGTGTCGGAACAGTCGGTAGCAGTCGGAACCCTCGCAGGGAATTGCGCGCTATCGCTAGCCCTAGTTCTTTGCCAGCCCGCTCTTTTACATCAAGAATTGGCGCACTCTGCTACTAGTACTACTACCTAGTTCAGAGTCACAGTTTGCTTTCACCTGCTAGCTTGAAACTTGGATATGAACCAAACCTCCAACTTCCAAGTTGGAAACATCAGATTTGCTCAGCAATTGTCTGCATGGCGGGCCGGGACGATGGGGAAGTAACTGATGCTGCGGCGGCTGCTGGAAAGCGACGCAGAATTGACGAGAGCGGGCAAGCGGATCCCCCAAGCTCTTCAGCAGCCAACGGGATGGCTGCGCTCACAGCTCAACTTGGAGTACTCAAGAGTGTCATGGTCATCAAAGACGCGGAGTTGAATGCTCAGAGGGAAGAGCTTGAACGATTGCAAACAGCTCTGGAGCGAACGAGATTGAAACTGGCGGAAGCAACAGCAGCCAGTGCGCGCAGAGTCGATGATGGGGCTCGTTTTCACTTTGTTTTGGCAGGGACAGGGCAAACAGGTTCGATCCCGCGGAGCTTTCTGGCATCAGAACCAGACTCACTTCTCAACAAGATGTACAATGGTGAGTGGGATTATGCGCGGGACGATCAGGGTCGGGCGTTAATCAATTGTCACCCGCAACGGTGGGCCGCAATCCTAGAGCATCTGTCAACGGGGACGGTTCCTAGGGTCCTAGATCAGCAGTTGCTGGATCAGGCTCGGCACTGGAATTTAGTGCGGCTCGTCCAGGCAATGGAAGATTCAACTCCGGGGGTCACTGTGACAAACCATCCTGATGGCGAAAGCTGCACCGTGCGGTGTAGGTTCACATCAGTTATGAAGCACCTTACTACGGTCGACAAGGTGTTGAGCCTTACCTTCTGCTTTCTTCATTATCAACTTTGGTCCTTGGACATCACAACACAAGGGATTAGTCTTTCTGCCATGGCTTCAAGTTATGGGGAAAGTCCCCCTAGCTTCAAAGCTGAAGCCAAGGTAAAGGTGCTTCTACGAGGAACAGTTCTTGAAGACTTCATCAGGGGCCTTAGATACGATCAGATGTGGAATATGGGAGTTCACTTTGGAAATTGGGGGTATAGTTGTCACGAGTTGGTCACCGAACCTCTTGCAGTCGTGCATGACCAACTTCTCGTTCAAGTTGAGATTTATCTTATCAAGTAAGGAATCTTTGCGAGCTCGTAATGGCTTCGATTTAGTCCGAGGAGGCCAACGGCAAACGGGACAAACTTGCAAGATGAGCCTAAAATGGAGAGTAGAATGACCAGAGACAGGATTTCCATTGTTTTAGACATGAAAGGTGCTCTTCGAGCTAGATCTGATGATAAATGGTCTCATGGAACTACTCCTGATTCATTGACAGCTTCCTACATCACTTGCATCCAGCTCTTCTCCGGGACGCAGACTTCCTTCATGCGGCTTCTGGTGATCCGACAGATGCTGTAGAGATGCTTCATCATGCAATGATTCAACTGGACATGCACGAGTCCCCATATGTGTAGGTGGCTTCATGAGTCAAAACCACTCTCATGCATTGTGGATCATCTCGCAGATCCCTCGTAGAGTACGTGTGGGTTATGATCTCTCCACACCCTGACATCATGCAATACGAATTTATTCTCTCTTAATGTATTGATTCTTACTACCTTGGAACCGCAAGAACTGAGGCCTGCTTCCGCGGCTCTGCCATTTGCAAAGTTGTAATCATGTATGAGCACACGTACACGCCCAGTTACAAAGGATGTCATCTCGAAGCTGCACATAACAAGAATAGCACACGCTTGAGTCCAGTAGCTTCCTCGGAGTCGGGTATAGCGAAGCAGCCATGACCCTTGCAATTGACCATGCACATGAATCCGACTATGTCAATACTTCCTTGACGGGGTTTTAAATGCATATAACCATAGATATTACCTATACCTAGCCCATTCATGCGATACACACGCTCTCAGCGATCGCACAAAGCTCGGGACTTTCTTTGAACGTGAGCTCGATGCTAACTCTCAAAAACAGAATTTGTCGGAATAGATGAAACAATGGAAAAGGAACAAACAGAAAATGAATCACGACCATCAGCCTGCACTTTCTCAAGCATCCACACTACAACCACTCCCGGGCACAAGTCACCCCTACGCTTCATCAAACACAAGTTCTCACCCAGCCAAAACAGCCACTTCTCGATCGCACATCTTCCTGTCCCTGTTAACAGCCACGTCTCTGATGGACAGCCACTTCTTTGCCTACTCGAAACGACACCAACCGTTCTCCCCAATCTAGTTGACAGCCACCTCCTGCACGGCAGGCGCGACGGCCTCGACGGGCGCGTCCTCTGCGAGGCCCGTGTGCTGACGCAGCACGTCGATGGCCTCGTGCACCTTGAGGTTGAGCGCCTCCGACGACTCGAGCAGCAGCAGCAGCTCGCTGTTGTCCATCTCCAGGAGCATGCCCGTGATCTTGCCCGCCAGCTCAGGCTGCATAGAGAGGGGTTTGAGTTTCGGACACGGAGTGCCTACCAACCCGGCCGACACTACACTCCACCTCGAATTGAAAGTAGAAGGACACGACCTACCTTGAACGCGATCGCGACATCTCATCTAAATTTTGTCGCAGGTGTACCGCTTTCTTTCTCACCAATCAACCAACGTTCAGGACGCCACTCGGTGAAGGAGGTCAGACGGCTCATTTGGCTGAAAGTTGGCGGATCACGTCAGCGTTGAACCTAGCGTACAACTGCCAAGCATACAGCAAACGGCCGTGCGAGTCCATTCTGGATTGAGTGGTCGCCTATCTACCAACTTTGCAATCTCACAACACGGCTCGCTCAACCAGGCAAAACCGGACAATCGCCAGTCGTCCATGCACGACATCTCGCTCTCATCCGTGTCGGGCTTGAACACTACGTGCTCTTTTTGTTAAGAAATAACAAGGGCTTGAGAACCCCTGGTAACTCGGCGTCCCTGCAGACGGTGCACCAGCGGGTACAGCTTCGCCCCCAAGAAGGATCTCTGCTGATGGAAATTTACTGAGACATCTGACCCATGCGTGAAATTCAAGTGCTTCTGATGCGGAGAAAGTGCGCAAGCGCTCAAACAATCAAAACCCCTGGTAACTCTGAGTACCTGCAGGCGGTGCACGAGCGGGTACAGCTTCTCCCCCAGGATGTTCTTCTGCTGAGCGGGCGCGGCAGCAGCCAGCAAACTCGCCGACAGCGGCGCATCGGTGGGCAGCATCGTCGGAACCGGGAGCACGCCTGCGGTTTGCGGGGCGGGGACAGGGCCGTTGGGAACCATTACGGGACCGGGGACGGGAACGCCGTTCGGAGCAGGGACGGGACCGGCAGGAGGGGGGCCGTTCGGCTGCTGTAAAAAAAAGGGAGCTCGGTGAGAGGAGTACGTACGAGGCGCTGAAATAAGAGCAAGAAAGCAGGGGCCAGAAACAGATCAAGCGCCTGATTGAGCTCCAATAGAATGAAGGCCCATGGGCAACGCCAGCAAACAAAAACAGGAGGGAATGAGCCGACCTCTGCCATTGCTTGCTGAATGCTAGCGCTCGAATACGTAAGGTTATCAGTGTTTCCCATCTTCTTTGACAGCCATGAGCAGGAAAAAGCTGCCTTCCAAAAGAGCTGCAGCCCTTCAACAAACGGATCAACACTTGTGAAAAAATCAGCCGCACTCCGCAAAGGTGCTCCCGATCGAAAGCAGGTGCTGAAGCCGCACAACGTTGATGCAGCTCGTCAGAGACCGCGTTCTTCACAACCTTATCAGCGTTCCAATACGCCCTTTCTGACCAACCCGCCAACGCTTTTCACCGATTCTGAGCAGTCGCTGCCCAACAACATAAAGGTCAGCTGCATTAAAGACCCAGTTTGATGCATTCAATGTCGTCCGTGCTCAGAAGAGCCGTACCTGCTGCTGGTTCTTGGCGTTGGGCCTCTGCTGCTGCGGAGGGCCGTTCTGCCTCTGCTGGCGGTTCTGACGCGGCTGACGCTGACCAGGAGGCTGAATCGGAAAGGAAAGTGCAGGCGTCAGTAGACGGCTCAACGATCCTATTCGTGCGTTTCGAAACAACGGCCTTCCCACTAACGACTCTGCTGCAACGGTTAAGCTGGCTACTTGCATCACAAGTTCTCAAGAAATGTGTGTCAACATGACAGTCTCGCAACCACGGGGAGCGCGCTCATCTGCGCGCAACCCCAGATAGCGACACTTTCTGGATCCCGTCGGTCATCTTCGAACGACCCCACCGGGCTTTCCTCTCATGCTTGCCAATCAACAGTAAAGTATACCAACAAGCCGGAATGATTCCTCATCCCATCGAGATTAGAGTATACCAACAAATCGTAAATGCTTCCTCACCCCCCCAAACTGCGGCACCGGCGCATACCCCGGGCGTGGCCCCCTCCAGCCCCCCCTGGGCACCATCGGCTGGTACAGCATGCCCTGGCGCTGCGCGCCAGGTGGCAGCATCCCGGGCGCCGCGTAAAAGATGGGCGTTCCGGGGGGGTACATACCGCCAGTGCCGGGGAGGGGGGGGGCGCCGACGGGGCGCTGGCCCATGAGGGCCGCCTGCTGCGACCACTGCTGTGCCAGCTGTGCCTTGCGCATCTCGCGGCGCTGAGCAAGGGCGACGTAAATCGGCTTGCTCAGCAGGATCTTGCCTGGGGGTAAGAAGAGAAGAGACGTCAACCATATGCAATCGTAGCATTTCCCTGACTGCCCCTGCTCATCTGCGTGACAAACTCTGACACCCCTTTGAAGTGGATTGCACAGCGGAATATAAGCTGGCAACACAGCAGTTGGAACATCAAACAATGGTGGCTGTGCAAGAAGATTAATGTGTATACAGTCTACCCAATCACGTTCACGCCACAGCTATTCTCTTCACAAGAGCCTGCCATGTACAACCTTCAAAGGTCCCCCACCCGGCCCCCCACCTGCAGTGCCGACAACTAACGTGCAGTGACGACAACTAACGTGTGCCTAGACATCACTCTCGAAAAGGGAAAAGCAATCCTCACCGTTCATCTCGGTGACCGCCTTGGTGGCTTCCTCGGGCGCCGAGAAGCACACGAACCCGAAGCCGCGGCTGGCCCCCTTCTCGCCCTTCATGACCCGCGCGGAGGTGATGGTGCCGTAGGCAGAGAACTCTTCGCGCAGCTTGTTGTCATCGATGGCATCGTCCAGGTTCTTCACGTACAGGTTCACGCTCTGGTACTTCTGGATGCGCTCCTGACGCTTCTCCTCGAACTGCTTCCTGTGACACGGAGAAATTGGAGGGGAGGTGAGATAGGGGCTTGTATTAGTATTTGATGACCGCGGCTGCCTTCCCAAGTCCCTGCGCATCGGTACAATTGACGAACTCGACAGGGGTTGTAAGCTCTTGCCGCTTGGCTCCAAAGACCTCCTCGAAGTACTCCAGTGAAATAAACGAGAATACATAAAAGCCGTTCTTCTTGGTAAAGCACTGACGCATTTGCCTCCGGAGTAACACCAGCAATCCCTTCTTCACATCTGCCTGATGCCGCTGTTGAGACAACGTAAAGCCGAACGAAGATGTCGCTGTACCTGTACCCGTAATTGCTGATTGGAACAATCGCTCTGCGGTTTCAGGCGCCCAGTAATCTCCCCTGCTCTACTCCGCACTCGTAAATCGAGTGCCTTACAACCCCAGACCGCCATCCTTGCCGCATCCAGAAGCAGACCGCCACTAGCTGGCCCCAAAGAGCGAGAAGGATCTTACACTGGCCAAATCAAAATGCCACCCCACTGCTGCAGGTTGTCCTAATCCTGGACACTTTTGGGGATGTTTCCAGCCTACTAGACTAGCCATCTGTACAGCTCCCCCTTCCTGTCGAAAGCATCCCTTTCTCCAATTGTCCACATCCCTCACCTGAGCGCCTCCTCCCGCTCGGCCTTCTTCTGTGCGCGCCCCACGAACAGCGCCTTGCTCTTGACCTGCAGCCCATTGAGCGCCTCCACCGCGTTCTTGGCGTCCTCCGCCTTCTCAAAGTTGACGAACCCGAACCCGCGCGACTTGCCCTTGTCGTCGACCATAATCACGAGGTTCTTGAGCGGGCCGTGCTCCTCGAACTTGGCGCGCAGCTCCTCCTCAGTCACCTCAAGGTCCAGGTTCTTGACAAAGACGTTCGTGAAGGTCGGCTCCGAGCCCGAGGTCTGGCGCTCCGTCTTCTTCTGGAAGGGGCCGACATACCTGTGCGGTTAAGGCTGGGTTAGAAGAAGGGCTTGACAGTTGACAAATGGGGGAGAAACCACAATATATGCAAGCGTACTGACCAGGAGTAGCGAGAGTCCTTAATGAGGTCAAAATAGATACGGTAGCCAAGGGTGTAGTCCAACTGTACTGGGTTTGGTCGAGAACATTTCAACAGCTTGTAACGTTGCGTGTGGCTCCCCTGTGATAAGAAGGGCCTGTCGAAACGCTTGGAAAACAATTGCCACGACTGTAAGAAAAAGTCCATAGAAGGGCAGCAACAGCGACAACCTCAAACCTTACCGAACTACCAACAAACCTGCACCTGACAATCTGATCGTACCGAAAATCTGACTGGACATTCTGGATAAACTGCAAGACATTCCTGGTACTTGACGGTATGATCCAATCGGTCATGCGCTATGCGCACAAATGCGCACACGTTCATCAATATCAAGTGACCAACGAGCTAATCTCCTCACACTGGCTTGTTTTCCAGGAGCATGCCGTTGACCTTCTCAATGGCAAGCTGGGCAGCCTCATCCTTCTCAAAGTGGACAAACCCGTAGCCCTTGCTCTTGGCACCGTCGGAGGCCACCTTGCATGACAGGATTGTCCCAAACTGGGAAAACGTGTCGTACAGGGCCTTGGTGTCAATGGACTCGTCCAGGTTCTGTACAAACATGAAATGAAAGGCTCGTCAATCACCAAGCAGACAGGGCTCTCGCCGCCTTCGGCTGACACTACTGATTGGGCCAACGTTAGTGGCGGGCAAGAGAACACATGATGGTGTTGTTCTAAAAGTAAGAAAATGGTATAAATGGTGCCACCACCCTTGCAAAGTGTTGGGTTGTCAATTGAAGATAGATAATTGTTTAGAGCAGAGAAGTTTTTGTTCAAAACTTTTCTGTCACTGCCTTGGGCCAGGCACCATTCTTCCCTGTGGACTGTGAATTACTGCACCACTTTTGTATCTTACCCCAACTCAAACATCAACTAGGAGCGACTTTTCAGGACCACCAGCGGAAGTCATGCTGCTGACCTTGATGAAGATGTTGCCCACTCCGCTCTTCCTGGAGCTGGGGTCGCGGTGGGAGTACATGATGCGCATGGGCTTGCCATTCAGGGGCGTGAAGTTGAGCGCCTCCATGGCACGCTCCGCTGCCTTCTCTGCACAATAGAAAGATGCTATATGATGAGACCGTTTATCCTGCCAATCCGGTGCCAGCTGGCCTCCGTGCTGCCAAATATTGCAGAGGTTGCTGCCAAATATTGCAGAGGTTGCTCATGAATATTTGCTCCCCGCCCCTCGCCGCACCAGCAGTCTTCCCTCCCCTCTACAAAAGTGCATCAAACACCACTGCTTTGGTATGTCCGGAGACTTCGCCACAACAACTTAACAGTCAAATACGCTTCGCAAACCATTACCGCACCATTACACAACAGTCTGCCAACAGTTGTGTTCCCTTTCAGTTTCAAGCAGATCACCTGGAGACAAGAGGTTCTGCCACCTACTTACCATCGACACTTGCGTTGAAGTTGACGTATCCATAACCAAGGGACCTGCGAGTAACTGCATCCCGACAGACCCTGATGGAGGCCACTGGGCCGACTTGGATGAAGACCTCGTAGAGCTGCGCCTCGGTCACATCCTTGTCCAGATCCCCCACATACAGAGAAGCGGGCTTGACGACAATCTCAGGGGCTACGGTTGCCATTACTGCTGTTTGTTTTTGTTTTTTGTTTTTGAGGAATATACCGAAGCGGGTGGGAAACAAAGATGAAGCGGGTGGCTTCAAAAACGAAAAAGAGAAGCCGTGTACTTCTCAAAGGGGCTCGTGGTGTGTGCGATGTGCGACGATGCGACTCCCGCAAAGCTGCGATGGTGTTTTTGTTTTTCCTTCTTTTTTACTTTTTTTGGGTTTTTGGATTACGGGCGAAGGAGGGGCGATGCCATAAACCACAAAAGACACCACCAACCAGTCCTTCTAGCCCTTGCGCGAGATGCGCAGAAAGGAGAGAAAGGCGCCCTGACGGCTCCTTGCGAGCTTTCAAACGGCTGAAAGAGGAAGGGGATGCTGTCAACTCCGAAGCTGTGTACAGGTCCGCTCATTTTCGAGCGACGCCTGAATGTTAAGCTCAGACTCTCCGGTCGCCAAACTCTCGCTGTTCGACTCTGAACTGTGACAGCTACGGGACAAGTGTCATACGGTAATACCCGTACGACCAAGGTATGATTCCGAATGCTCGAAAAACACATTTATTTTAGCGAATGCGAGCCCAAATCATGTATTATTTTCCACTTTCCGACCCTAAATCCGAATCGGTAAGAGGTACCCGGGTACCCATGCTTTCAGAGCGTCTGGCGGTATCCGGTACGTACCGGAGACCTAAACGGCCTTGAAAAGTGCTTTCCGAACGAGTTTTAGCAATTATTTTCGCTTTCCGAAAAAGCAGAATCCGACTGCTTATCCGGAGTTGTCAACTTTCCGAATGCAAATAATTATTTATTTATTCGGAATCATACCTTGGCAGTACGGGTATACCTATTGCACCTTTGAGCAGGCCATAATCGACCAGCAGACTTGAGAGAGACTTGCTCATGAGCAATGCGAAAGCTTGCTTGCTTGCTTGAGTTGGCTGCCCGCGAGCTGGCAACGTACCAGCCTTCAGAATCAGATGTGAATTGGCTTTCTTCCCCTGGTATCGCTTGAGCTTTTGGCTTGGAAAGCTTCTGTCAAGGAGCGGGTAAGGTCCAGGCAGGGCCCGCGGTGTTCTTTAAGGCCCAGGGGACACTTCAAATGGACGGCCTAATGACGGAGTTTGCCAGCTGCGTCGTGCAGGCGCTGCGGATGGGCCCGGAGCACGAGGTTGCAAGCATCATTAAAGAAACAATCAACCTGCTCAAGCTGCGCATCAGCGCTGGTTTTGCGAACGGCTTTGCGCTGGCGCCGGGGCAGGGGGGGCCTGTTCTCCAGGGCGGGGCCAGCCCTTACTTAACCCAGACGCTAACCGGCTTTGAGGTGTGCGAAGATGGCAGGGCAGCCAAGCGCCGGAAAGTCATGCGGTGCTCGGTGCAGGAGTGTGAGGAGCAGCCGACACATGGGTGGTACCTTGTGAAGCCAATTGCGTGCAAGAATCATGCGGATGCGGGGATGGATGAGTACGAGCCCCGGAAGCGGTGTAACATCATCAAGGACCATCAGACAATCAGCCAGTGCAAGAAGCAGCCAACTTATGGGTGGCCAGGATTCAGGTGGGTGGGTGCATCTCCGGTATCAGCATTTTAATAGCTGCCTTCAGCATTCCCTGATTCTAGCTGTGGATGTAGGTTTTGGTTTTGAAGAGGTCCTTTGGATACGGGTAGCTCAGGGCAAGCTTTGCACCAGCTTCTTGGGGTAGACTCAAAACTTCTTTCGCCTGACTCCACTTCCGACCTCCGGTCTTGGGGCAGAATTTGGATTTGTTGGCCAAGATTGGAGTATCTTCAAGGAAGTGCAGTCAGAGGTTGTGTGGTTGGAATGATGAAACTGCGGTCCACAATTGCCAGTTTTGTTGATAGGACCCCATTCAGTCTGAGCGGCAGTAATGTTGACGGCAGTGAGAGTCCACAACAAGAAGGTTACCTGCTGAGAGTTCGATGGACGTTCATAGTCTTTGGGTCCACATACTCTCAAGGCAATATTAATCCTGGCGCCCTCGTTCCCTGCTCAGTCATTCGCAATATCCGGGCTCAAGGACCAAGTATAATTCGGCACAAATTCTGACACACTCAAAATCAGTTTCGCCTGTCCTCCTTCCAGGCCTGTGGCATGCCGCACTCATGCCGAGCCTGGCATGGAGGACGTTGTGAGCAAGCGGTGCAACTTTGTGGACGCCAGCGGGGTGCAGTGCGATAAGCATCCGAGCTTCGGACATGCGGGCGAACTGCGGACCGTAAGTTTGTGATTCCTTGTTGTCCGTGCCGATTAACTTGCAACATGTTTTGTAATCTGGGGCTCGAAGTTATAGGAAGATACTACTGGCTGCCAAATCTGATCTGCGCAAGGAACAATAAGAAAGGGACTCATTGTTACAGGCACTGAGATAATATTGCCAATGATTCTTTCATGTAAGGTCATTTCTGTGATCTGTAGCGTACTTGACAATGAGCCCCCCTACTTGTAATAAATCCCGAGGCGGGATTCCAACAAAGCTATCCCAACGGATCGCAAAAAGCCTACGCTCGCCCAATCACTTGCTTTTGTCGATTCGACATCCTGGATTGGACATACTTTTCTTTTGCGCTTTCTGCGCTACTAGTCGATAATACATGCTAGATTTTTGTACCCCCCCAAATTGCTTCCTGAGCGTCATTCTCGATACCTTCCCCTCTCACAGCGCTGCTTTCAGTACTTAAGCCGAGACCCTGTCCTCTTCCCCCTTCTTGCACTCCTAGATGAAATCTCACACGAAATACATCCTTCCACCCCCCATAATCGTCATCTCTGCCCTTTTCCACCATACAGCGCTGCCGTCAGCACGCCGAGACCCTGTCCTCTTCCCCCCTCAGGCGCTCCTTAACGAGAGCTCACACGAAGTCATCCTCCACCCCCCTAAATGTCACACGGACCGTTATCCTCTGCCTCTTTCCCCCTTGCAGCGCTCCCGTCAGCACGCCGAGTCCTGTCCTCTTTCCCCCTCCGGGACTCCTCAATAAAACTTCACACGACATCCTCCTTCCACCCCCATCATCTCATGCTGACCCCCTTGGGCGCTCCTTCACCAGATTTCACACGAAATTTTCCTTCCACGCCCCACATATCATACTCACCGTCATTCGCTGCCCCTTTCCCCCTTGCAGCGCTGCCGCCAGCACGCGGAGACCGGCATGGACCTCGCGCGCCAGCTTTGCACCACGGACGGCTGCGAGAAGCGCCGGCGCTACGGCTGGGCGATGAAGAAGCCGATCAAGTGCCGGGAGCACGCCGAGACGGGGATGGAGAACGTCATCCCGTACGAAAAGTGCCAGGGCTCGGACGGCGACGACGTGTGTACGAAGCGTCCGAATTACGGGTGGCCGGGGCAGAAGAAGCGCACGCACTGTAAGGCGCACTGCCAACCGGGGATGGAGGATTTGAACAACAGAAAGTGCGGGTGCCCGGACGGGACCATGGTGGGTTGCAAGCTGCGGCCGAAGTTCGGGTTCCCAGGTGAGCGGTTCGAAGATTCGGGGGCCGACTTCGCTTCAGGTTTGACATTAACTGAGAGTGCGTTTTCGGATTCAGATTCGGACTCTGGGTTTTGGGGCAGGGTCATAGTTTCGCGTTGAGGTTCTACGTGAGGTTCGGTGCCTAGGGCTAGGATCGACTTCCAGATTGCCTTCCTATGGCCTTTGTTTCTTGGTACGGTAGATTTGCGTAGCAGCGATTGTCGGATAGCTTGCATTGTAAAGGTGAAGAGACGATGAGTTTCTGTCACTCCTGGCCTCACGTCACACGAAGTTGAGAGGGCGGACTCGGCCTCGTGCTACGTTCTCTCTTCCTCCCTCTCCTGCTTTTCGTCGTCCTCTGAAAGAGTACTTTTCGATTGTGTAGGCGAGAAGGCGTCCCGGTGCAAGGCCCACGCAGAAGAGGGCATGGTCGACGTGGGGCACGCTAAGTGCGAGATCGCGGGTTGCATGAAACGAACACAATATGGGTGGGCGGGGGGCGCATCCAAACCCACCCGGTGCAAAGGCCACACCGAACCTGGCATGGTAGACTTGACGAAACGGGTGTGCGCGTTTGACGGGTGTAAGGGGAAAGTTGTCACGGGCCCCCCGAAAGAGACAAGCTGGCGGTGCGAGGCGCATGCAGAGCGGCAGTCGGTGCGCGTGTTGGAGCTGCGGGCGAAGGCGGGGCTTGAGGCGCAACCGGCGGCCGGGACGCCGGCTGGGTTTGTGATGGGCGCGGTCGGCTGATGCCGGGAGGTCGGGTACTGTTCGGGCTGATTTTTTTTTGACACCGTAGTGTTGAACAGATTGAGTAAGAGGCTCACGTCATCGTTGCTCACGATGTCTTCTTCGTGAGGGCTCTGTCACGAAGCCGTTGTGGAATCTGTCCGCACTGCATTTCTGCAGATAAGAGTGCGGTTCCTCTCTGCTTCAACGTATATAATCCTTGCTGCACAGCCAGGTTTTCGGACACACCTGTCAAGCCCAAAAAGTTTTGCTAGCCATGGCTGCATTTATGATATGCAGGGACATGCATATCTATTCGTATTTCGACCGAGTTACTATGCGCCTGGCGTATCTGAACCTACGTGTGCGGCTGGCCAGTGCATCTAATCAAGAGCTCTAGACTCAATGCATGTGTGTTCGACTGAGTATACCTATATGGACTGCATGAACCAGGATTCCGATCGCACCCTTATGCATAAGCTACCTCAACGTGATCAAGGCATGATCATTGTTTCATGCATGGTTGAGCGGATTAGCTATGCACTGAGATTGTCACGTTCCTTTCACATGGTGCAAATGCATGATGCAGCCGAGCTGAGCGATCATGCATGAAAACACTGAGTTTTATGTGCATCCATACGACGGTTTGCATATGTATTTATGCAAGATCTTCTGATCTGCGCGGATAAAACATGTCCGCGTCTGTGAATCTCGAAACATGAACTGACGGTTGTCGCAATTTCATCTTCGTAGAACAATCGATTACGAGATGCAGGAGTTGCCGAACCTTAGGTTAGATTCCAAGCTTCGTGAAGATAAGCTCAAATAGACTATCAATGTTTTTCATAGGTAAAGTTTGCGCCCTAACTAAGTTTGACTAAGCCTAAATGTAGAGCCTGAACGTAGATGCCTCTTAGGTCGAGGTTTGCGCTTCTTAAGGAGCCTTACAGGACTGATATTGGTTAACGTGCAGAACCGATACTCTTGGACAAGTTTGGTCCAGTCTGCTCCCTTGCGTCTTTCTCAGCGACATGTATTTGACATGAACGCAAAAGTGGTAAGATGCACTTGTTTGTCAAAGGGACTAGGTAATCTACCAAAAGAACAATTGGGGTCTGGACGCCTGTGACCGTCCCCAGGAGCCTGCTCCGCTGATGCGGAGCATAACCTTCTACAAGCTGCATCGTCTGAGGAACTTTCAAAACCTGCAGCGGAGGTGACGCCTAGCGGACTCAACCCCTCGCAAGCGCAACCAGTCCCCGAATGGGCACCAAACACCCAAGTATAACCGAACGCTGTACATTTTACATTGTCACCCCATCAGCTACTTCGTTCAACTCCAGTGGACCCGCGAAATCTGCATCCTCTCCCATCTCAAGCGCCTCTTGCGGTTGCGCTACGGCCCCCGATCTCTGTTTCTTGGCGGTCCCCGGATCCTTCTTCGCGGCAGCCCCGCTCGCCTTCCGTTTCCGAACCATCCCCTCTTCTTTGTGCAGCTCGCACCGCTGCGCGCAGTCCCTCCCAAAGGCAAATTCGGGAGCTCGGTAGCAGTCGCCGAAGTTGCAGCGTTTGGTCACGATGTCCTCCATGCCCGGCTCCGCGTGGATCTGGGAAAATTACGTTCAACTCGGACATCAGTTCGGACGGCCGCAATGTTTTGCAAGCTCGCGAGAGGGATTATTGGTCGATGCAACTGTGCTATTAAAAGGCTGGGTTGGAGGGGGAGATATCGTACAATTGCCAAGGCAGGCATCGATGGATGAGGAAGGGGGTGAAGCGTTTGGCATAGGAAATTGGGCGCTCGTTATGCCTCAACTCAGCTGATTATGAACACAAACGAAGCTTGAGGTTTAGGGTCAGAATATCGTGTGGAGGAGAGGTCTTCAGGCACAGCGAGTCTGCCTCCTAAAAGCACGTGGGTTGTAGTCCTAGAAATCTATCTCAAGAACGACTTCCAGAGAACGAGAACTTTGTTGGTGAATTTCTCTCCAAATGAAACAAAGCTTGACAGAGCTTATCTGAACAGGCAGAATTAACCAATCTACGAGGGTGCCGATGAGAACAGGCAGTGAGGGGAGGTCAATTTATGGCTAGACCCCCTGCGATGCGTTGGATGCCCAGCTGTAATCCTGTTGTTCGAAATTGACCCGACCATCGTCGGGATAAGTCACAAGAAAGACATATATATTCCTCACACCCAAGTAGTTTATCGAGCAGCGAGTGAAGGGCAGGAAAAGGAAACAGAAAGCCGAAAGCGAGAGCGCAGAGACGATGGGTTGAAGCAAGGGCCAGAGGAAGGCTGGGCGGTGCGCTGAGGGAAATGGGGGATGAGGGGAGGAGTACTTAAGATGCTGAAAGGCCGAAACGGAAGGGGAAAGCCATGCGAACTACGCTCTGTCATCCCAGCAAGACAAGAACGAAGCTTCCGAACAACGCCGAGTACACTCTGGTAATCGGAAAAATGACAGACCAAAGCTTTCCATCCAAGAAGGAAGCTGACATACTTGAACAAGTATAATCAACGGGCTGACTCAGGACACAGCCAAAGTAGGTCGATCCCAACAGACTGGCAACGCACCTTGCAGCGCGAAGGCCGCAGATCGCCAGCGCGCCCAAACGACGGCCGCCGGGAGCAAGTCTCCTCCTCGCACAGGCTGTGCATGACGTCCCTCATGTCAGGCTCGGCATGCGCCTTGCACTTGACGGGCTTGAGCTTCTCCCAACCAAACACGGGCCGCTTGGCGCAACCATCAGTGGTGCAGCGTTTCGAGATGACGTTCTCCATGCCAGGAGCGGCGTGGATCTTGCAGCAGGTCTGCCTGTCAAGCGTCAAAGAAAAGGGGCGGTTTGCAGTTTTCCCCTTAACGAAACGAGGGGTGTCTGCTAACCGTCTGTAGTTGATACATGGAAGCTAGGTCCTTGAGTCTGTCCATGTTATTACCAGCTTTAAGAATCTCTTATCCGTACGAAGTTCGCTAAGAAACCGCACTTATCCTTGTTCCTGTGAATGAGAATTGGCTTGACATTGTTCGCTGCCGAATGCGTCTAAAATCAGTGGCAGTGGCAAATATCGAAACCATACATTGCATCAAAGCTTCAGAACAACGCTGCTCGTATTCTGCCTGCACCGCTCTCCTTCATGAAATGCCAGAGAGCTCCAAACAAAGCTGCGGCAAAACGCCATGAAAGCCTTAAAAGACAGAACGAAACAAATCCCCTCACATGTGCCCTGGCCACCCAAAGCTTGAATGCTTTGTGCAAAGGAGGCCCTTCCCACACCGCTTCTTGGGGACGTACTCTTCCATTCCTACGGTGGCGTGCGCAGGGCACGTCTCTGGTTTCCAGATGGGCCAGCCATAGGTGGGTAACTCTGTGCAGCCATCTGCAACGAGCGGAGAAATTAGAAGACCCTGAATGTAATACACTTGTGCGACAAGAAGAGTTTGACCATGATTCGGTGGCGTAAAGTGTCACGAGAAAAGAACCCAATTGAGCGACCGCAGTGATCTACAAGACTTTGAATGATATTCTTAATCAGAAACATCAAGTCAAAATGGTGAGAACCAGTGACTAATCTCTGCTTTACCAACACCCACATGGAAAATTCATAAGAGCATCAGCCTCCTTTTGCGACATTCAGCCTCAGTTGAAGAGAAGTAAGAGGAATTACCGAGGGAGCACAACTCCGACCTGTTGGCAGTGTTGCAAACATGGCAATGCAGCACAACATAAGAGTCTGACATCAAAAAGAGCGACGGAGGGGGTTGACAACAGAAGAAGATGACGAGACATGTTTCGAACCTGCAGCACAGGCAAGCCTCCTCTTCTTGACCCCCCTCTTTTCCGACATGCTGACATAGTGCGTCTCTTCATAGCTCGGCCCTGGGCTTTTCTCTGAGAAGCTGCGCACCCCTTGCAGAACATTAAGTGCATCCTGCAGCTGCTGAACCACTTCTGCCTCCGTCTTGCTGCGCAGCAGCTTGGCAGCCTGCCGACGCAGCTTCAGCAGCATGGCCTCCACCTCAGCAAACGCTACCAAAGAGGCCTCCATGATGATGCGCCTCCGCGCCTTTCTCACCACTGGCACAAGTCTAGGAATCGCCCGCAGCAGCGCAGCTCTGGAAACAGCTCCGTATCACTATCTAGCAGATTGACCCGAGTTGACCCCAGCACCGGTGGTTCGGACCGGGTGAGTACAGTGCCGGGGGAAAGCGCCAACAGGAACCGTTGTGCTCCGCCCGTGAGCGAAATCAGAGACGAGTGGGCCGTTTCTTGGAGGAGTGCTGAGAACCGGCTTCTAAGTGGTCGGTAGCTTAGGTCCCGGGTACCAAATTTTCACTGACGATTTTGGGTCTTATACCCTATGGCGCAACTAGGCGCTTATTGTCCATAAGGTATGAAGCTGCCAGTAGCTGATGGGGGCCACTAGCTAGCTAGCTAGCGCTCGCTAGCTCGCAAGTTGCTGTTGCTTGGCCAATCAGCGTCGTGAGTGGCAGCTGCGTACTGGCTGTGGCTTGGCGCAGCTTGCATGCAAACTCCAACTTGCTCAGATTCTCTGCTCGTTCTCAAGCGCTCAGAGCCCCAGTGCATCTGGAGAGATCTGAACACAGAAAGAGAGCCAGTGCATGAAGCCTTCAGAAGCAGCATTCTTGTTCAGAAATGGCATCAGAAAACTTTTTGCACACCATCACGGACAAGTTTCCTTAAAAGCAGCAGCTGCAGAGGAGTTTCTGAGTTACCTTGAGCATCAGGAAAAGGAGTAAAACATATCCATGCTCATGTCCAACGCCAGCGCCAGCTTCATGCAGGCTTGATTGAAGCAATCAAGGGAGGGCGCCAGCTCGATTTTGGCCTCAGCTTGGTCCTTGTTGGTATTGAAATTGAGGATCAAAAGAAGACTCCGTCGCAAGTAATTGTGCGCTGATCAACCACCTGGTCAGCTCTTTGCCATTGCAAAGAAGAGTTGAAGATGGGGGCATTTGGGACCACAATTGTGAGATTCTTGCTACGATCTCTTATCTGGTGCTATTCTTGATTTTCCAGAAAGGGAGGAAGAATCTGAGAAGCCCGCCTGATCTCTATTCCAAAGATAGCATCTGGGACATCAAGATAGTCATTTGTCTCCAAACAAAAGAGAGCATGCGGTCTGCTTATCAATCTCTTGGCTTGTCAAGCAAACACCTTGAATTGAAGCACACCTCTATATTGAGATTCTATACGATCGCATGCGACGGAAGCATCTCAAATTACTCTTTGAAGGACTTTGTGTGCTCGTTCGGTCCTGGTTTTGCTTTTGAGACCCTTTGATTGACTTTGCCACCCACTATCGCAGGATGGTCGAAGCATCGCTCTCAGTGGGGAGCCTCTTTTCCCAGGCTTCGACCGCAAAGAGTTCAGCAAAGCCGATAAAGATGCGGCCCGTTCACAAAATTACTTCAAGGACAGGACGCCGAGCATCACTCTACGCAATCAGATACAGCTGTCCACCTATGGTGATGCGATCGGCGGGGACCTTGAGCATCTGAAGAAGTTCGTTGATGAGCACCTTGGAGGTGAGGACAGATTTTCTTCTGTATGACTGGTTTCTTTGCGCATGAGGTGGTGGTAGCTTTTCAAAATTTGTCATGAAAGGTCAGCTTCTAAATAGCCTGGGTAGAAAAGGAAATGCTTTTCAGACTTCTTTCTATTCATCGATGTTGACATTCCCAGCTCATGATGCGAGCTTTGATCTTTCATGGTGTGCTCTGATCTTTCATGGTGCGGACAGGGAAGCCTCAAATCGATGCACTTTCTTATCTCCTTTGGGTTTACTATTTTGTTGCTCCTTTAGGAAAGTAATTGAGAGCAGTCTCCACTTGCAAACACTTCCATTTTGTTGCCAAGGCAATATTCACAAATATCTTAAGTGCCTTGATACTGGTACGGCTGTCTCTCTCTCGGTCATCTTGAGGGCGCCTTCGCTCTGTCATCTTGACGGCGGCTTTCTAAACTAGTCTGATGCTGCCTGCAGGCGCCTTGGGTAGTGTCCACCTGCTGCCGATATACCCCTCCTCAGGCGACAGGGGTTTTGCGCCGTTGACGTATCATCAGATCGATCCCGAGCAGGGCAGCTGGGATGATGTTCGGGAGTTGGGCAAGGAGTATGACTTGGTTCTTGACTTCATGCTCAACCACGTTTCGGCCCAGTCAAAGATGTTCAAGGACTATCTGGCCAAGGGGGAGAAGTCGGAGTATGCTTCCATGTTCATGGATTGGGACAAGTTTTGGGGGGAAGGTGAGCTGCGGCCGGCTTTGTTCAAACGGTTCGGCTTGTGAACAGAGTACTGATGCCTGTCCAAGTTTCCCTGATGCATTGGTTGAGGCTGGGAAACGCTTTTCAGTCGTTGTCTGGTCGTTCTGATGCACTCAAGGCGCGAGGAAAGCCCGTTCATAACTCTATCGTCATTCAAGAGAGATTGCAAGCACAGATTGCGCCTGCTCATCCTTTTCTCTGCTGACATCGAAAGCACACTTGCGCTTGGTCAACAACGCTGAGTTCCGAAAGTAAACCCATAGTAAAGGCTGGCAATGTCTTCAAGGTCGTAAGTCTTCCACATGCGTTCATAGACGTGTTCCAGGCATAGAAAATATCCAACAAAACCCGATTGGAAGATCGGGAGATGAGGGGAAAAGTAGAGCCACTGTAAGCAAAGACTTGAAAGGGACAAATGTCAATCGAAGCAGGACAATTGACTTGAAGGCGACTGAAGAGAGAACAATCTTGCATTTTTGTGTCTCAGGTGGTCCTGGAGAGAAGGATCTCGCGAGCATCATAACACACCAGGGCGACCTTCCGATGATCGAAGTGACGCTCGAGGACGGAAGCAAGAGACGGCTTTGGAACACGTTCGGACCCGAGCAGATTGACATCGACCCCAAGTCCCCAGCAGGTAAGCAGAGTGTCGTGTCAGAGTGAGGTTATGTTGCTTAGGACGTGAACTTAAACACAAGTATCAGCATCTGAAACTTTCCGTTCTGTGAGTCCTTGACCAACTGCTCGATCGGCTCGTTTGCTTGCTCTTGGTTTTGTCCTCGAATGATATTCTGTTAGTGCTTCGTCCACGTCTCAATCTTCCTTACGCAATTAGGCGTGGCTTGGAGAAGCCTGAGCGTGTGTCTCGACCGCTTGGCTGATTGCCCCTCACTTCAATACGTAGCCTGCATCCCACTTACTACGCTTTCTCCGCGCAGGCTGGAACTTCGTTACGAAGTCGATCAAAAACCTTTGCAGCCACGGGGTGAAGGTCATTCGGCTGGACGCCTTTGGGTGCTTCACGAAGAAAGCGGGTTCGGAGTGCTACTTTGAGGTGGGTGTACTTGATTGCAACAAACGCTTCAAGTGGACCACAGCCCGAAAAAAGCGGACTCGTTTTGTGATCAAAATGAGTAGCTTATGTTTGGCCAGTGCAGATGCGTTTGGAAGCCGAAGAAACATTAAAGTGATGGTTGACTGCTTGTGTTCACAGTTTGTCTGTATATTGTAGCGGAAAGTGTACTTGCGGTCGGTTGCCTATCTTGTTCCCCAAAGAGCTGCCCCAAGTTGTGGACACACGTCCCGAAAGCCGACTCGTGTTGCCCTGGTCGACACTAGCTGACACGTGTTCCCTTTGCAGGAGCCAGAGGTGTTCGACATGCTGGATAGAGTGGGGAAGCTGATGGAAGAGTCTGGGACGAGGTGAGGGCATTTTACATCGTTCCTGTTCTCAAACGCGTCTCGTGATGTTGGAGATGCAAAGGTTTTGGTATCATGCTACTCGACATGGTCCGCTGCAGTATTCGAAGACTGGGGTGCTTTTGAGTTGATTTAAATAGTCGGTAATCTGGACGGTGTTGCGCCGCTGCCGTAATCTCCCTTTGCACAGCTTGCTTCTGCTTTCTGTGCTTTGTATCGAAGCTGTTTTCTCCTTGTTGAAGCAATTCTGAGCCTGTCGGTTGGATGTGCGAAGCTTGAAAAACTTTACTGGGCCGTACATTTGTTCTTGATATCTCGACCCTCGGAGTCAGCCCTTGGAGTCATAGTTTGTTGCCCCACTCTGTGGTTCCCTGTCTTCTGCTCTTCCGTTCGTGAAATAGATGATGAGCACCTCAACCCAGATTTGTCATATCCCCCACACGTCCTCTCGAACTCCCCATATTCCGCCCAGGTTGTCGGGCGAAGTTACCTTTGTTTCGTAAACCACTTACATCAACAATCTCTTCCTCATTGGAATTGCGGACATACTCTTACCACGATCCTCAACCTCCGGCCAGGTTGCTGTGCGAGGTCCATCAGGACTACCGGTCCAACCTGTTAACAAGTCACGTAATCAACAATTTCTCCCTGATTGGAATGTCGAACGTACTTTAACACGAGCCTCAACCTCCGGCCAGGTTGCTGTGTGAGGTTCATCAGGACTACCGGTCCAACCTGAAGATCGCGGAGCGCGGCTACTGGGTGTACGACTTCTCGCTGCCGCTGCTGGTACATCACGCGTTCCACTTCCAAACCGCGCTCAACCTGCGCAAGTGGCTGCACATCTGCCCGCGCCGCCAGGTCACCACGCTCGACACACACGACGGCATGGGCATCGATGACGTCACAGGCCTGGCTGACGTGAGCGGCTGATCTAGCTTCTATTCCCTATTCGATTTTGTCATTGGGCGAGCCCTCAATGGCTTCACGTCTTGTCCAACTCGCTGCGCGGTTCCTGTATTAGTCGCTTACGAATGTGTTGACTAGCTCTCTCGTTCACAAACGCTGGCCGCCCATCTGCTCACAATACGACATGATCTAGCTCCGGCAGGTCTACACAGTGTTAGCTATCATACAAGCGTCAAGGCGTTTCGTCTGAGCAACCTGTTCTTTAAAACCGATTTTATGTCGCAATCGTCCGACTTGGCGCCCGCTTTCGCATGTGCTACTTGCGCATCGAGTACTTTTCTAACTACACGTCCGTTAGAAAGTTGTGACAGACACACTCGTTTCGGCTCCCTCTCTCCTCGGCCAATTTTCGTGCTTCTCGTCTCTTCCATCACGCCTTCCTTAACCCGTTGACTACTCGTACAATCTGATTGGCCGTTAAGTTACTTCCATTCCCTCCTGATCGGTTGTTGAGTTTCTCATATCCTCTCCCCTGCCAGATCTGCGACCTGCAAGAGCTGGAGAGCCTGGCCAAGGGCGCCACCACTCAGGACCTGGCGGCCATCACGAAGAAATACTTCTACGACCCCAAGAAGGCCTCGTACGTGGACGCCGTTCACCAGATCAACAGCACCTACTACTCGGCGTGCGAGGAGGATGACCTGACGTACCTGCTCGCGCGCGCCATCCAGTTCTTCTGCCCGGGCGTTCCGCTGGTGTACTACAATGGAATGCTGGCCGGAGTGAACGACGCGGATGCGGTGCGGCGGACCGGCGTGCCCCGGAACATCAACCGGCCGAACTACAGCTACGAGGACGCGGCGAAGCAGGTGGGTGGTTGGCCGGTTGGAATTTCAGAGTTTATACGGTCATTGTTCGGCAAGTCGTGAAGCCGTCTGATTGCTTGTCCGCTTTGACGGCTTGCCGGTTTGTAATCAAGTTTTGCAACAGTATAAGCTTGAGGACGGTGGGCTGCTTGAAAGACACGCAGACGATCCTACTGTAGATGCAAATTGATGGTCAGAAACTAGTCCCAATTCATTTCCGATTCCCCGAAAACATGGGGTTTTTAAACACGATCCAAACTCGTGTTCGGACAGCGGAACTCGCAAGTGAATGCAATTTGATATGCTAAACTGTTGCTCTGTGGCGGTCCCCTGCGAGACAAGAGCGGAACGCTTTCGTCAATTCTTCGTTGCAGAAAGGGTACAGAGGTCCAAGTAAGCACCCTCCAGCCGGTAAAAGTAAATGCCGAAGCGCACTCACTCAACATCTCTTCTGCTCTCGAGTTGCGAGCACATTTTGGAGTTGGAGCCTTGAAGCTTGACGCAATTGCTGACGCCTTTGTTTCCTGTGGTCTTGCCAGATGCAACGGCCGGTGGTGCAGGCGTTGCGCGACTTGTGCCGCTTCCGGAACCAGCACCCCGCGTTCCAAGGACAGATCACCATCTTCGACGATGAGCCCGAACATGTTCTCAAAGTCCGGTGGGCGAACGGGAAGGACTACGCGACATTGACTGCAAACATCAAAACGCGGTCCTTCGATCTGCGGTACACTACCGGAGGCCACGAAAGTTCCCCGATCCGGTGCGTGAGGTTCCAGCGAGAAGGAGGCCAGGAGGGGTTCCCGGAGGGTGACTTTAACGAAGAAGATGTTGTCTTCGTGTGCGCGAAGTAGGGAGCTCGACTGACGAGTGTTTCGCATTTAATCATTTGATGATTGACCTCTGTTGAGGGTTGCGATTCCGCATTCAAAATTGCTCGCTACTGATAAGGTAGAGACTGCACGGTGAGAGGTTGTTGCAACGTGACGCAGCTGCACGCTTCGGTACGGTTGGAAACGGCCCGCTATAACGGATGGTAGCAATTATTGCTCGCATACATCCTTGTTATAGACATTGTCATTTAGGACATAACCCTTTGAGCTTTTCAGGGTCAGGCTGTCATTTGCAGCAAGTAGTTGTTGACCTCTAGGCGCACATAATCATTCAATGCATCGCACATGCCAGGATGTGGACGTTCAAACACGGTCAAATTGACTTATCAAACACACAATAATATGTGCTCCATCTGCCGAAGGGTGTCGGTGACTACATCACTTGATTGATGATCTTTACTAATTTGCATGGAGCAGTTGAGCCGTGCAACTTCGCGAGTATGTATGTTATCACCTTTAACAATCGGATTCAAGTTTGACGGAGTCGAAAGGATGCACGTACCATGACATGATGGCAGCCCGTGCTTTCAAAGGTGAGATAACTGCTCCATGCATGGTTTCCTCGAGCCGCAATCGGCGAAGGGCTAACGAACCGCGGCGCAACAATGGACGTTGTACGTGCCTCAGTAAGATTGTCTGGTATCTTTGTACCACATGCTTATATCACCATTCTGCCTCGTGTTGTACGTTTCATCATCAAAGAAATCCCTGATCTGGTTTGGAATCTATTCTTAAATCGTCAGAAGATATTCGTACGGAAGTTTCCTCTCATCAGCTGCCATCGGTGTGCTGGGTCAAGTGACTCAACAGTGAGCAAAGCTCTAGATGCTGTCACTCGCGGAAAAGATTTCGCTGTGGAGCTACATCGAAGCGCGGTTGCAAGGCCTGCCGGCGCACCTACCCGGCCTGCCTTCCGCTGCGGAATGGAAGGTCAAAGGGGAGGAGAATACCGGAAGCCTTGGCGTTCCGGTCGTGTGCTCATGGAAGCTGTGCACGGCAGGTCCCGAGCCCGTGGTTCAAGGCAAGAGGTTTGGCAAGTGTTCCCTTTGCCAAGTCGCTGGCTACTGCAGGTAACAATCAACGGCCACAGATTGAATATGAGTATCTTCCTTTTAACATTGGACAGGGGCGTGCCTTACTGAGTCAGGAGAGTGGCTCCCTCATGATTTTTGACGCCTCTTTCTGATGCGCCTCGCTTTCTGATTGGTCAGATGCAAGAGGCGTGCATTGCAAATCTTTTTTTGACGACCATCTGGACATTCTCAATTGTTGCCAGCCAAAGCACGGACTCTGTGAGAATGCCATTGTCTAACTTCGATGCCAAGGTGGCGCTTCGAACTGTGAATCGATCGACTGGAGCCCTTGTCTTTCAGTCTTTCGTACTCTGATCTGTTCTCGGCTTTGCTTGCGAATAATCTGACTCGCTTGACACAATCGAATCCATTTTGCAGCAACACCAGAAGCTGCATTGGCCAACCCACAAGGTCCCTCGTCAAACACGCGCGGCCGATTGCCAGGTTCGACCCTTAAAACTACGAGCATGAGAAAGTGGCTTACAGAAATCACAAGAGGATCTCCTAGACCATCTGAGGAACTTTTGAGACTATTTGGTTCATGCATCATAACTCTCGGAAGCGGGCCGGATCGTCAATCCATCTTCGATCAATATCCCGAACAATATCCGACAAAGTGCATCACAGCTTTCCAATGGGAGGAAAGGCATCCTTTTACATTTCAGCTCCTTTAGGTCATGCAGCGCTTGAAGTTAACCATAAGATAACCCATTGTAACCGTCGAATCTGCGTCTAGATCATAAGCACCTCTCGTAGAATCTTACTGAGAGGCTTTCCTCCAATTCATGTGGGATTTGTCACTCTGCCACCCGAGCTCTATAAGCGTACACTGATGAGACTCTTATATCACATGCATTCCGTGGGATCCACTCGGAAGTTGCAGCATACACGTGAAGTAAGGCTCGCTGCATGGCAGAAAAGCTCTCCAATGTTGCATTGCCGAGATCCGTCCTCTTGATCGCGTTTGAAAAGAGAACATCGCCACTCTTGTTTCCCTCTGGTATGGGCGAAGATTGCATGAATTACTATCCGGACTTCGGATCGAGGATGTATGAGCAAGTACGTGCTAATCCATGCAATCGTTCCAAACAACAAGCATGGTGACAGAACGAATCAAGTCGCATACGCAGCGGCCCCATGGTGGAAAGCTCTTTAACCGAAAAGGGGGCGACCGACAATTATAATCTCATGCGGCCATCTTCCTGATGACATATGTACGATATACAGCCTAGCGTGTTCTATGCCATTCAAGGTTCAAGTTGAGTGTTGGTATGAAAACTACTGTAGGACTCCTTGGTAACATGCTAACTTGTAGGTTACTTGGACAGCTGCCAGCACGGAAGGGAGGCAAACACTCAACTCCTTGATCTCATGCTCGCACTTGAACTCATGTTTCCAGGATCGACAGATCCTGCTTCCGACCTACTGGAAAGAACGCACACAGCGTGTGTTTGGTAAGGGCGGCTAGCTTTGCATGGTCGTGCGGTCACGTCACATGCCTGTCAATTCTACCAGATCCAAATCTTACTGAGTCGACTATGTACCAAGACTCGCCTGCTTTTCTTTCAGCTTTTGAATGAACGAGTTCCCCTTTCGCGGTATAAGCACGTCAATCTTACTCAACGACATGCCCTTCCGTTTGCCGACCGCCTGCACAAGGAAGCAACTCTTAGCGTACAGGCTTCACCGATGTTCTGGTAGAGGAAGATATGAAAGCGGGCCGACTCGAAGCAACTTCGAGGCACTTCTTGAATAGGGCCTCGGTTACCTCCGCAAGCTTTGCACACTTTCACAATACAGGTGCTTATCTGGCACTGGTTCTCAAGGCTCTTGAAAAAGCAATGTGCGGGGGAACGGTTCGAAGCTTCCGCCAGTCTTCCGTTCCACATTCACCGGGCTCAATCTGCGTTTTAGAACAAGTGTCCATCTTTTTCAGAGGTTCGCGAAGCTGTAACAATACGCTAGACGATTTCCAACCCTACCGCCAAGGTCCTTCCAAAAGCAGCACTCGCCAGTCTTCCCAGCGCCCACGCATCCGGCTCATAATCTTGGCAATCGCGGTTCAAGCTTCGACGTACCTGGTCCGCCTTAAACCGCCCGTCCACGATCTTTTTCTTCTCTTCCGCCGACATCTCCAAGTGCCCGGGGACGACTACCGGGACCGGGGTCGCTAAGCGGGGGTCATGCTTGTCCGCCTCTTCCAGCCGCGCCTGGAAGAGCCCCCACTCGTGCTGGCACCGCTCGCGCACCCCCTCCCACGGCTGCCGGCCGTCTTCCGATTGACCCTAAACGGAATAGAACGGAACGGAATGATGACCCTGAGCAAAATCAACGGAACAGAATGAGAATGTGTCAGCAGTGACAAGCCCAGGGGTTCTGGCAGCGCGAGCACGCCCTCCCACGGATGTTGCCCGTCTTCGGATTGGCCCTGAGCGGAATCAACGAAGCGGAATGACAGCGTGTCAGCGGAATGTGAACCAGAAGGTTTGGCAGCGCACGCTTGCCCAATTACGCTGCCAGCCATCATCCGTTTGACCCTGAGCGGCAACAACGGAACGGAATGACAGCGTGTCTAGCGAATCTTAATCCCAGGACTGGCAGCGCGCACGGCCACGGCTGGCAGCCGTCTTCCGTCTGCTCCTGGCCGGAACCGACAGAACGGAACGCGAGCTGCATGTAAGACGAGGTTTACACCGCTCGCACACGCCCTGTTACACGCCGGTAACTCTCATTTTCCCCAATGGCCGATTGATTTAAAGTAAGCACCCGGGGGACTGGTGGGGTTAGTCTGGTGGTTAGGATGACTGCGCGCGCGGGCCGCATTGTTTTTGGGGTTAGGCGTTAGTTGAGACGGCCGGCCCTTATGTATCTGAAAACAAACTCCTCATATTGCAATCTAACTCTAGTGTTACCAGTACCCCTGTCACGGCTGCCGCCGTCTCTCGCCCATCTTTCTCCAGGCAAATTGTATCCTCCACGTGACGGGAACTCTCACCTGGTTCCCTAATGACGGGACCGACTTGTGCTTGATGAACTCCTGGTCCACCACCCCAATCTTCTCGTACGCGAGACCCTGCAAAACGCACGAGTCGGGACGTTACGCTTTTCGGCGGACGGGTCAGAACGTTACGCTTTTCGGGAGAATTTTCGATACGTAACGCTTTTCTGCGGGCGGGTCAAACGTTACGCTTCTCGGCAGACGGGTCAGGAAGATATGCTTCACGGCAGACGGTCAGAGCGTTACGCCTATCGGCAACTCGTTCGAAAGATTGTTCGAAAGATTCCTCTAGGCGAACGGAGCGATTCCTCCTTACAAGCTCGCCTCGTTGGGACTGCTTTCTGAGAAGCCTTCTGTAGCTCGGACCAAAACCCCTATAAATGTCGTAGCGAAGGTTTGCTTCGGCATTCTTTACCATGCACCCTCGGTGAAGAGATCTTGTAATCACTTCGACGACTTCAGCGTCCCCTGCCTCACCTCCCAATTATCGCTTATATCGCATTCAATGGACTTCAGTCTGGATCAACTCCAGTTTTTCTCGCCGACATGGAAGTAAGACGGTATACAAAACAAGATTGGCTCACCTGCGCGCAGCGCTGAAGGGCCATATCCAGGCCCCAACCGTGGATCAGATCGTTCTGCACACACCCAGACGTCGATGCGGTCAGAACACTCTTGTATGTTTGAACGAAACTTAGGCAGGCGGAAAAGAGGCGTCCAAAAAGGTAAACGCTCCAACCTAGACCAAAGCAACGCGTTCTCAAGAGGCTCCAACGAAGGTGCGTCGGTCAAACTACTGGCTGGTTGACGGGGCGTCAGAGTTGCGGTCAAGGACTGGTTAGGGGATGGTTAGCGGTTCACCTGGATCATGTACCACGTACACCGCCAGGCCTTTCGTGAGAACACCGGAGCCATAATCTCCACGAACCTGCCAGGTTGAACGCTTTGTCACAATAGATCCTCATGTTAATCAACGGGCGTTGAACTGGTCATGGTCGAAAGGAAGTTGGACATCCAAGATGCGAACTCCACATGCAAGAACATCTAGTCGAACCCGCACGGCGTGCTCGATAGAAAAGCATCCAACGACGATGAGAAGAAACATCTACTTTCTCGTCCAGAGGGAATTCACAGAAAAGGACATGAAGGAGGAGCAAGCACAGACCCAGCAGCTTCTGCGACGAAATAAACCACGTAAAGAGGCATCAACCCGCGCGAAACAGCACGACAGGTTTAGATGCTGGAGATCTATCTGCTCATTCAAAGCAAAGCTTGCGAAAGGCTGTTGCCGGAAAACTGTCGAAAGGCGGGGCTTGCAGTTCGTCGCGTCGCGTTTGTCACTCGTTTGTCACTCGTTTGTCACTGCAACTTGTAAGAGAAAAAGTGAGGGCCAAACCCAACAAGTACATGCGCTGTACAGCCATCAACAACTGTTGTCCACCAAGACTCGCTAGAATTTGCAGATTTCCCGCGGGCCTTTCACGGCATGTGAGCAGTGTCGACTTACCCCGCACACGGTGGTTTCAGCGGACCGTCTTTACACCAACCCGGCCGCTCCTCAGTCGCTCTGCAGAGAAGAAGCTGGCTGGTGTCAAAATAATTGAGCATAAGTGGCTGTTTACGTCTTGAAACGAACAGTGCAGGGCTCAGAAGCCCGGGACGGTGATCAATTTGCACGACGGGGCTTGAGGACCTCTTGTGGGCAGGGTTCGACCGGATCACAGCGATCTGAGTGGAAACCGGAAGACTCGGGAGGCCAGAAGACGCGATTGGAGATTCGCAGACCGCACTTCTCAACCGGAAACTCGAGGATTGGAGCAACAACCGTACCACCGTTGGAAAAGCCTGCTTCGCTGATGGAAAGCATCCGTTTCGCATTCGTTCCCATGCCTATCTGAATCGAAGTGAAGGTACAAACATCAAACATCAAGCCGTGAACAACAATGAAAGGACGTGGTGCTCTATCTCACTTTAGAGCTAAGCCGCTATAAACAATGTTGAGAAAGACAATGTGTAGTGGGCTTCTTACTTGTGAATCTCCTGCCCCGGCCTCATCAGTGTCATCATCCACGTGGCCCCTGCGTCCAGCCCCGGCTGCGAGATTTCGAGGCCGTGCCTCTTTATCAACGCCAGATACCTGCAGAGGAATTGAATAATCTCAGAGTTCGACAACAAGCATTGGATATATCGACGCCGGATACTTGGCCGAAGAATCCGGGTTCTTTCTGACTTTCTGGGCACGGAGTATGGAAAGAAAGTGCCCTGTCGAAGTTGGCCCCGGCAACAGCGGAGCTGGGAGCCTTTGCCCCGGATTCATGTGACACTGACTTGCACGGTTTCCAGGGACGCTTTTGCTAGCGCGCACTAAAATTCAAAGACTTGAGTGGCCTCGCAAGTCACGATGATTTCGATAGGTGGTCCTCGACGAAGAAACGTTGACCGGTAGACACCAACCACGAACTGACATCGATGTCGCCGGTCGAGTCGTTCCAGATACAACAAAAAAGTATTAAGCAAGAAGTATCCTGTTCGCACTCCGCAGATAACGACAAAACGTGCTCGCAAGCAACTCGCTCTCGCACGGAGAGGATGTTGATACATGCTTCCGGTCGAACAAGCACACAAGAAGGGGTCGGCAAATAAATCGGAAGGATCCGGTTGTCTGCATGTCAGTCGGGGGACTGACCGGGAGGCATTGAAGTTGTCGAGGCCCAAGTCCTCGTCCCAGATGAAGATGTAATCGTACGGCTCCACGATGTCAGGGTGAAGGAAGCGCTTCGCAAACCACCTGCAGAGCAAGCGACCGGTGGATCGATGATTGGTTGATCTTTTCTGCCGCTTGATTGGCCGGTTAGCCAATGGTTTGCTTGACAGCGTCAAACATCTACCGTTGAGATTGTCGGAAAAGTTTTTAAACCGACGGCCAGCAACATTCGAAGCAGAATACTCGCATATCTAGACACCCGTGAAAGAGGAACGGAATATTCGTTCCAGTAGTCAGAGCCTTTACAGAAGTCTCGTCGCGCTCTTTTGACATGCTGGCAATCATGCTGATGTAGAAACTATGGGTGCTCAAAGCGCCGCCAATATTCAAGCCCGAAACTCAACCGAGGCGACTCGAGCAGACGGAAGTTACAACAATTGAATTCCGCACCGGTAAGCGAAGTTGAGGTGTCAGAAAGATGTGGGCGCTCACCATTTGCTCTGCCTCTTGCCCACAATGTGGATGGCGGCGTCGAACCAGGGGGACGTATTCCACTGCTCGACGATCCCATCGTAGTGAAAGATGAGGTACACGAAGTCGGACGCCGGGAACTGCAGCGACGGGTGAGCAGGCAATCACTAGTCAGCAATCAGATCAAAAAGATTGGGAAACTTTCTGCTTCGAAAGAACGACAGAGCATATGGGCTTCTGTTTTCGCTCAGGTCACTTTTAGGGATGTCAAAAGCGTTTGTAAGCTAAAATGGTTCCCCTTCTTGCGGTCAGTCTTGCGCTAACCTTGTTTTGGATTCCTTCCCGGCACCGGCCAACCTGTCGTTCACTGTTAAATGGACGTCAGACTCAAGCGAAGGGTTTCCTTTGAAATAAAAGCCTACAGACCACCGAAGTCTCAAGCTACTCAACAAAGATCGAGGTGCCTCCCCTCCTCGATACTTGAACCATAATCCTCGCCTCTTATTGACGGAAAAGCATCGTGCCCCTTTCAACAAGGCGAGGCAATAAGCCAAAGATAAGAATGCCGGTTCGTCACCTTCCCGATCGCGCCGACCACGTTTCTTTGAAGCGAAACATAAAAGTAACAACGTGCTTCCCTTTCAAAAGAGAAACCTGCCTCCAATCGAGACGAAAATGAGAGCTTCTCTTGAGTAACTTCGGTGGCTCACCTTCTCAATCATGTTGTCAACATTCTCCTTCTGCTGGATCCCCGCCGTGATCACCAGCAGGTTGCGCGGCTGCGACCCCTGCAGGTCCTCCTCAGGACGCCCCCAAAGGCGCCGGAGATAAAAGTCGCTCGTGCTCGCCACGATCTGGGGGGGCAGGATGCGCGCCTCGGGGGGTATCCGGAAGTCGGTGTGCGGGTCGAGGGGCTGGGAGGGGGCCTGCGAGAGGGCAGGGGAAATAATTCATTTCAAGGTCGGTAGTGTCTAACGAGTCTTCCTTTTGAAGGGATCTACCAGACAAGACCCCTGAGCAGTTGAGGCTAGTGGTTGGACGCGTCACAAATACGCATTTGTCCTGAAATGGTGTCCATCATTTGATGCGCTGCAGCATGGGAGTGCGTAGGTACGAAGCTGAAGGCACAACGGCGTCCTAGTGAACTGTTAAATCGTAGTTTCAACAAGTCCCCACAGGACCAGGTGACCACCGGATCATCAACTGTCACTCGGATGCAACATTGATCATGCTGATATGGAGCTTTCTGTAGCTTGGACCTTGAAACCCGTTTCAAGTAGGAAAACGAACTCCCTGGAAAGTTCGTGAAAAAAGGACCCTTTACATTAGGGGCAGTGCCTCAGTCAACCTTAGAAAGTACACCAGTTGAAAATGAATCAGAAGTTATATGCGACGTTCTATCATCACGGGCACACATCGAAATCAATCAGCTTTGTAACGAGTGATGGGCAGCCCCCCGTGTCGCAATTCCATCTTCAGGACCCAGTCTTGAAAAAGAAAAAATCCGAAATGATTGTGCATCATGAACAGTCAGCTCAGATAAGCGACTCGATTTGCAAAGCACGTCACGTACCTCAAGTGAAGCAGCTTCTGGCGCTATGTCTAAGCGGCCAAGTTTGGACCATGGCTGCAGAACAAAGAATAAAGATCAGGCACTGCCTGCGCTCATCAGTTCAAACATAAAGATAAACCCCTGATAACGAGAAGTGGACCTACAGCACTGTCTGTCAATTCAGCTCATGCGGGTCCGCCTCCATTTCAGCAGCATTCTCCTATTCATTTCTTTGGAAACCTCTTCTGGGCAATTATGTATGCATTCACGAGCTGAAATCCAACACATTGGAGGATTGCCCTTCAGGGCTGACTTTGAATGACCTACTCAAAAATGACTTGAATTGCTGAACATCACAGACCGAGTTTTGCTCTGACACAACCATGCGGCTAATACATTCTTTCTCACCTGTGCTAGAAAAACTCCTAAGAGGCACCCTCCGACGAACCAGAGCATGGGGGTCACTTGCATTTTCGGCGTCCTGGGTGTGTGAGGACTGCAGGGGAGGATAACAAGATTGTTTCACCCATTCTCGTGATTCTAACCAACCTTTCTAAGCTTGGTTGGGCGGTTCAGCAAGCATTAGGAGCGAGGACACAGTGCCTTCAAACCTCTTTTTCCTGTGAGGGAATCTTTTTCAGATGCGTTGCACCACTGAGAGAAAAAGCCATTCAGATAAGTGGTGTCCTTCACAAGATCTGTGATAGAGGGGAAACAGGAGGCTCCACTTGTCTGAGAAGAGCTGTTAAGTTGGAAAGAGTTCCTTCTTATATCAAAATGTCAGCGAACACGCTTTGAACTAGAATTGACTGGCAACACACACTCAGAGGTTTACAGGATGTTGACTCATCGCGCACTGATCAATGTATGCTGTAATCTTTGAAATGAAGGACAGACCCAATGAAAGCACCACCATTTAGTAAGCAAAATTGAGCCTTTGGAAGACCTATCTCGCTTTGTGCACTCACTCCCCATAGGATAAGGTCTCTCCATGAGTTGCTTGATCTACCTTGCAATTCTCGAATCTCGGGGAGTAACTTTCAGCAGAACCTGTCTTGCACAGCTGAACAGAAAACATACCTGGACGACTGGCGCTGCCGGCCTCTAAAGAGCAGGAACATGCTAGCAACAACTATCAGCGCAAGTCCGAGAATTAATGGCTGGTACACCATGTGCGAGCTGTCCATTCAGCTGCTTGCACTGCGGCGCTTCAAGGGCGTCGATCAGGCACACGAACGAGGGCCATGCGAGGCTCAAATGGGCGAACTCGCTGCTGAAATGTCTACTTCAGCTGCGAGCATTGAAAAGAAGACAGAAGGGACGAGGGAATTGCAGCACCCATGAAGCGTGATCTGCTAATCAGCTCCCTGCTTCGCCTAGCTGGCTCGCTTCTGAGCTAGGTAGATCAGCTGTTCATTGGCTTCTCATTGTCAACAATTGACGTGCATGACATTCACACTGACATCAACAGAGCTACCTAGCTCGCTGCTTAGCTGCCCTGCCAAAACGGTTGGACAATGGCGCCGCCCCCGAGTTTCACGGTTGACCCCTCCTCACTTCAACAACGTCCGTAACCCTAATGTTGGTTCCAGAAACCTTGAAGCCAGCATCAGGCGGGTGGCTTGTAAATCCAGCCGTCAAACCCAGCTTCCACTAACCCAGTGGAAACCTTGAAGTTTCAGGTACCTAGGTGAAGTCGCCCTGCTTGCTCGGACATTTCCAAGGCTCGAGCTGGCTAGGGTGGGTCAAGGATTGTCCACCTTTTAGGACAGGTGCAGCCTGTAGGGAAGGTTGAACACAGGGGCGGAGGGCAGCGGTGGTTCCTTCTGACATCACAAGAGGCGTATTAAATCGATTAGGTTGGATTAGCTATCATCACAGACGAGCCTCGAGGGTGCCCAACAAACGCAGTGTCGTAGTGGGAGGATTGGGGCGCTCTGCGACGTTGGACGATCTGCTTGGGCACACATGCAGATAGACTCCGACAACTCTCGAGGGGGCCGCGGGCCCGTCTGGCGTGGAGGGGGGCGCTCCGCCGGTCGCAGCGGGGGCAGGAGCGGGGGTGGCACCGCAAATGTCCCCTGCCGGTTCTTTCTGGAAGGGAAATGCGAGCGGGGGGACGCCTGCAATTTCTCGCACAACGTCGACCCAGGAGCAGTGGCCAATGGACGGAAACGAATCTCGGAACGGGGGCCGGCGGCGCACGACCCGCGGCCCGGGGCGTCATTTGGCGGCGGTAGAAATGGGTTGGGGCCGAGTGGCAGCGCCTTTGATCGGTTAGGTGGTCAAAGTGGTCAAAGCCCGTTTGATCGCCTAGGGGGAGGCGCTCCGCAGGCGCCGCCGGCGGCGGGGTCTGGGTACGGTGCTTATGGAGGGGGGGGGATGCAAAACGGGGGGCAAGGGGGCAGGGGCCAGCAGGCGCGGTTTGGGCGGCGAGGGGGGGGTGCCGGGAGGAGTGGGCCGCAGCAGCAGAAGCGGGGGGTGTGCCGGTATTGGCTGGGCGGGTCGTGTAGAAACGGGGCGAATTGCAACTTTTTGCACGTGCACGCGACAGCGCCGGACGTGGACCTTATGACAGAGCTGAAAGGGCACGAAAAGGCGAGGTTATTGGCCAACTTAGTGTGATGAAGGATTGAAATCTATCAAAGAAGAGGGGTTCCATCAGGTTTGGGTGTATGGCGCAAAGTGGGTGGTTTGTTCAATTGGTGGTAATGGTGGCACCTTGGATTTTGAACTTGCAATCTGGAAGTTAGACCTGTGGTAGTGACGGCTGTACACGAACTGTGGCGCGCCGGTTGATCGTCTCTCGTGCTGTCAGATTCATATCCGAAATATATTCTGCAATAGTGTTTGAGAAGAATTGATTCTTGTTTCCGCATATGGGTGCCTTGCTGGGTGACACGTAGACAAGAAAGCCTTTGCTGGCCAGTGGAACCCTAATTTGGCTTCGCTAGTTTCTTGCACCTACAGTTTTAGTGATGGTGTTGTTCCTATTGCAATTGTCATGAAGCAGACCCAATTGATGCACCACTCGTAGTATCAGATTTATTAGATTGTCAAAAGGTTTCACGGTGAATCGTGCATCTGGAATCGGCGCTTTCTGAAACTTTTTCCAACCTTCTACCCGAGCACTCCAGAATCAAGCATCATCTGCATGGTCCTGTCATCCAATGCTGCCACTTTTGTGCCCATTCTGAAAGTAATTCGCTCAGCACTCCTCGTCCTTAGTTGCTAAGAGAAGCCATTCCCAGACTCTGTGTATGTAATACTGACAATCCTTGTTTGCTGCATCGATGCAGGCGGTTCGGGCCATTGCCTTGCCTGCGGGTTCAAGCGAATTGTATACCGGGAGTCAAGATCAGTCTATACGTGTATGGGACTGTGAAACTGGGCAGGTGCGGATCCCTCTTCTTCTATCAGTTGTTTTGACGAAGCAGCTCGAAGATTTTAGCTGGGTCCCTGATCAAGTGCAAATTTGTACCATTATGAGGGTCCTGTGCTGATGCTCATCGGAGGAAGTTTGCTTTATTTTTCAAATTGATGTGGCGGGCTAGATCGGTAGCTCCGTATGAGTGTTACGAGCAGTATCATATCTGTTTACCGTTGTTTTGATTGCACTTTAGGGATAAGTGCGGCGATTAGTCAGCAAATTTGCACGATTTGCAAATTACCGTTGTTTCGAATGCTTTTCTAGAGATTAGTGCTGCGATTAGTCAGCAATGATTTGCAAGTGACATGCCTAGTCACACTTTCTATTGCACATTCTGAGTTTCTTGCCGTCCTTGCTTGTGGACAGTGTAAAAGCGTCGTGCCGATGGGTGGGGATGTGGGGGCCCTGCTGACAGAGGCCGGGTTCTTGTTTGTGGGTTTACCAAATGAAATTAAGGTGAGTTCTCGCGTTTACGGGACGAAAAGAAGGTGAAGAGTTGGCAGTCTGGTTTATTGACTAGCGCTGATCCGTTTACACCCATGACAGAGGCAGGACCAGAAGTGGGTCAGATTCATGGGTCAGCATGTCTTCTTTGCTAGGAAGTAATGCGCTTTCGGTTCAGAACAACTCTACTAGAGCGGAATGCATCGAAGATTTAGCCTGAAGCCCCAGTCATAGTCACGTGACTCTGTTGGCTCGCACAATATATGTATGCTCTGTCGGACTCCATTGTTCACTACATCCTTTTGCCATTCTTTGGTCCCTGAATCGGATCCTGCCTGTCCTGATTCGGACCTGGACATGCGACTTAGTCCTTGTTTGCTATCCCAAGCTTGCTCGAGAACTGCCATTCTGGTTTATTAAAATGCAAGTTCTCACCGTCGTCAGTCTTTCGTCAAACTGAGTCTGTCTGTGCCCGCAGGTCTGGAACATGCAGAGCGCCCCTCCAGCCCAACACAGCCTCCCGGGTCACGTGGGTCAGGTCCATTCGCTTGCGGTCGGAAACAACATGCTCTTCAGTGGAGCCCAGGTGCGTCTTTGAACGAACTTTTCGAAGATTGCTGTTCACAAAAGTCGTCCTTGGGCGGCGAACGGTTCCTCTGATTAGCTTACATTAAAGAAGGCAGTTTCGTTGAGACGCAAGCGATCGGAGGCGATCTTCAGGCTGGCCTTACGTTCGGAATCGATCTGGTCCGACCCTAAGAGTTGAGGAGGGGTTGCGGGCCTCGACATGCCGAAGCTTTCCGTGGAAGGGCTGTCTTCGGGACCTTCAGTCGCTTTCGTAACGTGCTACTGTTCTTTACATATCGGAACTTGGATCGGTCTCTCAATACTTTCTTTTGGGCTATGCTCCTCGACGTTTGTAAGCATGATTTACGGCGTCAAGAGTATTCTCTCCGTTTCTTAGTCCCTATGGTTCCTTCTTATGCTCGATGAGGTTGGAAGAGGGTGTTGTTGGCATTCGAAGAAGGATAAGTAGTTTCCTTTTGTCATATGTCTCTGTACATCGAAGAGGGTTAGCGAGGGAGACGACTCATCTTTTCCGATTGTGGTACGCTTTTCCACATGGATGCGACCACATCCAGACCACATCAATGAAGGTGGCGCTTTCACAGCTTCCACGCCAATCAATCAACTCAATACCTCTCTTCCAGGAGGTGACTTCGACTTATGGGCTGTTTGGCACGTTGGAACCATTGCTCCGCCCACGCTTTTTCCGCACACTCCATGATGAAGTACAAAGCTTGAGAAAGTGACCCAGTGTTTTCTTCTCGTTTCAGGATGGCACAATACGCTGCTGGGTTCTCAACACTACCTCCCAAAACTTCGAGCACGTGGGCACACTCTCGGGCCACACCGCCCCCGTCGTCACGCTTCAATGCGCCGCCAATAAGCTATACTCGGGGTCCATGGATAAGAGCATCCGCGTATGGGATCTCACGGCGAACGGCGCGTGCATACAAACGCTAACCGCGCACGAAAACGTGGTCATGAGCCTCCTCTGCTGGGACCAGTATTTGATAAGCTGTTCCCTGGATAACACGATCCGGGTTTGGGGGCTTAACCCGGCGGGTCAACTGGAGAACACGTACACGTACCCGGAGGTCGAGGCGGGGGCTGTGCGGGCGGCGCAAACGCCACAAGATGTAAGATGCTTTCCCTTTTTACATTATGGAAACCGTTGCTTCTCTGAGAAAGGGGGAATCAACTTAGATGTTGCAGCATACAAGTTGCTTATGCTTGTGATTTGGAGCCTTGTTCTGTGACGTTCATCGAGTCGCCTCGTCTTCAAACACGTTCTCCGAACCATCAGCAGCGCAACTCTTCGATCAACAAATGTTACGAAAATGACGTCATATGCTTCTACCAGCCCTGTTGTTGTCAGGTCGACCGTCATGGCCGTTTGGTTCCAAATGAATGGTGAAATCATTGTTACTGTTCTGTGTCGATCGTCGTCTGTTTACTCTCGAGCCTGAGCCGCGCAATCTAGTCACCTGTGATAGATGCCTTTCCAACCCCGTCCGTCCAACCCGTAGTTCAAGCGGGGCGCTCGCCACATCCGGGGGTGTGGGACTCCCCCTTGGAACCCTCTATTGCCGAGTGACTCGCCTTAACTCTCCGTGTATGCCATCTAAACCGTTCCTGAGGTACTGAGGCTATGAATTGTCGCTTCACTGCAGGCCGGCAGCGCGCCGTCGCTTCGCTGACGTTTATGCCCGGGTAGTCTGCTCAGCAAGTGATGCCGCTTTTGACTGACTATATTGCGCTCTTACAGGGAGCTTTGGCCCTCTGCGGTTCGTTGGACGAGGCGGGGAAGCCTATTTTGGTGTGCGCGTACAACGACAATTCGGTCCGACTCTACGACCTGCCCACGTAAGTCTCTTCGTTAAAAAGTTGCGTGTTCGTTTTCCCGAACCTTATATTCGCCCGGTTTCTCAGTTGGTGACTGGCCACTGCGGCTAAGTTTACGATCTCGCTGGGAACGGACTCAATGTTGAGGCGAATAAAAGTCGGATAGAAAATACTGAGAAGATGTACAGTCCGTGAATGGTTGAATCTTGACATTATTGTCGAACCACAGTTTGCGGCTCCTGAGACCGCCTCCGCCGCTGTATGTGGGACAGGTGTCATCCTGAGATGCACACATCATAGAATTGCAGTATGCAAAGTAGCTCGTCCTGCCTCCTTTGCAGGTTTCAAGAACGGGGCATCCTCTACTCGAGTCGAGAAGTCAGGACTCTGTTAGCCGGGCCGAGCGGGTTGCTCTTTACAGGGGATAGTGCGGGGCTGGTGAAAGTCTGGACTTGGAAGAAGGCTGCACCCAGTTGATTATTTTGAAAGCTACTTAGTGGAAATAGCGACACTGACTATAGTGTTCTGTCATTCCGGAATTGAAAGGTCCGATCCGCCTGTGAACGTGTTGCTCATTCACACGCTCATCCGACACCTCATTTGTGCAATTGCATCTTTTCAAATTGGTCGATGATCGAAGGCACCCCATCGGCCAGTGAGCACACTCCATCTGCTCATTGCGCCGGATCATAGAGAGATGCGGGAACCCCGCAACTCGCCCGACCATGCCTTTCTGCATGGCTGGCTGGCCGGGCCGGCATATATGAAACCATGGCCGGAAACCCTCTAAACACCAAGCATGGGGTCGTGTGACCCAGGGACTGCAGCAGCATATTCTGACATGCCTCTCTGATATCCGGCCGTAGCTTACTAGCTAGTGTCGGTGCAAGCACAGCTGATCATGTTTTGTAGGGGTCTGCTTCTTAGGTTTCTGGACATGACATGCAGCTGCAGCATGCAAACTTTATTCCCGGCCCGTTTGCTGGAGACCGTGCTCCATGGCCATATGGCGGCCAAGGGGTTAATAAACCAGAAGTTACCATCATGCTGCAATTCGTCCATTGGCCGCATGCAAGGGCCCCCGGGGAGCTCATGAGCAGGGACTATCGTCAAACTTGAAAGCATGAGCGCGTGATCATTTGAATATGTCAGTATATCGTATGTCAGTACTACAAGCGCATGCGCGAAAGGCCTGCAACATATACGTGCACTACGCTTCCTTAGTCGAGTCCAATGCAGGTTCAACCTAACGGAAGTTAATACAGCTGGATTGTCCGCCAGGATTCTCATTTATCATACATGCAATCATAAACAGGCTCGCAACCGAGTATCTCTTTCACAACATGGATCTGTGACTCACTGTACTGAAAGCACTGGTCGTTGGGATCCAATCGTTGGGATCAGACGCCACATTAATGTGCGAGATGTGACATATTGCAGAATTTTGGAAAATCGAATAGCGAAAGGCCCCCTACTGCAAGGTACTAGACACGGCCAGGAAATCTGTCGTATGGAGTCTACGGTTTGCATCTCCACCTTATTTACAGTTACAAGGACACTGCAAGGCTGCCAATACTTTTAGATCGACCCAAATGTTACCCGGTGCACTGCTTTAGTAGCCCACGTCCCTCCTGTCCGTGAAGAAACGGCCCGACGGCCCATCCGGTGGCTGGAGCGCCAGCCACACGGGCGTGTCTGCGCCCTCATCTATCGTTTTGTATCCTCTGTGTGATGACATGTCGGTGTTCACATACCCTGGACAGCACACGTTCACGAGCACCTTGCCATCATCCCCCCGTTTTGCTAGATCCCGCGCCAGGATGCGGTTGAATGCGGCCACTCCGACCTTGGACACACCGTACATGCTCGCCGGCCAGCCGTTCTGCTTGTAAGTACCGGCTTCAATCTGGTTGGGAAACTCGTTCATGAGCTGGTCTAGTTGCTCCAATGTGAGCTCAGGATCTGAGAACTTGCGCTGCAGTTCCGGTGACAAGATGCTCAGCGTGCCAGCCCGAGACCCGACAGTCACGACGCGAGCGCCCGCAGAGCTCTTCTTTAGTAACGGCAGAAGTTCCTGCGTGACATTGCGCGTCCCAAAGTAGTTGATGGCGTTTGTCTGCCGCGCCTCGTTAGCCCCAAACGTGTTGCCCTTGAATGCGAACCCCGCGTTGTTGACCAGGATATCCAGACCCCCGTGCTCCTTCTCAAGCCACTTTGCAAACGACTTGACCGAGTCCTTGTCACTGATGTCCAGTTGGTGGAACTCCACATCCACTCCTTCCTCCTTGAGTTGCTTTTGAGCCGCAGCACCGAGCTCCGGGTTGCGCGCTGTCAGAATTGTGGTCACGCCCTCCTTCCCTAGCTTTTTTGCTATTGCAAAGCCGATGCCTTTGTTTGCCCCAGTCACCACGGCCGTCGCGTGCTTCTTCCAATCCTCCATCTCGGCTGAGGTAGCGTAGCTAGGCTGCCGCCCTGTTACGCGGTTGACCAACGTCCTGCCAAAACTCCCAGCGAACTGGCCAATCAGGTGAAGGTTGCTCGACATGCCAGGTCCAATCTGCGCTGGTCCTACTGAATCCCGCAAGTCTACACTGACACCACCGATACAAAGTCCAGCGGTCTGCTGAGTTCCTTGTGCTCTGGGGCGCCTAATCAGCAGCAATCCTGCAGAACAATGTAAATGCTTTGATTGCGCGCTCTTAACTACCACGGTGAAGGGGTCTGCATGTAGGCGTGTGAGCTTGTTGGAAAGCAAAACATTAGCAACTTCCGCCCCCGAGGATATTTGCAGCTGCTGATGATGCGTGCAAAGGCTGACACGAGGAACTGCAAGTGAGGCAGCCATGAAAGAGCTGAGCAAAGAACGTTCAAAGAACGTTCCTTGCAGAATCTGCAGTGCAGAGTTCAGCATTCGAAGGGGGCTTTCAAACCCTAGTGGTCAAGCGTAAACCCTCCTTAACCCCAAGGTTTCAAGGTTGATTCTCCCTCGGCTGTCCACGTCGACAAAAGCGCGGGCTGAAGCACTTTTTGCACACCGTGGCAGCCGCTGTCCACCGTGGCAGATTCTGCGCACTTTTTCATGGCTGGTGCGCGGCCGGTTGCTTCAGACCGGGAGGTTGAGCCGCCGTGCGTGTGTCAGGCAGATACGAATTCCTCTGGACGGAAGAGCAGCGGCGAGGCACATTTTGGCAGCTCTGACGTTCGATGCCGTAGAGGACTGTGGAGGGAAGGAGGAAAGCGCGTGGACTCACGGGGATGACTGCCTTGAAGCAACAGCAGAGACAATTTTATATAATCCGACTTTGACCACAAGTACCCTGGTTTCTGAGGACCATAATTCTGCCCTGCAAATGCTTCAAAAGCGGTTTGGGTACTTTGGGGACAAGCGCACAATTAATGCGCTGACTTTTTGTGGATTTTGACCGCTCACTTTCTGGTCAGCATGGCGCCGTGTTGACTCAAGAGGGCCACGTCGTTCCCTGAGCCCTCTGCAGAATGACTTTTCATGAGTCGGAAAATGGCGGCGGAGAAATTGTGTTGCTGAAATCGCAGCTTGGTAGGGCAGATTGCGAACTGCGCTGGTCAGTCTTTAGACGGCTGGCATTCATTTGCAGCACGTGAATTGATCTTCTGTGGCCAGGTTTCTTGCAGCAAGTGTGTTGGAGGGAGTTTCAGATTTCAAAAGGCCTGTTCAGAAGGACATATCACAAGTTTAGAGTTGAATTTATCTGCGCCCGAGCCGCTCTTGAAGACAACACGTAGACAGAGGGTTATTGCATGTTGTTAGTTGTTATTTTGAGCTCTGGAAGCAGTTGGGAAGCATCATGGCTTCCCGGGCCGCGCTCATGGCCCAGGTTGCCCCCACAACTTCTTACCTTGGGCGGTCGCAGAGCGGGAGCTTCACAAGCACCAGCAGTGCCAGCTCTGACAGCATGTAAGTTCGTTCTCCACTTTGGGATACTTGCTGGACAATTCTATGTTGTTTGTGAGTCCTCGGCCGCGTTTTTACATGCCCTGATCGACAGCTTTCCTCTGATCTTTTTGAATAGTATGTGGGCACTATCATAATTTCTCCTTCTCTGTCCTTGCCAATCAGTCCCTTTCCATTTGCTAATTAGTTCCTGGGCTTCTGTGTTTCAAACTTCTAGGTCAAGGGCTGCTATTGTCGATTGGAACAGATCATGCTATGTATCAATCTCCCTTCCTTTCTTGAAAGGAACTAAAAGGAAGGAAGGCAAAAGGGTGTGCATGTTCTAAATGCGTCCCCCCTTGGATTGCAGGCCCCCTCTCCGGAAGCACGACTCGCTGCGGTCAAGCTTTTCTGGCCGGAAGCTGCCCCCTTCTCTGAGCTTAGACAGCATTCAGCGCTCTCCTCTGGACACAGCTCGGCGAAGGTCCGGCGTACATGCATCTGCTGTTTTGTCCCACTACAGCAAGCCTGAAGCCAGCTTCCCCTCCACATTTGTTTCCGACACAGCGTCCGTTCCGTCGCCCAGATTTGACAAGTGGCTTACGCAAGCGGCAGGAGAGGTGAGCATTCTGGTGCATCTTGCAGACCCTTGTTCATTGTTTCCAGGGAGAGAGGATGGGGCCAAAATAGAGTCCACATAGAAGACATGTGATCTTTGCTGCCAACTTCGTTAGTCACAGTGGTTGATCATGTGTTTGGCGCTGTCTGGTCCATGATGTTACTTTACAGGAGCGCTGCAGGAGGAGAAAGAAACCGGGGACTGAGGTTTGTTCTCCTCAGAGGCAGACAAGTCTTTCGGTTTCACGCTGCAGATCTGATTTGGCCAGATTATGACATCCGTTTGGCTTTTTGTGCAGATCGTGAGGCACTTAGAAGAGGCGCCCTTTTTGCACTACGTCTTTGACGGGAAGTCAAAGGAGGGGGGCCCTCAGTTCCACCATGTTTCTGAGGGGGTCGCATCCACTTCAGGGGGATGGGACGAGATCCAATCGCAGGTACAAGCGGTGTCGCCTGACGGAGTTATCCTAGTTCAGAGATTAGGAGTAGAAGCAGCAGCTGGTTGCTATGGAGAGGAGTATGCGGAGACTAGTGAGAACTGCGCAAAGCTGGAGGGGTGTCCGTATGCCACGGGGCCCAGGACGGACGTGTGGGGGCTTGTGGTGCAAGGAAGGCGGAATGCGAAGCATGCGTGTTACATTCTGAAGACGACGCGGGCGGTGGGTTGCAGCCATGCGTGCACGCGGTTCAGCTTGACACGAGCAAAGTGTTTCGGACCGTCGCTGCATAAGCAGCTGGAGAACTCGTGGCTAGCAAGCTGAGGGTTGGGACAACCGAAGGTTTAGTCTGTACATCTTGACTAGGACTGCAGGAGTTTGCCATCAACCATTCTTTGAGATCAAACGCAAAGTTGTTAAAAGATCGTGGAGAGCATGCAGCCACATGGCCAGAGGTTTAGGAGAGGAAGTTCGTATTGTGCCAACAAGTTAGCTCGTCGTTAGATCAAAACCGAGAAATCCAGCCAATCAGATTTGTTTGTAAAGAGTGGAGACTTTTGCTTAATGTAGTTCGGCTTTTGGATCAAATCAGGAGTCCTTTGCTCATCATACGTGGATCTCAATCACTTAAACCACCATTTCATGGCCCATGACTCATTGAACCAGTGCTGCTTGATGACTTGATTTTGAAGTATGATGACATGGATTTCAAGTGGCTGTATGATGACATGGATTTCAAGTGGCTGACGATAGAATCCCTACATATTGCATCCGATGAACAATTGTTTGTGAGTCTGCAAATTGCATCGCTAATGAAACAAGTTGCGTTTAGCTGCACATATAAGGCAATGGCAATTATTTAGGACCGTAGCTAGCTTCTGGACCATTTTGCCCTTGCGCCATGCAGGTGTTGCACTAAATTATCACACACATTCCGAGTGTGTGTGATAATTTACTACTACTTACTTTACATACTTCCTTGCCACCGCCTCACAGCAGCAGCAAGCAAAGCGCCCAAGCATTAGCTACTTAGGGTTTCGATTTCAGAAGAGAAGGAGAAAGCGAAGCAAGCAAGGGGGCTGGGCCAATTCAGACAATCTCGTGCTCTCACGGAAGATCTTCTCTGCGATTTCTGATTGGTCAACCATCTGAAGATTCTATGCAGGTCCAAGACTGACATCCTCCCTCTCTCTCCTCTCCCCTCTCAGGTATGACACTTTATCCGCCAGGCACCAGAATTCTTATCAATGCGGAAGCTCTTCGTAAAGCAGGAAAACTTGTTTAACTCGTGCATGCTGAGATGGACTGACTATGCTTTGGGATAGATCATTAGTTTGTTGCATTGAATGCTTTTGTTCTATTGCTTCTGTCTTAATTCTGGCCCAGCCCCCCTTTAGCATTCAACAATAAGAGGGTAGTATAGGCAGTCCTACAGTAGTAGTCTCGGATGTGCTCATCCAATCTGGACAAACACATAAAGACAGCATATTTTGATAAGACGGCAGGCCAGCCAAGTTAGTTTGTATAACTATCTTCACACAATTGATGCTTCCATTGAATATCATTCTTGGGTTATGCATGACTCAAATTGTAACTCAAAACATAGACCATAATTTCATCCCAGAAGAGCCAAGGTAGGCAATGAAAGAAGGGCTGTCAACTTCTTTCCATGCCAATCCACCTGAATCTTCTCTGCTATCTTGTTAGATACACATGACCTGTCCACTATGGCTTTCAATTGAGGACAGGAAGGCAAACCGGAATATCTCATGCCGTATAAATTGAGAAGACTCATATGCTTGCATGAAGATTGGCATGCTTGTCATATGAATCTAGCTTTTGCTGCTTCATAGTCCTGCCGCGCCACATACCATGGCCAATCAGATGGCTACTGGGCGGCCGAACGTAGATATGCATGTGTTCAGACTAAGTACTTGACCTGGGCCATGCGCATAATTACCATTTAATGTCGATTAATTTCAACTCTCATCATCGAGGCGGCAGGGTCGATCCGACTAAGTGCATATGGTTGCAGGTGCCCTAGCTTCGATTATATGCAATACTTAAGGGCATGCTGGTCGATCACTAGTTGGTGCATTCGAATAGGTGGCCAGAGGTATCTAGTACGCGCCAAAATCACCAAGGCTAAAGAAACAAGTGCAACATTCTATAACTTCGAGTCATAAGCAGCCACAGATTTCAACTCAAGAGGTGCCGGAGACTTCTTAAGCACTTACATTTCTGACATAATAACCTAACATCGCACCCGCACGTTGCATCCTCCAATTGTCGAGGAACATGATGACGTCGTTGTTACATTACCAATTAAACTGCAAAACGTGTGGTCATGGAACCTCCATCAATTCTTTTAGTGAATGATCGAGTCTTTCGCGCACAGTCATTGTCACGGCCTTGCAGCATCATGAATCATACCGACTGATATTCGAGTGCACATCTCAAAGCGTGAACTAGCACTTTGAGGCGCAGTTGGTCTATCTCACCCTCAGCTAGTACTGTTGTTTCTAAGGTCGATCCCTCTTGATTCTGATCCTCCATGCACGACCTCATGATTTCAACGAGGCTTGTGAGCGTTTCTATCATTGGTCATTGTCCCTTCACCAGAAATCCCGCAGAAAAACCCATCACAATCCGTTGCACAATCAAGGACAACCACCACTGGCACGTATTTAGTAGTCCCGAGTATCCACGTCCGAGCTTACCCGAAGATTCATTTGTTAAAAGCCTTTTACCCAGCACCCGCAGAATCATAGCGGACTGACTACATGCACACTTGAGCCATACCTCGGAATCGTGTTCCTTCACCGGCCCCGCCTCATATTCCTTTTAAGGAAGCTTCATATTCCTTTTAAGGAAGCGAAGGTTTTTTGAATCGAATATTTCGCTTCGTGTCTGTTAAAGAAGCACTCTTACATTGAAGAATATTTCACTTCGCGGCTCGTCAGTATTGCGTCATCTATTCGGCCGTCTTTGTACAACCTCTTTCGGCCCTGGTCCACCATTCCGTGAGCCAAAGTCTTTGATCAAGCTTTCCTGAACTTTTTGCGCCCCTTTTGACAGAGCTTAGAAATGGCAAAGCAAATCCTGCACCGCCCACTGCTTCCTATCCATTCCTACCCTCGGTCTCCCGACTCTTCCCGACCAGATACTCTTTTCTATCCTGACTTCCTCTTACATTCATTTTATGACCCCCGCCCACCTACAACGGCGCATTCTGCGTTCTCCGTCTCCCCCCCCCTGCTCCGCTCGCCATTTCCCCGCCCCCCCTTCACGAGCTGGTGTACTTGGTGACCGCTTTCGTCCCCTCGGAGACGGCGTGCTTGGCCAGCTCCCCCGGCAGCAGCAGCCGCACCGCCGTCTGGATCTCGCGTGACGTCAGCGTGGTCTTGCCGCTGATGCGCGCGAGCCGCGACGCCTCGCTCGCGATCTTCTCGAACATGTCGTTGATGAACGCGTCCAGGATCGCCATCGCCTTGCTGCTGATGCCCAGCTCCGGGTGCACCTGCTTCAGCACCTGCGCCGGGGGGGAGATTGTTGCTGTTATTTCACGGAGGGGGGACAGAGACTGCTGTCGAGTGCGGGGCACAGGAAGGTCAGGTCGTCTTTTCTGCCCCCCGTAATGATCAGCACCTGCGCCGGGGGGATGATTGCCGCGGTGATTTCACGAGGGAGGAGACTGTTGTGATTATCGGGGATATGAAACCCAGTCTGTCTTCTCTGCCCCCCACAATTGATTTGAGAGCCACAGAAGACGGGCTGACATTGGGCGCGGACAGGATCACGAGGCGATCGATTGGGTGACGTGAGGTAAGACGAATTGGAGTCGAAGTTGGAGCAACATAGACACGGATGCGAACGGTTATCTAAGGAGAAAACTTGTGCACTGAGGTGGTTGAGCACGGCAAATCATAAAGGGGTGACGCAGAGCATCATTCCTCAAAATTGTAGAGGTCGGCAACGGCAGATGACTTACAAACGATTACGGCTTTATTCGGCAGGGACCATCTACCGGCCGGTTAAGGAGAGCCAATAATCGTGAGCACTTCTGCAAGCCGCGAACGGACAGATCACAGAAACACCTGCCGTTGCAAGACTTTTTTAGCGCAGCGCCTTCTTCAAACCCTGGTATTGCCTTGAGCAAGTCGGCAGAACCATCGCGATGCATTCCGAACCCTTCTTGAATGTTCAGCTCTGCAAACGAAGCAGGAGAACGAAAGAAAACGAAAAATCAAAATCAGCTGCCAATACCGTCCCTGACGCCACCCCGCTGTTTAGACGAGCATACTTGACGCTGAGATTTTCCAAAACGAGCCCTTTGACTTCGAGGCAACGAGTAAGGCGAGGATTAGAGAACCGGTCTCCGCTGATCTGGCGCATGAACCGGTCACGATGAAAAGCAAATGCGTGAAAGAGTCGGCTTGCGTATCAAACATTCGACAAGTAGTCGTCGTATCTTCGAGACATCCGGGTAAAGAACAAACTTGTCTACGGGTCGGGATTCTAGCTTGAGCTTAAAGTTGTCGATGCCTTTGAAAGACGCGGTTGGAATAATCACCAGCCTCTCCCTGCTTCCGAAGCCGCGCGAATCGATCTGATCACATACTGTCGTCGAAACAATTCCAATTCACATCGGAAAATTTCCTCGGAGTCCTTCCTTCAAGACGCTTCTAAACATGTAAAAACCGCATATTGGGTTGAAACATAGGATTTTGAGGTTAAGAGACCGCCACCAAGGTCAAAAGAAGCACGCATCACTCGGCAGCCCAGCTTGCGGGACGGCCCTACATGGCCCCATATTTTCCACAGCCAGAAAACAATACCGGCTGAAACATCTGCTCGACATTGCTCGCGCAAACTCTGCCACGTGCAGATTCGACAAAACATGCTTCAAAACCAAATATCAAAATCAAACCCACGTGCATGCGAACCCGGACAACCCAGCAAGCAGAAACCAGCACCCGGCATGATTCGTTTCGAACCCAATCCTGCATTTCCCAGGCAGAGTGACAGATTCTATCGAAGAAAACCCCGCGCTGCCCCACCCACCCTGTGAATGTAGATCTTCCACGTGAACTGCCTCCGCCTGTTGCGCTGCCCGCGGCCTCGGCCGCGCGGCGCCTTGCTTGCGGCGCCTTCCTTGGGCGTCTTCTCGCCCTTCCCCGCGCGGCCGCGCGGTCGCTTCTCCGCAGGGCGCTTCTCTGCAGGGCGCTTCTCGGCTTCGCCCCTCGGCGCCTTCTCGGCAGTCTGCCCTTCGCCCTCCGCAGTGTCGCCCGGTTTTGGCGCCATGCCTAGTTGCGGCAACGTCTCAGAACCTCGCAGCTTGCACCGCAGCTCGAAGAGTCGTTCCGGTGAGGCGGACGAAAGTCAACGGAGCGCCGTTTCTGTGCGTTCGGGTGCGCTTTCGATCAGGGAGACGCCCTGCAGGACCACGATATTCCTTTGCCAGATGTGCGACTCATGCATGAGCTATCCTCGGCTGAGCTTCCGCTTGCAGGGAGAGGAGGATTGAAGGTTTCGGCTGCTGATGTACAAGCTCGAAGCGGAAGGGTAGGAAACCTGGTACATCTTTTTCGGCTAAAAACTGAGCCTCAGAGGGCAGGCTTATGAATTGTAAGTACGCTCGTCTGACTGGATCATTCGTGCATGTGCTTTCGACGCCGTACGGACATCGTGCGAAACTTGCAAAGTGAAGTTTCGACTTTGCCAGATGCGTCGTCTCTGGTTTCCGCGCATATAAACCAACGTGCTCGTCCAGCAAGCTTGCAGACGAATCCAACTTTGCCACTCAAAAAGTGCTTTTACGTCACAAAAGTAATCGGAACGGCCTGCAGGAGTTCTAGGTCGGCAGGCTGCAAATCGAAACTTGACAAGATGTTCTGTCAAGCTACTTATAACAACACCATGTTTTGGTACGGAACAGGTTTCAACGTTCGGCACTGCAAGGTGTCCCCCATTGGTCGTGGCCTGAAGCGCCAATTGAGCAGGCGGGGCTTTAATCTGCAATCAAGCTTTCAGGTTGCCAAGAGGCCGGCAGGCCGAGAGCTAGACGCCCTTCCGTTATTCCATCGTGACAGCGCTTGAATTCGGATCCAATCTCGTAATAGCGGGACCGTGCACGGTCCCGCTGGACACAAGTCATATCCCGTCATCTCTTTGAGTCGGTCCATGAGCAAGTTCTCTGTATCATTTCACAAAGCTTCCGACCTGCATCAAGCCCCGGGCCCGCGGGCCGGTGGATGGGAACTCTGGCAAACATGTAATGTTAAGATTGCCGTCCTAACTTAGTAATGACCCTTCCAAGCACTCGGCAGAATTCTTCGTCTGCAATAGACGAGGCACGATATTCTTGCAAACTCAGTACCATCTAATCATAGATGTCATGGCCGATCAATATTCCAATCAGGTTTGCGTTCAATTGGCTGCCCGTACGCGCCCACGCCATGGAAGTGAAGATCGAATATGTGGTGAAGTATATAATATTTTCATGTCGAAGCCGCCACATGCATGCATACAAAGTACGTACCCGCAAGCTAGGTCGGAGGACCGATTCAGCATGTAATAAAACTGCAAACAGCAACGTCCCTATGCGCAGCGATCGGCCGAGTCTGAATCATGATCAACCTATTATTTAGCATGCGTCAATCAAAGAGGAGATCTGACCGACTCGAGATTCCTTCGTTCTTGGGCGTCACGGCGAAGCCAGGTCAATGCATGCCCCGGCACACGGGCCTTACTCTGGATGCGAGCAAGTCGACGAATCGACAAAATTGCAGATCAAGTTCCCTCTTCAACCTAGTTGATCGTCACTATGTTTGTACATTCATCTGGCTCTCCTACCCAAGCGGTGCCAGCAATGGTGGGACCTCTAGGAAATTTCTCCTGGACTGATCGATCTCTAGCTCTTGGTCTTCCTACGTCTCTGCCTAAACAACCTACATGCTTCTGCTTTATTCAACTCGACTATCAGACAATTGCTTACGTCAACACCGCAGCTTACAGGAGCACGTAATGTGACATGCTAGTAAGCCATAATGACCCTCGGGTCTTTCAGCAACTCGTCGTAGGTAGCTTTCACGAGGTCTGCGGATTGTACTAGAGTCGTAATCCGCATCGAGATATACTTGCCCCCAGCCTTTTCCTGTACGAGGAAGGGGTACCACAGGAATTAATTAGGGGCTGTAAAGCTTGTCCATTTGGATCCGACCTATGTTTGGCATGGAGCTCTGCATCCGATGTTGAATTGAAAACTGAATCAACCTGGCAGGCTGTCAAACAAGGGTCTCCACGAAATCCAGTTTCCAACAAAGTCGTTCGACGGCAACGAGAGTATCTAAGAGATGCTGCGAATGATCACGCAACCGGTCTTTGAAGTGACAGACCGTCAACGCGTCTGGAAGAATTTTGAGGTCCGCTGGTCGAGTACCGCGCCGCTCCTTTGCAGCGAAACTACCAATGCGAATGTCAACCATACATTGAGAGAGAAGAACCAGGAGTCGACACCGGCCAATCAAAGAGTCGGTCAACTTAAGGACAAAGGATCACTTGAGATCAAAGGCGACTCATCATTGCCAAGATCAGAAGGAGAGCCTTCGAATGGTAGCCTTTTACTGCCTTAATTCAGGCTCTATAAAGGTTCACAGACTGTTACACCCGAAGGAAGCGACTGCTCACCCTGACGGAGTAATGACCGGTGGCCAGCTTCGTCCCGCAAATTCGCTCGACTGTCTCTAGCGTGTCCTTTGTAAAAACTTTCCCGGGAGCTTTCGATGTCGTCTCTACCTTTCCAACTATTGAAAAGGTGTAAAACGAAGGGAACTGGACGAGCGCCTCGAGAAGCGATCGCTTCTCTGTGTCCTGCATGAAAGAAGCTCCGACTCGTTTGCCAATCTTCCAAGATGGACATGAAGGCCAGTCCACATTTGTGTTGTTAACTTCTGGACCCCTTAGGTTGTCCACTGTCCTACGTTGGTCTACTGTATCCCCTCTTCTCAGAAGCTCATACACTTTCCTCGATTCTTGACAGCATGCTCGCAAGGTCCATCTCACACCCGCCTTGTTTCTCGCATGCCGCTGATCCAGTTCGAAGTCAATAACTGCCAAAATCAGAGCACATACAACCGGTCACTGTGCCTAAACCTGCCCAGGCGCTAGAACGCCTGTGTCTCCAATCTTGTAATATGGAAAGGAGAAGAATTCACCATCTTCAAGAAAACTCCCTAACAGTGCCACTGTAGCGTTCATTTGATTGAATGACCATTGGACTCTAAGCCAGCTAGGAGACAGCAGGCTGCAAAATCAAGTCCTTCGGATTGCCGCTACAACCTTATAAAGCATCTCTGCCACACCCCCGACTGAATTGCAGCGGCTGCGCAAACGAAGGCTATCCTTCCACCAAGAAGGCGCAAGCTCCTGAAGAGCCAAATGAATCAGGGTCTATAATGGCAACAAGCCGTGCCGCAACAATCCCAGGAGCCTGAGAGATGGGAGTCAAGACCTACCTCAGAAGCTTTGGGTGGATCAAAATCCCCCTTCATTGCTCGGACTGCCACATCAAATCGGGACCCCCCAATGCTCTCCTCGTCCACCATCGCTATCTTTGGGGGCCGAAGATTGGACACTCCAGCACTGTCTGAAGCAAAATTGGACGGCTTGCTGCTGTCCGAAGCTGCTTCGAAACCTCCCCTTTCGAATGCACCACCCGCGCTTGGATTCTTAGACTCAGAGTCTGCGCTCCTATCATTCTCTTGTTCTCCAGGACCTTCTGACGAGGTGCTAGCTCTTAAAGTCTGTCTCTCATGTGCAGTTCTTCGCATGTACTGTCCTCTATGTGGTGTGTGTCTCAGGTGGCTTGGCCTTTTACTTGGATGCACAAACAGGGGACAACGCGAAGGAAGCGCCGGCTGGCCTTTTGACCAAATGCTGTGAAAAGACATGCAAAAGCGCCCGCTCCTGCAGTTCTGCACAACGCCATCTCTGCCAATCTTGCATATGGATCCATCAAGAGGAAGCTTCGAGGGGCACAGCCTAGCGCCCTGCTGACAGACTTCCATAAGAGAAGCTGTTGCGTCACTCACTCCCAGAATAATATGATTGTATGAGGTCCTGAATTCCGCAAACTGAGAGATGTTACTAAGAGTGCCAGCCACAGATGGAAGAGCAAGACGCAAAGATCAGCAAGCACTGTATGCAGCACTAGCTAAGATTTGATCCTTTGCTCCCATGTACTAACTCGGAACTACCGTATTTTCGGAAGGCAGCTCAGGTCCCTGCATGCAGCTTTTCCACAGCTGAGAATCATGGGACTCGGAGCAGGCGACGAAGCTGCAGTGAAACTTTTTCCTGCGGAATCGGAGGCCCGGGTGCGAGACGGCCTTCAGAACCGGTAGAGCCACGGCATCCTCGTTTTAGATTGGGACAGGCCAAAACGCAAGCGCGATCTAACAACCGTCACAAGACGCGTCAGCCAGCAAGCTCTCACCCGGTCTTCATGACCGTCTTGAGCCGAGCAACTAAAGAAAGCTATTCTTTTTGCTACAAGAGTCATGCTCAAAATGCATCATATCAAGGGCTAGGTAACTCGAACTACTGACGCCGGATTAGTATGCAGAAGGGACCACTGAGACCACCAGAAGGCTCGATCATGCAAGTTAAAAGTTCGCAGCTGCACAGCTGTAGGTGCACGACCACTTGAAGGAAGATCGACTTTTGTAGCGAGATCAAACTTGAAACTTTTGTGCTCTGGTTGTTAGATTGTACGCGGGTCACTGGCTGTGAAAGCCAATCTTTTCGAGGTACACGTTTAGATCAATTGCCTATATGCGACGATTGCAAACATGGCAGTCCTTAAGTTTGAAAGTATGCACAGATAACCATTGTCGACTTTAATAACCATCGGGGGCATTGATGAGCCTGCAGGTTTCATTGTAGCTGAATAACTTTAAAAACGTTTACAATGGCCAGCCGTCGCATCTCATGCACTCGAGTATACGACTCTGCCAGTTGAAGCAAAGACAACTGGTGGGCTGGAGCATCGGGGCAGATATAGAGCTCCATTTCTCGCTCCGCACCAAGCTTTATCAAAGCTTGATAGATGTCCTCGGCAAGATGCGTCTGATGAAAGCCTCGCACCCCTCCACTTGCGTGATCTCGTTCCCTCCAAGCTCTAAGAGGTCCAGACTCAAGCCCATTAGCCCACCAAAAACACGTTGTAGTTCTCTAGGACCCGTATCCAATCCGGAATCGACAACTTCACGTCGGATCCCAGATGAGTAAAACTGCGTATCTACGGGGCTCGCCCCGAGCTGGTTGCTTGCGAGGCTCAACCATCGGAGGTGCGGCAGGAGGTGGAGGGCAGCCAAGCCAGAAGCATGCGAGATTCTGTTGTGGCTCAGGTCCAAACTTCGAAGCAACTGCAGCGCTTCGAGACCTGCAGGAATGTCAACAAGACGGCCGTTAGCATTCGCATCATCAGCAAGTTGTCTACAATGGGCTTTCGAGCTTTTACCGGTCTTGCAGCGAGTGGTTGCTAGGCTCCCAAATCGTGGGCTCAATCAACCCATGTTTCCTTGCCAAAGATCCGGATCGTCGGGAACATTTCGGCGTTCAAAGGGTCAGCGCATAATGAGCCGCACAACGAGATCACACGGCTGACACGACAGATCACAGCGAAAATGGAACAAAGCGGGGGAAGAGAAACGACAACGCAGGGACGATGGAAATCCGCAGAAGACACCGGAAAAAGCATCGGCGCGGAAGAGTAAAAGCACGAGAACGGGCGGACCTTCGACGGAGCGCAGCGCATTGCGGCTGAGGTCGAGGTGCTGCACCCAGAGCAGCGCATCTAGGGCGCCCAGCCGTCGCAGGCCCAGGTCGCGCAGCCGAAGCTGGAGGCACGGCAGGCCACCACGGGAGGTGCGCACCATGTGCGACTCGAGCTGGCGCCTGTCCGCTGTTATCTGCGGAGTGAAACGCGCGGAGCGGACAGTGAGTACGAGTTCTGCTCGTCAGCCGGACGTCGAACAATTTCGGGGATGCCTTTCGATTCGGAGGGGTTGAGAACGGGACGGATAGTGCGGGCCCATCAACTAGTTCTAGACGCGTTCATATCAAACCAAACTTAAAAACGTCGGGGATGTTCTTCTACTCTGTTGGAAGGCCTTGATGACCTAAACGTATGCTGAGCCTTGGGCAACCATTGTGAACGGGCGTACAATAGAGCTGTGTCGATTCGCCGGGACAGCGAATTGTTCGAGAAACAAAAGCAGCAGCTTCGTCTGCTCTCCCAAAACTGAGCACAACGCGACTGCTTTTTGTTAGCCAATCGGCGGGTTTCCGACCTCGTCAAATCATTTTGGGGAGACAGGCCTTGTCTTCTCGGAAGCAAAAATCACAAGGATAGGAGAGTTCCTTTTCTGCACTCAAGCTCCTGATTACAATCGTCAAGCAGCCTGTTCTGAAAGCACCGGACTATCATGCCTTGAGGAGAAGCAGGATCCGTCCTCGGGCAAACCGGCAGAAACAAACATGCTCTTTGCGAACAGACTCCAAGCCCGAAACACCGATGAAACAGATTCGGCCTCCCCAAAGTAGCTTTCTGAGGTAGCGTCTGCGAATCGAACCAAGTAGGTAGCCAACTGCCGCTTGCTAAAAACTACTCAGCTCTGGAGTCTGATACGAAGCAGGTTCCGTCAGTGCTCGGAAGCTCACCTCTTCCAGCCGCAGTTGCCCGAGCATCTCCCCGTAGTACTCGGCGTGTGCGGGGTCCAAAGCGAACAGGTCCCGGTAGATCTGCTGTTCTTCGTGTAGCCTACTGCTTACTGCGGCGTCGGTCGGGAGGAGCCGCATGGCTGCCAGGAGCCGCGCCTTGCCGAGGAGGATCCACTTGCTACAGAGAAGGAGACGCAGATTCTGGGCGCACTAGATCTAGGATATCGACGGTTGACGACAATGTGCCTCGTAGAAGTTTGGGAATGCGGTGGAAAATCTGAGACCGACTTCCTCGGGCCCGATCAGGGGGTAGGGAGGGACAGAATAGTAAGTCGCTTTCAGCACCCGCGCATATCAATGTGTACTTTCGACGAGACGAAAAAGAACGTCTACGCCCGCTGGTGGTCAGACGTTGCCCAAAGCTTCAAGAAACATTAGCTTTGGAAGTGCTGTAGGGCCGTTGGTTGCCTAAGGACAAACTTTCGAGCATGTGGAGAACGCCTTCACTTTCGGACAAGCTGGAGACATCTGTAGCCTCTTCAGCCAAAGAGGATATAACAATGACAAGCAACGCGTAACCTATAACGCACTGCTAGACCATAAAAGTGCATGTCCTTCTGAAACGCAGCCCAGACAGGATGAAATCCCCGGCCCACCAGGATAGTCGACTCGTTCACAACTTCCAGACTCGGTTGCGGGCGAAATAATCGTTCTTTTCAGGTGGACTTTCCGATATCTACACCGGATAATTTGGCCCTGATTGAAAGCACGAAAACGTAATGACACCGCTTCGCTGCTCACCTCTTGCCCTGCTCTAGTTCCTCTTGCTGCTCCCTCAGGTCCAGCTGCCTGGCAAACAGCTCCTCTCTCCAACCCTTCCAATCCCCATTTTCCGGACCTTTTGGCACCGACGAAGCTGCATACCCCGGCAGCGCCAGCTGGCTGACGTCACTCGCCGGCTCCCCTGCATCACTCTCCCCTGCTCCCCTGCTGACGTCACCATCTTGCAGACGAACTGCGTCCGCATCCGACTCGTCAACCATACGAACACTGAAACCACTTGATGCGCTTCGGACGACTTGGACCCCCTCTGCCGTCCGAATTCCCGGACCCGCCCCCACATGGACGTGAAGTTCCGCGCTTTCAATTCTTCCCGCCGGTAGCTCCTGCACCCAAACTTTGGACGCTTCTCCTTGGCTCCCCACTGGCGTCCAGTCCTTCCCGGTCTTTTTGGACGCTTCGGGTGTCCGGATCGTCGCTGGGACTGTATGTCTGTTGACGCCGGATACGGGCTTTGAGAAGGAGAGGATTGCTGGCAGAGTTGGAGAACTAGAGGAGGGGGTCGGGGGTTTGGCAAGCGGGACCGTGACACCGGAGGGTGGCCACATTCCCGTCAGGACAGAACCTGGGTTGGGTACCTAGACAAGGAGGTACAGAAGCCTTGATGTTGCAGCTCTGGAAGTCGAGGTAGTCCTCGCTTGCACGTCCCTCCAGAGGATTCACTCGGTGATGCAGGTCGCTATTTGTCGATTTTAAGGGCAACCTCGACAAAGCCCAAAAGTTTCTCGAGTATGCAACATCACGAGTTCGACCAGCTTGAGCAACATTGGGTACAGATCGATTTTCGGCCCCTTGCGCCCCTTTGCTTTCCTTCCATCTTTGGAACTGCCACTTCGAAAAGAAGCCTCAAACTATGAGCATGTCAAGATGCATCCATAATTCAAACCACCTTTGAACGCTCCCTCCGCAACCTTCTCAAACACCAGTCCTTCACATCGTCTATCTTGGACCTGCGAGTCAAACCTGAGACGAACTTCCTAAACTCTGGCAGCAGTCCCTTGCTCACCGTGTTCTGCAACAGCCACGCCTGGTAGATCCACGCGCTGGTGTCATTTGGATCAGTGAAGAGCGCATTGTCCACAAGCTCAAACTCCGGCTCCAGCCATGCCGATGCTTGCTCCGGTCCAACAGCGATGGCCTCCTTCGACAGGTGCATCTTTGTGAGGAGTTTACTGCAAAGATTAGGTCCAATCACTCAGTCTGTTGCAAAAGGAATATTAAAACGTGTTTTTGACAAAAAAGCTTACAGCTTGTATGTCAGTGAGGCCTACTCTTGAACCCAAAGCTTGACATCATACACAGAGTAACGATTCCTCTGCTTCAAATTTCCTCGTTAGAACGATGGGGGCTTGACATGATGAGGATTACACTATCAGTTGAAAAATCAACATTCAAACAGATGTAAAAATAGCCAGTTGACATCAGAAACAAAGTCTGTGTTTCTGCTCATCTGACACTTGACCTTCTGCTGAGAAGAAACTCTATCATGCCCTTCGACTGTGAGCACCCTACACAACATAAGACCAACTCCTTCAAGATAAGATAGAGGGCAGAAGGACTTGACTCAAAGTCACTCAGACCGCGTGCTGCCACGCACCTCCGGTAGTGCCACGCCGAAAAGTTGCTGAATGTCTCATCAATCTTCTGCTGCACAAAGGCCATCTCCTGAGTGTCCGGTGCATCGGCCTGCCGCACAAGGAAGCGTCGGTAGGCCCAGCCATGAAAGTTGCGCTCGTCCTGCTTCAGGAGCTTATCCAGTAGCTTGAATTCTCTCTGGAGTGGAGCGTGCACTCCCATCAGCTGGAGAATCCACTTGCGGTGGTACCAGGCACCGTATGCCTTGGGGTTCACTTGAAGGGCTTCAAAGATGAGAACCAGCTCTTGCTCAAAGATGCGCGCTTTTGCTGCATCATCCGCCTCTGCCAGGAGCATCTTTATGGCCAATTTCCTGCAGCGATCAGGAGCGATGCGGGTCAACCAATAAGATGTTAACCTTCATAAGATATGTATCAATCCACCAATGCTTAGAGGTGATGCTTGCTGGATGCAGAACAGGCCAATAGCTGCTGATTGACAGTATTGTCACGATGTACACTGTGAATATTGTTATGTACATACCAAAGCGACACCTCTCGTTCACTCGCATCTGTTCATTGTGAAGCACTGCCCTCAAATTAGGGTTTCAAATACTGTGCCATGTACAGCCTGCACCACGCAGCCGTCAAATCGCACCTGTAATTCCAGGCAGTGTACATGTCAGGATTCGTCTTGAGCAGCGCAGCACTCTTCTCCACCGCCTCCTTTCCATAATCCTTCTCTTGGTTGCTCCTCAGAACCTCGGCCAGCTGCTCGGCATACTGCGCTGCTCTCCTCTTGTCCTTTGCAGCTTCCTTGGCACCAGCATCGCTATGCTGGTGCTGCACAGAAACCCTCGCACGCCCGTGCATCCTGAAAACAGCTCAGGAACGCTAGAAGGAGACTGCCAACTGCTGAAGATGTCTACAGACTACAGTGCAGCACCCTGAAAATTGGAATAGCTCCTGTACTACCTATGATAGCTATTAGCAGGGAGCCCGGCCGGGGCCAGCGCTATAACAAGGTGGCAACCCGCACGCCAGTATTAGCAGCCCCTCTCTAGATCCCTCGACTCTAGCATTTTCAACCGTTATCGGCAACTGTCTAAAAAGCCGGTAAGAAGCGGTGCTGGCACCAGCAACCGGCGCGGCGGGCTAGACTGCCCGAGGGTCTTGGCCCAGGCTCGCCTTGGACCGGCGGCAGCCGCCGCCACCATGGTAACGGTTTTCTCTCTACTCGACTGCGTGGATCGATTTGAAAGATACGCGCGCTTGAAATCTTGAACGCATTTGACGTTGACTTCTTTGACCACCTTCGACGACATTCAAATTGCATGGACAACAGTGGATTTCGAGCAGTCAACGCTGTCAAGTTTCGGACTTTCGTTATCGAAGACTGCGTTGAATGAAACTCGAAAGTGCAAGGCAATCCCGCAACGGAAATATCTTTGCTCGAGCAGGGCCGGAGCAGCCTGTCAACAGTGAAGGCTCGGAAGTCGGATCCAGGATTGGAGCAGCTTGCGAGTCCTGAGCCAATTGGAGGCTACAGCAAGCTCACAACCTCAGCATTGCATTCATTTCCATTTCGTGGTTGCGGACAGAAAAGCTGTTTTGCAAAAGCTGCGCAGCGCACAAGTAACGAAGCTTGGGGCATTTCTTTGCACTTGCATTTTGCTAGGCCTTTGAAGCGTGCTCTGGCGTCATTGCATTGAGATCTGGGAATCTTACAACTTCCTTCAATCCTACCTCCGAAGAGGAGGAGGTACTGCAACTACTACGAGAATGAGAGAATGCATCTCGATCCACATCGGGCAGGCGGGTATCCAGGTAAATCTGCTTAAAGCTTCCTAATTGATACAACTTGGTTTCTCATGCGTCCCTACTTGTTGCAGGGGTCTAGAAAAGGGGGTGGTAAAGAGGGAGAGCAAATGTTTGACCACTCTTGCACACTGATAATTCAATTGTTCTGGCATGCTGCAAAAATCAACACACAGATCTGCACTTGAGCAAAGCTTCTGCTTGATTGGGCAATCAGGCGCATATAGTTTCCGATGCAAAGGGCATTTTGCTGGTGTCCCTTCAAGCGGTGGTTCAGTTGCAAGGCTTAGCAAACCGCAATGCTGAGAATACATGCTCAGCGGTTGGTCTATCTGTCAGAATTCACTGATGTACAATTCCTGTTTCGTTTTGATGCAATGGTTATGCAGAAATGCATCAAATCTTGCCGCTGATCGGGATTTATGTCCTGTGAACTGCCTCAGTGCACAATTCATCATTGGTTCCCTCTCTCTCGGGTCCAAACCCCAAGTCAGATCCTGTAGTAAAAACTTCAACATGATTTCCCACTATCAAGCTTGCCTTCGTCTAGTGTGCAATCTGCTCTCGCTTCTCTCCTGCGACTAAGTAAATGGAACCACTTTGCAGGTCGGCAATGCCTGCTGGGAGTTGTACTGTTTGGAGCATGGCATCCAGCCAGACGGTCAGGTGCCAGCCGAGAGGGCCAGCGGCGACGATGCCTTCACCACCTTCTTCAGGTAATCCTTTTTTGGCCACTCTTACCCTTATTTGTTGCGATTTATTCACCGCTTATGGAGCAAGAGAGGGTGTTTTTAATGCTGATAGGGCAAGCAAAAGCATATGTAAAAGGCACATTGTTGCGATCTTCAATTGTGTCTGAACACCAATATGGATGCTGGATACCTGTTAGGGTGTGCCAGCATACTGAACTCACTGGTCAAATTAACATCTGGAGGGTTTTAAATGAGATGAGGCACTTCTTTTCTTTTCTTGTGTCTCTTGCTTTCATGCCTGTCTCACAGGAATGCTGACCTTGAGCCTCTTTATATCAAGGGTGTGACTTTCTTTACCTAGATAGATAAATTATGCCCGATGTTCGGCAGAGCGTCTTCCAGTCCGCTCCTTGCTGGTTCTAGAACGGGTAAGTCAACTTCGAACATGTATCTCTGCAGTGAGACTGGAGCCGGCAAGCATGTCCCCAGGGCTGTTTTTGTGGATCTAGAGCCCAGTGTGATTGATGAGGTGCGGACGGGCACCTACCGGCAGCTATTCCATCCCGAGCAACTCATCAGCGGCAAGGAGGATGCAGCCAACAACTTTGCGAGGGGCCACTACACAGGTAAACATCGCAATCGTCATTCGCTGAGACTGACTCTTTTCAGAGACACCTTGGCAGAAAGGGAGAACAAGTGTCTCTGCTAGTGGCAGGCTTCTTGCTTCTCAGTTCATCATGGAAGTTTGCCTGTTGGGTATTACGGTCTATGGCCGATGAAATAAAGCCATATGCATAGCCAATTTGGTGGAACAAGGCAGGGAATGAGACCAAAGGCAGCTACGAAAAATAGCCCTCGAATTCAACCTTGCCGACCACATTTTCGATCATGGATTTGAAACAAAGAAGCTCTTTTCAGATCCCCACGACGTTTACTGCGCCATTGCAAACACATTACCTCGAACCCCCTGATCGCTGCCGCGGCCGCTGCGCGCGCAGATACCCATTGTCTGCATTCTACATAACACCGTCCCTCTGACACCTTCGACCTTCCTGTTGCAGTCGGCAAGGAGATTGTCGACCAGATTTTGGACCGGACACGGAAGCTGGCAGACAACTGCACGGGCCTGCAAGGCTTCTTGGTGTTCAACGCTGTTGGTGGTGGCACAGGGTCTGGCTTGGGGTCCCTTCTGTTGGAGCGGTTGAGCGTGGACTATGGCAAGAAGCCCAAGCTGGGGTTCACCATCTTCCCCTCTCCCCAGGTGAGCGCTTTTCCTTTTTGTTGCTATGGTTTGCTTGTTGTGTACTGCTCCACTGCTAACTTGGAATGATAAATAATGTAGCGAACGAGCACTCCGAACTTGGATGGTTAGATACATGTCTCCGCAATTCTGATTGGCTGCAAGAGACGTTTTACTTCCTTTCCGTCTGCAACCTGTTCAATTCTTCCGTGCGGCCATGCAGGCGTGTCTCTCTGATTCAGCGCACAGTGCCTCTTGCTTTTCCTGCGTTCATCTGACGATCAAAGCCGAGCGATTGCTCATTTGTGGTGCTTCTCAGAACGTTGAGGTGCCCCCCTCTTACTGCCACCACGCTGATGTTTGGTACAGGCTGCACTGTCCCCCACCAATTTTTCTGGCTTCTCGTTCACAGTCTCAGTTCCCCGCCATCGATTGTGCAGGTATCGACGGCCGTGGTTGAGCCTTACAACAGCGTGCTGAGCACGCACGCCCTGCTGGAGCACATGGACGTGTGCGCGCTGCTGGACAACGAGGCCATCTACGACATCTGCCGGCGCTCGCTCGACATCGAGCGGCCGTCCTACGTCAACCTCAACCGCCTCATCTCCCAGGTCAGCACCGCAATGACTCTCAGCTTTCTCTGAAAAGAGGAGTTTTTAGAGGTTTCTGCGTGAGCAATGACGAGGCCTCTCGGGGAGAAGCGAGATTACTGGATAGAAGATGCTGGAAAACGGAACGGAGTTGTCGGCGTAGGGGATTACAGGACGCTGCTGCAAAGTGATATGCTTCAGCTTGAGACCGATTGTAGCGGCGATGTTTGCTTAAAGCTTCTTGTCGACGTGCATGCTGGTATCTTCCTTTGCCTCCTTCAGAGTCCTTACCGCCAAAGGCGTTAGGCTGGACAAGGTTCGTACGAGATTACGATCACTGAGAACCCCGAGCACTCACATTTCGTTCCTCATCTCATTATCGACCGTTCGAAAAGGGCGCGTCTAAGCAGTAAAGCCCAACTTTTGAAGCGCTCTGGATTTTACGAGCATTTGCGAACCACTCACCTGTCCCTCTTTCCAGGTCATCTCCTCTCTGACCGCGTCCCTCCGCTTCGACGGCGCCCTCAACGTGGACCTGACCGAGTTCCAAACCAACCTGGTCCCTTACCCCCGCATCCACTTCATGCTCTCCTCCTACGCCCCCGTCATCAGGTGAGGCCCCGTGCAGGCACCAATATTGGCACGGTCATGGTTTCTCCTCTTCAATGCATGAGTGCCGGGGCTTTTGGCTCTTACAGTGGCTTTTTAACCAACCTCACTGCAGCCTCACCGGCTCGCTAAAACGTCATGCATATTCAATTGAGGATGCGAATTGTCCGTCTCATGCTTCGTTCCTGTCCGCGCCGCTCTAGTGCCATGAACGACTTAGCGGTTGAAGCAGTGTGTAGACACCGTGGTCTACTCAGAGTACTGTGATTGCCGTGGTTGATAAGGTTCATGAGGTCCTCATGAAAGTAGAATCTATACAGCCTCCTGTTGCTTACGCTTTGTTCGCGTTTTCTTCCTTCCAGCGCCGAGAAGGCGTACCACGAGCAGCTGAGCGTGAGCGAGATCACCAACAGCGTGTTCGAGCCCGCCAACATGATGGCCAAGTGCGACCCGCGCCACGGCAAGTACATGGCCTGCTGCCTCATGTACCGCGGTGAGTGCGCCCGGGCAGCTCCGACATCCAATACCTCGCTGCTTTCGCATTCCGGCACCTTCGAGGCAAAACAGTTCATAAAAAAATGTAGGCAGCGAAACGCTGCAGTCGCTCGATTTATAATCAAAGGAGCAATATTCGACATAGTCTCTGGCAAATGAAATCTGAAGCCTTTCGCAGTGTGATTTATTAGCTAGACATTCAGACATCAGGAATCAGACCCGCTTACGATATAGTACCGGTCGGTACTTCGGATTCACGGTATGTTCACCGATCGGCGGTGCATATTTCTAGGCAATATATAAAGACGGTACCGGTGTATGCCACTGTACGGGAGCCGAGCGGCCGGCAGGCTTGACACGATCTAGTTGCCGGCCGCCCTGCCGGCCGCGAGGCAAAGGCCCCGCGACAAAGGCACGTGCCGGGGTTCAGGGTCTAAGGCGAAAAATAAAGTTTTCCGGGGCATCGAACCACAAAAGCCGTCGAAAACGGGAGTCTGCGATATCAGGTGTTCAACTACTGAAACCTGCTTTCGACGGGTCGAACCGGGCTTAATAGAGTGTTCCAGTCTGCATTGCCACTTCCCCCTTTTCTGAAACCCCGGGGTCGATTGCGACAGCTCGGTACTGACTTTGTCCGTAAACCGAGCTAAAAATTTCATGCTGTCGGCCGACCCGTTTGATACCGCTAACGAGTACCCTGTTCGTCCTATACTGCTCTTCAAAAGAGCAAACCTTAACCTTCTTGTGTCGCGAGATCGAAAAGCAGTTTGATACTGTCTCCGAAGCAAGCTTTGTTTGCCTTCGAGCGGATCACTCCCGGCCTGCGAGAAGAATGTGCTGTGACCAGTGCGTCCAGTGGCTGCTTTTCCCCGCACATATCCCAGTCTCGCAGTCACTCGATTCTTGTAACATTCCAAAAACAATCACGTTTGCTCAGATCTTGTAGGAGTCCAAAAACAAAATTTCCGTTTTTCTGACGCTTTTCCACTTTTCCAGGCGACGTGGTGCCCAAGGACGTGAACGCGGCGGTTGCCGGCATGAAGACCAAGAAGACGATCCAATTCGTCGACTGGTGCCCCACCGGCTTCAAGTGCGGCCTCAACTACCAGCCGCCGACTGTTGTGCCCGGAGGAGACCTCGCCAAGGTAAGGGCACCGTAGGCGCTGCCGACTGCCCTGGGCTCTAAACATTTGATTGGTTTCGTTTGGAAAAAGCTGCCTCCCAATCAAGGTTGGTTCTTTTTTTTGTTGTCTCATCCGTTAAAACCCGTCTCGGCGGCGCTCGGCAACGACGCCACTGCAGCGCAACGATCATCGAGAGGAACATCTCTTGCGTCATTAGGGTAAAACCACAGATGTTGACATCTTCATGCACAGGGATATTCCAGCTGGGCGGATGAACTTTGGAATGCTCGCCTAAAGTGACCTGACGATCAGTCTTCCTTAGTCACCGGAAGAGAGAAGCCTGAACTTGGCCGGAGGTCTTATTTCTGCTCTCCTTTTCTGTCTGCAGGTGCAGCGCGCGGTGTGCATGATCTCCAACTCGACGGCGGTCGCGGAGGTGTTTAGCCGGATCGACCACAAGTTCGACCTCATGTACTCCAAGAGGGCCTTCGTGCACTGGTACGCGGAACTGCCTCCCCAGCTTTCCTCGTCCTTCAGTTTTCGCCTTTCTTATTTTGTTAGTGTATTTTTCGCTTTCACGACTCCCGTGCTTTCACAATTCTTTCGTAATGTGCGCATCATATCGAATTTCGCGGTTCTTTCGTAGAGTGTTTGAGTTTTCAAGGCCAGCGGTTGCGAACGTAAGGTGCAGACGTGTCTGAACGCAAGACTTTGCTCGTTGAGTCAACCGCCGCATATTATTCGCCGCTCAAATTGGGACGGCATTCAAAGGACTTTATCCGACCTTCTGACCTGACGTTACTTAGGTTGTCCTCGCTCGGCCTTGACGACGGTAGTGTCTCCTACACGAATTGAACGGAGTCTCGTTTTTCTGGCCTTATGTACGTTTAGACCGGAAAGCTATTCTAAGATTCGACCACACAATCATCTCTTGGTAAGCGTGCAGTCGATGCTTTTGATCGCTTTCTTGTGGATGCTGCCTACAGGTAAAGCCCTTCGATTTCGAGTAGATGCTTGCATCTAACCAATGCACTTTCATTTTTTGCAGGTTCGTTGGTGAGGGCATGGAGGAGGGCGAGTTCTCTGAGGCCCGCGAGGACCTCGAGAAGGACTACGACGAGGTCGGCGCGGACAGCACGGATGCGGCGGGCGAGGATGATGGCGAAGAGTATTGAGAACATTTGCGTCACTGAGGCTTTCCATAGGTACCGCTGGGACTGTCAGGACATTGTAGGTGACTGGTCTTGCGTGCGTTTTGTAAGATGAGGACGAGGTTCGAGCGCCATTTCAGCTTAAACGAATTACTTGGGGCGTCATTGTTGACATTGCAGCGCGGTGTCTGGCCAGAGTCTGTAATTTAGGCTTCAGGAGAGCAGGTTGTGAACTTACCATTTCTTGGGCAGAATGGAGCGGCCGATCTGCCTTATGTTGACTGCTTACAAAGAAGGACGTACATGCAAGCGCTTTGACCTTATGCTGAAGATTCGAAAGCCGATCGGTTATCCTCTTGCAAGTTTTAGTTCCAGGCAACTTTCATTCGCCATGTTCACAGGGCACCAGTATCTTGGGCCTTCAAGATTCGGCTTGCAAGCTCTTGCTCAATCTTGTGTCACGTATCTAGCCTGTTGCATGTCGTCACAGCATGAGTACGTGTCGTGGCATGTACATGTCGTGGATCGATCTGCATATGCTCTTCAAATAATAATCTATGGGGATTGCGGTCGACCTTCACGTAGTGACCATACAACAAAAGGCTGCACCGCAACAATTATCAACCATGGGACACGTCATCCCATGAAATTAAGCTGACGGTCGCCTATAGCAGGCGTGCTCTAGCCTGCATGACGCACATGATTGATAGATGCAAGCTAGTTGTCACCAGAATACATGTGACATATGTTGCTGCGCATGCAGCCGCGCGCATATGACAGACTCGATCGAATGATCTCATGCAGGTTGTGATTTATGTGTATATAGGCATGCAGCCATGACTGTATATGCATGCCAGCTTTCACACGAGCGGGCAAAATTCTCACGTACCACTAAAGGCGCAATATACTCACATCTAGCTTGCACTATTCATTGCGTTGTACGTGTGCTAGTACTCATAACAATTGTTACAACGAGATACGTACCACACATGGGCACGTGGGTACCATCGGCCATGATACCCACATTTCAGATGCATTTCCGGTCTTTCCAATCATGCAGCTTGAACATACAGCACAGTGCATGTATTCATCTGTACGTGCATGAGCGCGCGGCTCAAAGCAATATCAGACGCTCCGGTCATGTTCTGAAGACATGTGCGATTTCGCATTGTTACTCTGTGGCTAGTTCAAGCTTACCAGATTCAGTGATTGTAGGGTGCGCTTAGTAGTGTGCGTGAATCGACTTTTTACTTGAGGTCAACCTATCCATTGAGCCTGGCAGTCGATCCGGTCGCCGGACTCTGCGTTTTGCTTGCCACATGCTCGTCGAGGTACGATCAGGCTACACGGACCGCAGGCTAGAATCTGTGCAAAGAGGACTTGATGGTTCTATAACAAGCCATCAGATATGCAAAATTTCATTCGATGGAGGAACCCGCATAACACCATCCCAGTACTCTTCTAGAGCAACTTGTGTTTGGCACGCTGAACCTCAGCTGTTGGTATAGACCAGACTTCATTTGACAGGCATTCACAATCACCACACAATTCGCTTGCGCGTCGAGCATTGTGATTGATTCGGCAAGTGTGACAGGTTCCAAACAAAAGACAAAAGACTGACTCGTTCCATTGTGCTGTTTGCACAGCTTGCTCAGGACTTCGAGCGGCAGTGTCAGTACTCTTCGAGAATTTCGGGACGAATTGGCATGCCTCATACAATGTCCTCCGCTCGAGCCACGGCTGCGTTGGCGTTCCCTGCCGGCGGCCTTTGCAACACTCCCCCAATCAACCGCACCGGAGACGCGTTTTCAGTCACCGTCTCCACTTGGATCCAATCCAACTGGAAGGGGCTCGACCGTTTCAAACTTGCAACGAACGCTATCCCCAACCATATGGTTCCTGTGAGCGCCCAGAAATCACTTATCCCCTGAAACAATCCCCAACCTATAAGGTAACCCACTATAATCCCCGCTAAATGTCCTACAAAGCTGGCCTGTGGAACTATGATTGACGTGAAGATGAGTGACTCGAACGGGGCGAAGCTGATTGGGAGGTTGAGAAGTCCTAAAAGATTCAGGTTTGATGACGGTTGCAAGCAGCTAAGAATGGTCATAAGACCAAACACGACGCAACTATAACCGACAGCTGTTACCCGCTTATACCGCTCCATCCGGAAGCGATGGGACAAGACATGGTACATTCCCAGAACGAGCGCGCCAGATAAGAACACCAGCAGAACTGTGTATTTCAGATACTGTCGCCACCCCAATTGCGCGTGCACTGGATTCTCGATGATCCCCAGGCTCCAAAGGGCACTCATGTTGAACATCAGATGGATGAAACTTATGTGGGAAAAAGCTGCCGTGACAACCCTCCAGTACTGGCCAGACTCCACCACCGCCTCGTAGCTTATGCCAACATCTGAATAGCCTATACCATGCTTCTGGATGTACAACCATACTGCTGTGCACAGGACAATGAGGCAGCTGGTTGCGGGCTTGTCTACCACCTCATAGAGGATTGGCCGTCCCATCGTGTGGAACAAGCCGCCAGCGTAGATCAGCACCGCAATCCGGGGCCCTGCTGAAGCATCGGTAAGCACATTCTGCCTTGTCAAATCCAAGCTTCAACGTAGAAGCAGGAGATGCCTGCACAGTAAGTTCGAACTTTTGGCAGCCAGTTCGCTCGCTAGCGTCTTACTAATTCCCTACAATCCTTGCGACAAGGGCGTCGAACTCTGCCATTGAAGTATCAGACGCTCTATAAAGCCTGCCCTCGGCAGATATATTCGGGCCTAACTAAATGCCCTTCTGTAGGAAGGCAATCTAGGTGTATGTAGCGGATTGCAGCTTGCCCCCGGCGCTCCTCAACACACTGCTCTCTCGCTCTTGAGTCTCCTGACATTAGTCATCAAACGAGGGAATCCTTTCAAGTTTCACAACCACGACGGCTTTCTTTCTGCAGCGCCACCTTCTTAGGCAAAGTGGCGGTTCCCCAGACGACCAATTGCCGTCGCATGCCGTTCGGGTAACAACGAGGTGCCCTTGTAACGAGCTCGTGCAATTCGTATCAAAAGGGAACCGGCATTAGAACCGCCATGAAGCAGGCAGTGTGAACAGCCCTGGCAGATTAGGGTTTGCCAGCGCTGCTGAGCTTCATGAGCTCATGCAAGCGATGGCGTAAAGGTATGGTGTATGGTGTGAGTAACCAAGCTTTGCAAAACGCAACTGCAGAGGGTTTGCTGATGACACCATGACGGTTTGTCTGTTACCATGGCCAGTGCAAAAGTCAGTCACTCCCTTGAACAGCTCCTACTTTGCAGAAATGCACTGATCAATGATCATAAAGTGGTCAGTTCTACAGAGCTTCAAGTTGCATCAGCAGTGCTGGCAGCTGTGGCTCAGTGATGCAAGGATCCGTTCTTCCATGTCCCAAACATCAGTCCTTCCTTTTTTGGACATCAGAATCGATGTGTTCCCTCTAGCTGTAGACGGGCAACAGCTGGGCCTGAGTAGAGCAGGTGGCGTTGAGCTCGTTTGAGCCCTCGGTGGACATCCAGAGCTGAGCTCTCCTGCCCTCCGGGCTTGTTTCTGTTAAGGTTGAACCAAGATGAATCACAAGCAGGCGGGGAGCAGTTTTCAGGAACTTGTCCGGAAAATTGGAATTCATGCAGAAATGTAGGACACCTGGATCTACTTTGGAGTGCTCATGTCCAATCTGAGCACTTACTGGCTTAGTTTTGGTTAGCTACAAACCTTGAGCTCATTGGTTTTTGATTTATGCTTGTCTGCTGACGAAGCAAGTTTCCTGACTTCTCTCAAAGCTAGGCTGCAAAGGAACCACATAATGAACTCACAAAACATGGTGTGAGGATGCAAAGATGGCTTGCTGAGAATATTCGCAACAACAGGTGAGGGTTCAATCCTGATGGACTTATCACGAGAGCTCTTTTTGATGTACACGTGGAGCTCAGGTCGTTCAATCTGGCACTGCAACTGTTGGTAATTGGACAAAAACACCTGACTTGTTTCAGGCGGTGAGCACAAGACTTCTCCAAAATCCATATGGAGGTGGAATTAGCTTTTCTTGGTTGCCTTTTGGGCCACCAATCAGCAAAGCTAAGATCTGTATTGAATTAACTCGTCTGTTCATGTGAGCAAGAACGTATTACCACTTGCCTTCTATCATAGGGCGGAGTGTTCCATGATGCTTATTGCGAGAACTTGACAAAAATTAGTCCAAGATTGCAGAAAAGCTGGAGTGAGCCAAAGTGTACAATTTGATATGACCACCGAAAATTTTCTCGTGTTGCCTACAGTGACAGCAGGGAAGCGGGGAGTATAAGGGCTGTCAAGATGCTGACATCATTTGCCGCTGGCAAGGGCCTTGTGCTGCTCACGTTTGCCATGCTTGGCTGGTACATCAGCATGGCTGTGGGCAGTCCAACCATGAGACAAGGCCTTTTCAGAAGTGAGCACACAATCCGGACGTGTACCAGTATCAATAATCTGAAAGCAGTGACTATCTTGAGCTCAAGAGCATCTTCCTGGCTGCTTCTTAAATCTGTGTCTTGGTTCTAGCGGCTTCGGAGGCTGCCCGGTGCCTTCCGCTCTTTTGTAAACGTTGGTAAAGTTGTCATCATCTGAGGCAATTTTTTGGCCTAAAAATGGTCACATCAGTGCTCAGCATGGCCTGTTCGACATCGTTCTTTCGAAGCCAACACTATCTTCCCCAGCTTGCTCATACCAAAACTTGTTCTCTATTGGTGCAGGACACTTACCCGTCCAAGTCATGTCGCCTGATGCTTACATCAGCAGTGACGTCACGGCCCAGAAGGCCGAAGACGGTCTTGGGATCTTTCACAGCACGAATCGGAATGAAGACGGCATCATAGATAAGGGCACAGGTTACAAAGGGGAGTTCGCAACAGTCAGCCAGGATGGAAAACCGGCTACAGCAACAAGGCACGCCAGCAAGGTTGCGCGGGTAGCCGTCCCCCTTCACACGTTCACAATGCCGAGCTCGACGAACAAGTCACAGCAGTCTCGAAACAAAACGCATTTAAGGTCAGAAAGAGTTCACCGTGGGCCTGCCACGTGCCCCCCCCTCAAAACCGGAGCGAATCTGCCCCGCCGAATCTATCCTCGTCGGGACCGGGGGAACTGTTCGTGCACCCCGGTGGCGCCGTTCATTCTGCTGTCGATGCAGCGGTCGGGGAGCGGGTGGCTGGAGACACTGCTCAACAGCCACCCGAACGTGCAGAGTCACGGCGAGCTGTTCCAAGTGAGGAAGAGGGGGGATGGGTGGCGGGAGATGCAGGCGGCGTTGGAAGAAGTGTTTGAGTTTGGGAGAGTGTCCGAGGAGCAGGAATGCCTCTCGGCTGTGGGGCTCAAGTGGATGTTGAATCAGGTGAGACATACAGGGCTGAGCGCCTTGCGAAGACACCGAATGGCATTGCAATACGGTTAGCGCGAGTGGTTGTAAGAAGGCGCTGCGGTCTCTAGCGCGTTTTCTTCATTTGTGCCGGACTGACAGGTTGAGTCTAATTGAGCCCTGGTCGCCACGAGCTTGGATCACGAACGAGGCAGTGCATGAAGAAAGCACTATGATAAGGAGGCTCGCATGGAAGTCGGTTCTCCTTCGATGCACGTTTGTCAAAGACCGGTCCTTCTTCCCGTTGAGCACACAATCCCTTGAAAATAAATGAGTGATTCCATCTTGTAAGCTCCCTGTGACGCCCAGAACACGTCATTGCTGTAATTATTGAGTCGAGCTGCCCGACTTCGCACCAGAGTTCGAAGTAAAAGCACGGATACGAATCGAGCTGATTCAGGAGAGGTGAGAACGTCCGGCAAGGCTGATGTCGAGGCTCCTTGTCGTTACAGCACCAAAAGCAGATTCCGCTTGCACGGCGCGAAAGTCTCACATCCACGGAACGTAACGCACAGCCTGACACCTGTTTCACCGTTACAGGGCGCCCTTCAGTACCGGCGCGAGCTGGTCGAGTACGTGCGCGCGCGGGGCGTGTCCGTGGTGCTGCTGGTGCGGCGGAACAGCCTGCGGCGGCTCATCTCCGTGCTGGCCAACATTTACGACCAGGGGAAGAAGCTGGTGGACGGGAAGAAGCACCGGAGCCACGTGCACTCCGCGGAGGAGGTGGGCTTTCCAGCGCTTGTCCTGAACTGCCCTGTCTAGTTACCTGCACGATCTTGTCGAGCTAGTTCAAATGGGTCACGTTGAAACCGCCCAGCTGGGAAAATCTTCGGCCGCTGGAACTGGTTACAAGCGTCCTTTTCTCCAAGCACGAAACAAGAAACTGGAATAACCAATCCGACGTCCCAGTCGGTCACGTTTTTGCTCCTGGCGCACTTTCAGTCGGTTGAGGAGGGGGAAAGAGATTGATATTTTGTGCTGACGCCACAGCTTGCGATGCGTTCGAGGCGGCACCTCGCACTAGAAACATTGCAATCCAACAGGAAGAATGAGAGCGAGACTGCCTGTGCTGACGTCACAGCTCGTCACGTGTCCACGATTGCCAAGCCGGCGCATTTTGAGTCATAATATAGTCCGCCACCTTGAAGAAAGAAACGGACGATCCGTTCGCTGACGTCACAGCTCGACAGGGTCCGCGATCGGCCAAGCTGGCGCACTTCGCGTCAAAACGTCGGAAGAACGATCCGTTCGCTGACGTCTTGCCACGTGTCCGCAGGCGGCCAAGCTGGCGCACTTCCGGCCGCGGCTCAACCCCGGCACGCTGCTCCCGCACCTGCGCCACGTGCAGCGGACGACGGACGCCGCCGTCGATTTGCTCGCGGACACGCGGCACCTGGTGCTCCACTACGAAGACCTGGTGGCGGACTCGAGGGTACGGTTCCGGTCGTTCCGTTTCCGTTCGCCGTGAATGCGTCGTTCCGCCGCTGTTTGCGGTCTGCCGAAGTGTATGGCGCTCCTGTGAAGCGTTGTTGTGACGAATGGGAGGGTGCGGTTTCGTTATACAAGTATTTTCCGTCGGGACTCACTTGGCAACAGATAATGCATTGCGCCGGCTTGGGAAGGAGCCTTGATCGGATACTTCTTTCAATGGTAGCGTGCAATAATGCCTTGATTCCGTCACCAACTCTTACGGTTACGGTCCAGGGATATCTAACTGACCTCAAAACATGGCAGCGCCTTTTCTTGTTGCCAGAAGCAGTCCTTGCAAAGTTACTGACGCCACCTTGCCGGAAATTGCAGGTCGTCGACCGCTTACAGGCCTTCCTCGGGTTGCCCCCCCGGTTGCTGAGGAGCAAGCAGGTGCAGATTCACCGAGAGGGCCTCGAGCAGCACATCGCAAACTGGGACGAGGTCAAGAGTATCTTGACCGGCACAGAGTTCGAGCACATGCTGCAATGAGAGGCAGGCGGAAGTTCGGTTCTGCGGTCGACATCTTTTGAACGTACCGCTGAATCGCGTGTTGTAAAGTAGAAAGCGGGGGATTGCCGGGTCAAACGGTGTGCAGGAAAGGTTGAATCATTCACCGCCACTCACTGCTTGGGATGTTGAAGTCCCGGCTCAGAAATGCGGGAACGGCATGCGGTGTTTGCGTCCGAGGACGCGATTCTTTCATGATAGCGTGTACGAAGCAACTCGATAATTGACCGGACGTTAGGACGTAAGTAGATGCATTCCACTTAAGATAAGGCAGAGCATTGGAATTCGATGCTCTGCTTAGTGGTACCGTTCAAAAGTCTCAGTTGCACCATCTCCTGCCAAATGCCTTTCATCACCTCTGACGCTTGTGACCTTGTGTATCAACAGCCGCGCTGCACGCGAATCTATCGGGAATGCGCTTTTCAGGTCATCATGCATTTTGCATGTATAGCTGTACGGCCTCTGTTGAGACGTCTGCAAAAATAGATTAAGTAAGGCAACATGCAATTGATGGGGCGCTTGCGCAGCTCAGGCAAGCCTATGGAGGGGGCCGGCCATGTGCGAAAATGCAACGGCTTGCAGCTATATGATGTACGAGGGAACATTCGAGGACATTGCTTTTGTATTTTCTCTTCATGAAGAACATATATGACCTAATGAGGTCACATGAAAGCCATGCAATTGTCGGATGCAATTTTCGATGGAAGCAAGGCAAAAGCGTGGATCCAAACTTTTTCAATCCGTTGGACTTCCATTCGATCGAATCAGTGAAAAAGCCTCGACTCAACAAGAGCTTGAGTAGCGATAAGGAAGTGCGACTTCGAAGACTCGCAAAATTCTCTTGCGCGTACTGTCGAATCGTGCAGCAGGTTTTTTCCACAGTCTTACAGACGCAATTTAGACGGACGGTCTGGATTATTCGTCAGCTCACGGGAGAATCGATTATGCATGACCTCCTGATTGGCAGATGTCCCGGTCGGACCCTTGTTGGCGGTTGCGGTTTTCTTCGGAGCCTGAGGCTTGCATGTTATATGATCTGGGTTCACGTAACTGTATCTTGATCGGCTCTTTCACAAATCTGGACAAACGAACCCAGTTCAGTGCATCGGATTGGTCGGGAGACACCCCCGAGGACGCGACTGGATGCAGACTCGGCTATGTCAACACTCCGCGCCTCACAACGTCGGCCCGGCTTTTTTGATAACCCTCGATATGTCACTCTCAAGCTACTACTGTGAGACTTCGACTCGAATTCCGCGGGAAGCTCCTGCATGACAAGAAGTCGTTTGCGCGGGGACTTTATTTGGAAAGGCAGACTTTGAGAATGCCAAGGCAATAATCTTACTTAGTGCTTTCCGGTTTCAAGATGAATTCAAACTTCGAGAGAAAGCGCGCGGAGGCAACATAGCAAGTCTGTCTGAAATTCAGGACTCAAGAGGCAGAGAGTCTACAGTAGTATCATCTGATTACCCTACGTCAATTCCAAGAATGCGCATGCATCTGGTGCCAGTAGAAAAGAAGCTACAGTTATCATATAGCCGCAGTGAGCCGCAGCTCAGAGCTTCTTTTCTTTTCCAACTTTCGCGTCATAGTGTTCCTTCTTTGGCGCAAAGATCAAGGTTGTCGGGAGCCATGCACAGTTATTGGTGAATCATATCAGTTAAGTAATGTTCAGCGCTGAAGATCTGGGTGGGTGTCCCAATTTCTGGAGGGCGCTCCGACTACTGCTCGGAACAAACCGACAAGTGACTCGTTGCGGCCAAAAGTTGTGGAAAGGCCACGGAGGTGTCTCTCTGCATTGCAGCTCAGATAGAGGGCCTGGCTCGTATCAGGACAACGATGAAGCCTTCCGTAGTCTCTTTCGCGAAATGGTTGGGCTTCCTGATCCTCAAGCACCTGAAAGCTAAGGCTTATTGAGCGCCTTCTCTGGCATACCTCTTTGCGAACACCCTTCTCTGCCAGCTCTGATCAAGGAAGCCATCCTTTCAAGATGGAAGTACCTGCAGGACTCGAGCAAAGTGAACTGCAGCAATGTTCAACGCTCGAGACATGCTTCGTGGACATCCCTAACTTTTTAGATACAAATTCTGACCAGTGCACTGAGAGAATAGGAGGAGATACTGACTGCTCAGAAGGACCTGCTGGTTACAGCCAGTCTTGTGAAGCAACCAATACCTTCGACGTGAGCAACTTCCTGGAGCTAGACTTTGCGTTCGAGAAACCAATTGGCTCAGCGCTGGAGAGGCGAAGCTCGGGGCAATCAAAGACTGGAAAGGAAGACAGAAGCATGGTCAACCTGCTCGGGGTTTCGTCTAGTCAGGAATGTCGTGCTTGCGTGCCGAATCGTCTGAGCGAAGAATCCACGCAGTCAGTTGGTGGCATGCAAACGCCTTTTAAGCTTGGCTACTACAAATCAGAAGCAGACCTCTTTCCGGACTTTGCTAAGAAGAAGGAGGCGATGCTCTTCGTTCCATTAACAGGGAGCTCAGCTGATCGCAGCGGGAAGCGGAAGCATATTGCAGTCGATCGTGAGATGCCTACCATTACTGAGCTGGGTCAGGAACAAGATTTCAATGCCCTCGCACCAGCAGCAATCAAGAAACTCAGAGTTGACATGGGAGTGGATACCAGCGAAGACAAGCACGGAAGCACAACTGACTCACCTCGAGCAGCACGGTCGAAGCGCAGGAAGAAGTCCACAGAATCCATCGACCATTCGGCAGATGTGAAGTCTGAGTTGAGGAAAAGGGAGGCCGATAGTGTGATCAATCTTGGCACGCCGGATTCTGTCGTCTCAGACCTTCCCATCATTGGAATAAAAAGAAAAGCGCAAGCACGTGAGGAGGATGGAGGGGGAAGGGAAGAAGCTCAGACCGATGGGATTGTGCTGATGCCTAGCTCTCCAAACCTGCCCCGAAGGAAGGCTTCCCGTGTGCTGAAGCTTACCGCGTCTGCGAAGAAAACGGCAAATAAGCTCTCTTTGGAGAAGGAACCAGAAGCAGAGATCTACTCCAGAAAGAGAGCATCAGCTAGGCTGGTTTCAGAGGGGCTTGAAACAGCTGAGGCAGTAACGCAGGATCGCAGGGTTGGAAAGGCGGCAAAGCGACCCGTAAGTGCTCTCGTACATCTCTTTGATTGTGTTTGTGTTTGTTTGTTTTGAGGTTCTAAGACGTGCTAGAGAAGGTCCTCCTAAATTAGCTACATGAGATCAAGCTCTGCAGAACGCGTTATCTTGCACCAACTTTTGATCATCTGCATGAAACCTGCCTCTTTACAGAGCTGGTAATGACAGCAGAAGTGGCGCCGAGAACAGTGCGGAGCGTTTCGACAACTATGGCTGCTGTTACTTATGTTCCTTGCCTGCGTGCCTTCTGAACTGCTCGTTTGACGTTCATGAAGCTTCCGAAGAAGAGCGTACAGATCCTGACCGACTGGACCCAGAGCGAGAACGTCGTCCCATACCCTGACAAGAATACCAGGCACCAACTGGCAGTCGCCGCTGGGCTCTCGTTTCAACAGGTGCGTTTCAAAGCGGGACTCTTCATCACAAACCAGAGAGACTGAACACGTTTCAATATGCTAGACAATCGCGAATTGAATGGAGATTTGCCAATGACCACATAACAGTGCACAAAGTTGACGTTCCGTTCAAATCCAGAATCCCTTGCGGATAGGAACAGGGCCTCAGGATCATCGCGTGCGACTGTGCTCCTACCTGTGACCTGTTAACTGATGACGTGGCTGTGGCTGATGTCATGTCAGGTTAACAGCTGGCTTGCTGCCGCACGGACCAAGACGGGTCTCATCGAAGTGCCAGCACACCTAAAGAGGGGAAGGAAGGCGGTGCGGGGGAGTGCCGGCTGAGGTTCAGAAAAAGGAGAAACCGAGAAAGCGCCCATGCACAGACCGTGTTGAGGTTGAGATTGTCAGTGTGTGTTTGATGTGCTCTTTCGATTTTGCTGGGGCACTGCATATTTTCGGAGTCGGTCTACGACTCTCAGAAGCGGACATGCAACAAACTAAGCCAGTGAGTCTGCGTGTCGATTTGATGAAGCAAGAATATGTTGGATCGACGCTCTCATTGAGCGGCCCTTAAAATAGGTATATCGTGTGTGTCGTACACTGAGACGCCCGCTTGGACGGCTGCCATGCCGCAGTCGCACGGGCCCGCCATCGTATAACGCACCAGTTGCCCCTCGGGCCCACATGCTAGATACTTATGCGTATAGCTTTTGTCGTTTCGATTAACCGGCTGGTGTGAGACGCGCTGCACGAAAGGCAGCTGGGTCCATGCCAGGTGCAAGATGTCATGCACTGAAATTAGGGCATATCGATTCACTGATCGAGTCGACATGAGCAAAGAAGCTACTTAAGTCCATGGACGGTATGAAGTGCGCCCAGCATGGAGCCGCCGCCGGAATTCCATTGAAGTGTCTTTTTAACAGCTGAATGAATCATAACACTAGTATAAGTGTCGGACTGTCTCAATCTGGCGGCCGCACGGCAGGTGGGTGTACCGCAAGACGACTAAATTGCTCAATGATTAAGAACCGTCTGGCTAAAATGATCATATTGACCATCAAATATCCTGGCCGCCCTGGCCGCGGCCCGGCCCTAGAGCTCATGCATACAGATCGATCAGAGACTTCACGCGGCACTTTTCAAACGCACGTACGACTTTCTGATGTTTGGCGCTCGCCACCTCTTGTCGGCTATCATAACGCCGCTTTCGCATACAGACACGCATGATCTAGCAGCGAAATCAGCACATACGCGACTCAACATAATTGAGTCCCGCGATGCAACGCGTACAATTGATCGGACTCCATTGCAATGCACTCTAAAAGAATGTCGGGTCTTTTCAATGCACCTTCGGATATTAATGATCTATGCTCGGAAGCTTTGGTCCGACCCTTACTTTGCAGCAGGGCCCAGTCACACCTATGACGTCGAGGGCAACGGGCCCTGTCGATTGGAGTTCCGCAATGCCGCATTCCTTTCAACCTGAACAGAGCAGTAGTACATGTCTCAGCTTCCAGACATATCCGCCGCCAGCTTGCACTGACGTTGCACGTCAGCGGAGAGTTCATCTTGGTGCATAAGTTTACTCGAGACCCTATCTCACACGAAATACGTCCAAAGAAAACGAGGAGCGTTCGAGGAGCGAACGAAGCTGCAAACATGACTCATCCTTCACGAATCTTTCGCTTCAAATCGTGCAAAAGCGCTTCTAACTTTCGGGCCAATGCAGTCCTACGCAAAATGGACTTGTTCAAAGAGACACCAGAAATGCGCCTCTAAGCATGTTGACAGGCCCCAACCTGAAAGGGTACGCCTCTCCTGTCCAGATTGATTGGTTGTCGATGTTCATGCGTCGTGGTTAGATCATTTTTGAGACTCAGTGGGTCCTCCGCCGATCGAAGCACAAAGCGCTCCCAGGAGCCATACACATGAGTTCCCTCAACACAGCACAATTCACTAACAAATTAAGTGAGAAAGGAGACTGGATTCAAAGCCTAACGCTCAGGATGCGCGAGAACAAAACTAATAGGCCTGGGTACACACGCTCCTGGATGCCAAACAAATCAGACGTGAGAAAATGGACAACATTGTTGCTAAATCTTGTCCAGCGCTGAGTAGGCGCGGGTCGACAGCGAGTTGTCCCCTAGGGATTTTGACATGCGACAAGAAATGACGAACACTTCGGATCAAGAACCGAGCAACAAGACGCCAACAGGCTTGATCCGCCCGCTGCTGCTCGGAGGCCTGAACAGGAATGGCAGCAAGCATCACGAGAGGTAAATACAGTCGAAACGAAGGGGGAAACGCGCTTTGTCACCTGCTCATGCACTGCTTCGGACGCCCGACACGTGTCCTTGGCCAGCTTCTCCAGCCGTCCGAGCATCGCCCGGTAGAGTGTCTCGATCTCGAGCATCTGAGGGGGGGCCTCCCGCCCCACGAGGTTCCTCAGCTTTTCTAACGAGTACCCCTCCGTTTGCCGGTCCAGAACCGCCTGGTCTTCCAGGTAACTCCCCCCCGGTTCGTCGTCCCCACCCCCACTGCTGTCAGAAAAGGTTCTCGAGTGTGTGGAAAGGCCTACCCGGGGGGAATCCAAACCGCCAGGGTAGAGCGGAAGGGGGGGGAAGGGCGCGGTGGGAGAAAAGGAATCGAACTGCCCCCGGAAGAACGGCCCGATGTTGACGATGTTCACCGAGACGGGGTCAAAGTGCCAGGTGGCGCGTTTCCGGCACTGGAACAGCCTGTAGTCGTGCGTGTGCGTGGCCCGGTTGTGCGTTTGGAATGTGTCAAAGAGCGCAAACAGCAGCGGCCATTCGGGGCGGGGGGCTCCCGGGACTGCCGAGGAGACCCCCCGGAGAGAGGAGGTGACTGCGGCCTCGCGCATCGAGGGCCGCAGGGGAGTGTTATGACGCGCAACAAACCAGCCAATGACGGGATCCCGTCCCCCCTCCCCGATGCCCTCTCCTGCAACCCGTGCAAGTTGGGGGGGGTCTACGGCGCCGGAAGGATCATAGAAGCTGAAGAGGCGCCCCGAGCAGCAGAAACCGGTGACCGTTGCGGTGGTCTTTTGGCTGGAGGTCGCCTCCTCCTGGTCGCTCACAGTGCTGACCTGGCAGGGGGGACGAACTCTGTTGTGTCAAGGCGCAAGTCTTAGCATGATGAATACGGGCCGCACCCAGAAGAACGGTCTTGTATAGCTTCAGGTTTGACCAACTTATGAAATGGGGATGATTGGAGGCTGCAAGTTTGCATTAAGTGAAGATACATGTGCCTGACGAGGGGATTTTCTTGCAAGGAGGTTTTTGTGTTGTTAGAGACAGTGGGGGGCTGCACAGAAGTGGGGGCCAACTTTTCATTTTTACTAGCATCTTGCCACCACCTTCCAACAGGTTCCTTGTGCCCCTGTGAAATGATCAGTCCTACAAATACTCGGGACTTGACCTTTGAGGCTTTCTGTTCTTGAAATATCTGCAAAATATAATGCAGCTTCGGTGCAAGTACAAAATGCTGATTTAAACAATGCTGAGTGGTGGAAACAACAGTCCCCGACCTCATTGCATATCACGGGAGACATGGTTGAAACCTTGTTTTGAGCGTCTGAGCTTGCCTCTACAGGTGGGAGGCACGCCCGCAGAGATACGAGTCATTCACAGTGCCCAACCAGGCGTCCATGAAGGAAAAGGCAGGACAGATTGAGCTCCGATGCTGAATTGAGACACTCCAAAAGTTGCTCCGCAGCTTCACATTCTAAAAAGTGCCCCCAACAAGAACCGGTCCATTGATCGATACAAGCGAAGCGAGTAAACCACTGATGTACAGCGTTTCAGAAGTAGCCTTCCCGCGAACCCCCTTTATGCAATGGCAGTAATAGGCACCCCTAGATGGGAACCCCAAATTCAGATGGGGGGCAACAATTCTGGTCTGAATGTCTGCACAAACATCAGAAGGAAAGTCCTTTTTGAAACAGCGACAACAATAGATGTGACACCGACGTAATTTGACTAGCCAAGCTTCCAAATTCATGAGCTGTTCCTTTAGGCAAGTGCCAAGACAGAAACCCTCACCATTCTCTGGGCCACTCTCCCAAAGAGCAGCCCATCGACATCTCTGTCTGCAGCCAGAACATCGTGGAGAAGAGAGGCCAGCGTGGGTCCTGAGATATCCACGGCGCGCAACATCATTGAGTCAGGGTCCACCGCCATCCTGCTCATAAAATTGTCTGCAACAGGCAGGAGGGCTTGTCCAACAAGCCTGCAGATCAAACAATGCTACCCTTAGCTAGTGTAGCCAGCCATCATCCGCTGTCTGATCTCTTGTAAGCGCCACGGCCATCACTGCCGCCTCTGCCACTGATTCAAATTGGAGATTCGCTCTTGCATAGAGCTGACTCATTGTCAACCTGTGCGCGCTCTTACGCGCGCAGTTGCTCATGCGCCCCGAGGGCCGAACGGCCGCGCCACGCGCTTGAAGTTGAACTTAGGCGCAGGCCGCGGCCGGGCGCCACCAATGTTGCAGTGCGACTTTGCTAGGGTTTAGAGAGGTGCGGGATCTTAGCTGAGTCTGTGAAGTGACACTTGGCATCATCTCTGGCAATCCTCTCGATCTTGGCTTACTTGTAAGGCTGCCACGTCACAGACCGCGTGTACCACATGGCCCTCCACATCATCATGCAGGTTCAAATTTATCTCCAAGGCTGCACCGCATTGGCCCGCATGCGCTCTGCGCAAGAAAGCGGTCGTCCCGGGACAACAATTTTGAATTTCGTGTTTCGGTTGCCTGCAATCTGCAAGAGATTGAGGTGAGGTCAGAGGCAGAGCTGCTTTTATCCTCTGCCTGCCTTTTGCTGGATTAGCGGGCAGCTACTGCCTGTTCTTGCTCATTTACCGCCCGAACTATGGCTTCCTCCTGCGTCCTGCGCAGTGCCTTTGGCGTGCGCAATGCTGCCCTCTCGCCGACCCCCATGTCCCAGTCTCAGGTCCAGGCACGTGCAATTTGCGCCGCCCCTGCGCTGGTTGGAAAGAAGAGCTTGCCCCAGGTCAGAGCTATGAGGTCCTCTTCTGCTGAGTCAGCATTCGGTTCCTCTAGGCAGCTTCTTGGAGCCAGGACCCTGCCTGCGCAGATTCAAGCTAGCAGGTCTCAGCAGAAAGCCACAGGAGCCACTGGTGGCGCCCTTTCTTCCCAAGCTGCATACCCTGCCATCTTTGGCTTGGCCCCTGACACCCTGCAATGGATTTTCACTGTCGCCTCTACCGCACTCATGTTCCGGCTGCTTCCCCCAGTCTCCCACGCCCTCCTCGTCCCCGCTCTCTTCTTGAACCTCCCAGCAAGGGTCGTGGAAGTCATGAAGCAAGAAGCAGGGGCGTGGGTAGCAGTTGCCCTTGTGGTCCTGAAGCTGTTCTCATCTCAAGTCCCCAAGGCTTTCGACCTGCCTCTGGCAGTCCTCCTGAGCATCATCATTGCTCCGTATGAGCTGCTCAGATTCCGTGGCACTCAGGGGGCAGGAATTGTGTCTCTAGCGATTGGGTAAGTGCATGAGTTAGAATGTTTACCCTTGAAAAGTTTCGTGCAATGCGCCATGGCCTGCAGGTAATCTGCTTCTTGCTTCGTGATGAGAATATTGGAAGAACGGCCTGTTGCTGGCTTTAACCTAGACTCAAAAACCTGTTGCCGCAAGAAATTGTACTGTCCTTGGCTGAGGCAGTTCCAAACCACCATCCAACTCTCCAGAATCTGACATCGTGCAGAAGGTTGACTGATATTTGGCTTGATGCGAGCAAGAAAACAGTGCATACTTCAGACCACAAGATTCTCAGTTCCACAGATACCCAAGTGCTTTTTTTGCAAGCACTGACATTCTAGTTGAAAAGTATCCTCTATGTTCTTAAACTTTGTGCTGTTGCAATGCTATGTGTCCATTCACGTAGCATTGCAACAGCATTCTTCATTCTTCTTTCAGCCTAGTGTAGTCAAGGTCTCCTCAGTTGGCTCACAGTGTCAAACCTCATTCTTTTAGGAGCGTAGGTAACTTACTGTCAAGCCTGGTTGCCGTGTCCGATTAACCAGGCCAGGCAGATCAAGTCAGATGCATGGAGCTAATGTAATTGAATCGTACTCTGGCAGCCATTTAACTTCGGCTACTGAGGCCGTCCTTCTTTCTGCACCTAACGTCTTGCCCTACCAATTGCAGCATCTACATTGCCTACGACCATGTGACCGCCAACAAAGGTGTTGACAACACGATGAGATCTGACGTGTTGCCAACGACTTTCGCTATCGCTCTTGTCTTGTTGATCCCAGCCGCTTTTCTGTTCGGCGCCTACGCCTAGTCCAATAAGTTGATTGAAATGGCACCTGTTTGGTTACTATAGCTTCTGGTTCTCTGCAACATGTAGATACCATAAGATAGAACAAGGGCTTCAATCCTCAGGGTCTACCAGTGTTTGAAGACCAAACATCAATAAAGCATCGACTAGTATGGGCCTCCTTACAACACATTGCTTTCATGAGCACGCAGCCTTTGTTTTAGAAGGGCAACCAGTACATAGCCTTGTAGATAGACCTGTTGTAAGTGTTTGTGAACAATCGTATAGGGACTCCGCGAGTTGTACTCGCCTAAGCCAGCTGGAAGGGAAAGGAGCACAGGTAATTTTAGTCCCTCCCTTTGGTGTCACTTGAATTCTTGAGTCTGATGCAGTTAGTTCTTTGCACAGTTGCAAGATTCGGATCAACTTTGCTCCAGGCAGCTTAATTGCAATTGCGGGCCTGCGGGCCACCATGAGCAGCAATTAACCAGGCAGAATGTTCATGCATCGACTTACGCAATGATATGACCCTTCGTGCAAAGACTTGCGCATTGCATGGTCATTGCAGACAACAAGTGCCAATGCCGCATACAAGTTGAAAGCTTTTTAGTATACTACGCGGTTTATATCGACATGAAGCTCTAATAGACAAGACTCACCAAGTTATACAGGGGATTGGCTACAATCCGGCACCATGCAGTTCGCTGCATGTCGAGACAGGAAATCACTCAGACTGGAAAGCAAGCTGATTCGAACAAGACAGAAAATTATAAATCTCTAGGTTCAAACTAGGTAGTCCTTGACTAAAGCCATGCAGTCACTTAATTTGCAATGCAGTGCATTGCATGCACTGGTAGATGTGACGTTCTCATGTAAGCTGTGGATCTCTGCACAGACAATCTTTTACAGGCGCTGGCATGGCTAGCTAGCATTTCACAAGGTGCATTCATTCGATCGCCTCCCACACAAATGAGAATCTTAACCAATCCTTAAGCAGTAGAAGAATGCAGACTCAACAACTCAAGCGGCTAACATATACCAGTACCTGTCTTAGTACATGCGGGTACATGAGTGCTTTTTACAACACATGGTCAGATGGTTCTGCATATGGGTGCCCACTCATACAGCCCGCGCGAGCTGTCGGCACTGCTGATTCGAGTATTGCATTGGAACATCCACAGTTCCGCAGATTGATTGTATACACATTATGTGAAAAGACGCGAAAAGCTGGCAATTCCTTCATACCGTTGAAAATTATGATTGATTCTGTAGTACAGAATCAATCGATTCGCATGTTATAGATAGGAGCTGATGCAGCTGCCAAGGTCTGTTTGGGCCGGCTTCCGTGTAACGTATGACATGCACATCCATGGCCTTTCACTGGTGTGCAGCCGCATATGACAAGTACCCTTGCCGCCGTGGGCTTAGAGAACATACTCGGCGGGATGGAAGCTACTGCACAAGGAAACATACAATTGACGAAGGGGACGCTTAAACCAAACCAACGGTACTTGTGAGCGTTATGAAAGTATCTCTTGCTGGCAAGTTTCACGATCCCGAAGTTGGTGATCCTCTCAATCCAACTCACGACTCCTAAGTGGGGGACTGATCCAAGAAGGAACCTTTTCCTTGGAGATGCCGATGCTTTCGTAGTTCGCTGTATGACGTCTATGGCTCGATGATGAAAAGTGGCTGCAAGGTGTGGCAGAAAGGAAAGTCAGGTGGAGTTCGAGGGGCACGTTGGTGCATGGAACCGTTCAGCAATATTCGAACCAACCCCTGGATTGAGGAACGTGGAGTTAAAGGAAGGCATCGAAGCAGAGACAGCTCCTGTAAACGCCACACTGACCTCGACCTTGCTTGAGGGGTTTTGGTTGACTCATCGCAAGCACAGAACTCCGCCTTGCCCAAAAGATTATGTGTAACATGTCCTTTTATTGCCGAGGAACGCGGACACTGGTATCAACTGCTGCGCCAGCTTACCGTTCCTGCCGCCACCGGCTTGGTATCCTCGGCCAGAATCTGCTTGACGGTTCCTGACTTGTCGGCCTGCATTAGACGAGAAGAGAGGATAGATGGTCAAATCACGATGCCCTCGGAATCCTTCAGGTGCCACCGACTGTCCCTGATGGAACGCATGTATATAATGACACCTGTGCAGTGCACGCTGCTCACTGCATGTACTCACAATGCCCTTTTCCACCAGAAAACGCAAAAGCGGGTAAATAGGTAAAGGGATTCAGAAGGGCTGAAAACAGCTGTGCGCAAGCTTCCTCTGGATAGAGTGCAAGAAACGCTCGTCAATGAACAGACCCCTAGGCAACAGTCCAGGTGCTCGGCTTCAACAAAGAGATAGACGGTTGGGTTGATAGAGCCTGTTCCCGCTGTAAGTGGCTTTTGTCGGTGAGAAGGCACCTGCACCATTGGTGGAAACGTGTGCTAGCTGGAACCGTTGAGGGGCCAGCTTACCTCGATTTCGTTCATAAGCTTCATAGCCTCTACGATGCAAATGGGCTGCCCCTTGACGACCCTGTCTCCCTCCTGCAAGACAAGCATACAATCAAAGGCTGACACATATCGCCCCGTTGCACAGGTTGTAGCGGTTCCTATGTGCAGAGGCAATGGCTTGCTCAATTCTAATCTCTGCTGTGTTTGGGTGCAGCGTGTGTGGCCTGATTGACCGTAACAGTGTCCTACCGACTGTATAGCACTGCTTGGAACTTGCTTTGCACAAAGGTGAATATTTGTTGTTGGGAAATCATCGTTACTTGACTGATCAGTTTGATGAAGTGTTCGAACCTTGAGGTGATAAGATTGGCCTCGAATGATGCCAGAGAAATACCCCCGTTGAAGGATAAAGCACTCAACAGCTTTGCATATCTTAACGAATAATGGAAAATAACCGACAGAACTCTTTCAGCTTATCACTTTAATGAAGCCCAATTCCTTCAGCCCCATCTCTGCTGTTGTCAAGCAGCAGACCCCCGTGCTGTACTCGCTGTTCGTTTGCAGCAGAAGTGGACTGCCCTTGTTCCCACATATTGGACCAGCATCCACATCCGCAACTTACCTTCACAAACGGAGGCTCTCCTGGTGCGGGGCACCTGTAGAATGTCCCCGCCATGGGGGATGCTAGAGTGTGTCCCGACGCCGCAGGCGCAGGGGTAGGCGCCGGCGCAGCCGCAGGGGCTGCGGCGGGGGCAGGCGCCGCAGGGGGTGCGCTCTGCTGTTGTTGCGGGGGGGGACCGTAATTGAAGAACTGGGGTTGGGGCTGCTGAGCAGGAGCGGGGGCGGCGGCAGGGGTGAGCGCCTCCTTCTTCCGGATGACGATCTCAATGTCCTTGTGCTTCAGTTCGAGCTCGACGATGTCGCGGGAGTCGACCAGCCTGGAGAGACAGGGGGGCTGCTCCTGAGCCTTTCTTTGAAAAGACGGCGTTGCAGCATGATTATTTTTATTTGGAGGGACGTTGCCTGAGCCCTTGTGCCCAGCCAGAAAATGCAGCATGCTGAAGTGGTAGGTTGGAAGGGTCCAGTAGTGGCCGAAGGCAAGCGGCTTTCGACGGTGCTTGAAGCAATGGCTTTGAGGGACCGCGTGCTTAACCCGCAGGAGCACAGGAGGACTTGCTTGGTGCTGAAAATTCGGCACCCAGGTGTTTCTACTATGAACAGAGGCAGCCTCTGTAGCCTGACTCGCAGGTTCAGCGGCGCGGTTTTGAGCGCATGCGCCCAGCGCCCACCCCAATATTGTGTCGTGCTGGATGAGTGGCCGTCCCGCTGACTCTCAGAAACTTCGGCCATAGCTCCCTCTACACTTTCCACCATTCCACCATTCCAGCATTCGCTCGGCGATGTCTTCTTCGCATGGCCTTCGGTGCCGCTGAAGCATACGCTTTGGGTTTAGGACCCAGAGGGGAATTCTGGACTCTAAGTTTCCTTGCAGATCTCTGAAATGACAGGTGCATTACGGCTTGGCTAAAGAGATATGTGACACTATCTCTCTCTGCTTGATGGTCTGTCCATCACAAGCGGCCGCGTCCGCAAGCAAGAGTCCAAACGCACTCCAAGCATGCACCATAGAGACATGAAGGGTGCGTCCCTTCCGGCCCGCTACAAAGCAATGGCATAGGTTCTGCGGAGATGCGCAGAATGCAACTCATGCGGACCACTCACTTGATGAGGCTAGTGACCGACTCGATGAATGCTGAGGTCTCCTCCTCGTCGGACGGCTCCTGCAGCACTGGCTCAGCCTCCTCTTTGGTGGCAACCTACAAACAAGAAGGCATGACGGCTTCGGATGTTGCAACATGAGTCTGTGAAGCCAATGCACCAATGTGCTGTCATTCAGATTGCCTTCTATTGCAACTGTAGCTCCAACACATCAATCATGCTGCCGAAGCCATGGATATGGAGGGAACTGAGCAAACTTGCATTCGCTCAATCAGAGTTTCTTTGTCTGCCATGCTGATCCTACGATGGACTGTAATGCCTCCAAGAACGGCCACAGTATTCTTCTGAAAGAAGGATAGATAGATCTACCATCGATATTACTGCAAGGGGCATTGCCGCTAGGTCCACATTACATCTTGCTAGACGGTGGGCTTTTGACAGACAACCAGCGTCTCTCATGAAAAGCTGAAAAGGACAGCATTGGCTGCCACTCACATCATTCTGGGTTTCAGCAGTGATGGTCTGCCCCTTCGTTGCAGACCGCAAACCCAGCTGCACACAAGGTTGTACCAGAGCATGTGAGCATTTGTCCCTAAAAGCTCGATATATCACAACCTTGTCTCATCCCATGGACCTTGCAAGTGCTCACAACTCTGTCTTGTTCCCTCCTACAATCCAATGCATCGCCACATCAAACCTGCTCAATGAAAAGCGCCCTGCATATACAAACCAACCGTTGTCGATTGCATTGCCCTGCATTGGACAGGAATAATACAACTCATGCCCCTCACATTTTGCTGGGCCGCAGTGTCTAGCCGGCTCCCGTTGAAGCTACTCCGAAGGGGTCCCTTCAGATTGGATCCAGCGTGGCCCGAGAATACCGATTGCCGCCCCCAGGGCCTCTCTCCGCCATTTCCACACTCAATGTGTAAGCCCCCCAAAGGCACCGCCGTCGCAGAGCTTACTACTGCTGTAGCCATTCTTGTAAGACCAACCGCTGCCGCTATATCCAACGCCTCTGAGCAGCGTCGTCCCTGCTGCTTCTACCTTGTTGACCAGTATATCATTCGACGTCGAGCAAATCTATCATATATCGATCGCAGCACCCACTGAGGCGTTGGGGATGCCTCCTACAAAGCAATGCAGCGCCCCAATCACACACCACCTCTCTCTTCTCCTCCTTCGACTACCTAGTTGCAATTTGCTTCACAAAGCTAGTACCGTACGCGCGAGCACTGCAGGCTGTGCCCTCCCTGCCACGTCATGAGTAGCCATAGCCATACATGAGCTGGCATGACGTAAGAAGTCACACGCTCGAGTCGATTCACATCAACCTCTTACGGTCTGCGTTGGCATCAGCCTTTACGTGTGAATTCTTCCCTATTTTCAAATTCCGAATTACAACTGTGAAGCATCCTTACCGCAAGATTGGCTACTTGTAAAACTTTGGACGGTATATATATCGATATCTATTCCAACTTTCAAGGCTCAGCAAGTTCCGGATCGAACGCTGATACATGCGCGCGCAGCTCGCAAAACTTTACAGGCAGGATCATCCTTGCACGTGCTGGTTGGTACCGGGGAGGACGGTACGTCCGTACCTGCGGTTGCCTGGGCTTCAACCAGCTTCAACGGCTCGCCTTCTTCTGACTTCAGTCTTCAGAGGAGCAACAGCAGATTTGCAGGCGCTATGCAGCGCTTTCTTTCCTTGTGATCGAGATGCACAGGGCACTGGAAAGCCGCTGAAAGTGGACGTACCTTACGAAGTACTGTGGAAAGGCACTGCCGGATGGTCTCGGTGTTTTTGTAAACGTTGCAAGCCTGATCTGCATGCCACAAGAGCATTGTTCGTTAGAGCACCCTGCATTCAAAGTTGCACGTCATCTGCTTGTTGTTGCGGTGATGCATTTGGGCAAGGTGACTCTCTGGACTCATAAACATGCAGGGTGATCCTGACTAAAGTGTGGAGTTGAGAAGGGAAAATGCAAGTTGTCGGTAGTTGTTGATGCAGCTGGGTGGCTGTCCAACTGGTGGTGAGGTTTCTCTGGAAGTGCCGCTTGAGGAGTCAAAGCGCCGACCCTTTCGATACCCGCACTGGCAGCTCAGGGCATGGCAACTGGAACGTGAGACAGAGGATGTGACCCTTGTGGCACCTGCTGCAATGTACATAGCTCGTTTGCTTCCATTCTGTGAATAGCTCGATAGATCTCCTTCAAAGCAGCACCAATGGCAGCTTCTGCAGCGCCTCTTCCCACAGCAGCTGTTTTGAGGGAACTACTAGGAGTGTAAATCGCTCACACAGAGCTGTTGGCCCATGGCTACAGCCATGAATGAGGATGTGGTGAGAATGGACGAAGACGAGCCGGCTTCTCCTAGGGGGGAGAACCCTTCCTCCGCTTTTCCTCCCCCCAGCCCGAGTGTCAGCCCCACCCGAAACCGGCTCAACCTCCCCCCGGGAATGTCCAGAGATACTCTCCAGCTAAATGTAGACCGCCAGGGGCCCCCTTTAGAGCGGCGCGACTCCGCCCCGCTCCAATCGATCACGTCTCTTGTTTTCACCGTGCCAAACGCCAGCAACCCCACCGTCTCCCCTACGCGCGTCTCCTACAGTGACCGTTTCATCCCCAGCCGCTCGGCATCAGACCTCTCCAAATTCGCGCTGATTGACAAATCCTCCAACGGTGTAACCCTCCTAGACAGCAGAGAAGACGGCGCGGCCGCGTACTCGTCTTTACTACGGGCAGAACTCTTGGGTGGGGATAACGCGAGTAGCGGCAGCGGGGCGTCGATCAATGAGAAAGTGACATCTGTAACAACGGGAGCGGCCCTGCCGAAAGGCTCGCCAATCAGCCCCACTAAAAACCTGTTTCGCTTCAAGTCAGATGCGTCGTCCAAAAGCGGGGGCAGTCGGCCGGAGTCGCCATACTCGCTTTCTCCAGTGGGGTCCGATAACTCGCTCACCGGAGCATCGACGAGTCCCAGAAGAGTGCCCAGGAAGATTGCGCGCTCTCCTTTCAAGGTATGTACTGAGTTTTAAGCTGACGTATCCCCCTCAAAGTCCAGAGAGCTTGACAGAGCCGATGAAGTGCTCTGGTTCCTTACGAATTGGAGGTCAGGCGGGTGCAAGTGTTTGTTTGTAGTTGCGAGAGGGCTCATTGGGAAGCAGTGTGATTGCAAGAAGTCCCGGAAGGGGCATTTTGTGATGGGAACTTCTGCTCATAGTACATTGCTGTACCAGTTAGTCATTGCTCACAACCACCACGGGTGTCCTGCTTGTCTGCTTGCACCGGATCCGCCACTCCTCCGCAAAAGTTTCTGGCAAACGTCTGGCCAGGGTTTTCAGCCGGTTTTGGTGGCCGTTCGAAACTTCGCCAACTTAAGAAGTTCTGATTGGTTGCATCAGCACTCTCTGCCTGCTTGCCTCAAGCATATTCCAACCTGCAGGTCCTTGACGCCCCCTCTCTGCAAGACGACTTCTACCTCAACCTCGTAGACTGGTCCTCCCACAACGTTTTGGCAGTGGGGCTCGGAACCTGCGTCTACCTTTGGAGCGCCCACTCCAGTCAGGTGGGCAGAAAACGAGTTTTTGCTCTTTCAGCCCTTCTCGGCTTTGTGAAAGTGTGAAAGAGTCTCAGTTGGTGGTCTTGCAATCATTCTCTATTCAAGTAATCTCACTTGTTCTTACATTTGAATCTGATTGATGCGGCACTACGGATGCGGTCAGTGGTAAGGAATGCTTTGGCAAGTCGCTCGTAGCTCTCTAGTGGCAGGTTGCAGTTGTGACTGGTGTTATGCCAATTGAGTTTGCTGCTCCGGATTGCAAAGCGGTGCTGTCCCGCTTGAGAAGCGGGGAGAACTCGATCCTAAATATGCCTCAAAACCTAGTTCTGAACCTTACTGCTGCGCACTGGGGACGAAGCTCTGCAATGTCCCTTTTACGCATTTTCAGTACGAGGTCCGTTTCAAAACCCGCCTTCATACCCCTTTCCGGCCTTTTTCCAGGTAACAAAACTGTGCGACCTGGGCCCAAACGACAGCGTCTCCTCCGTGGGGTGGACGCAGCGGGGCACGTATCTAGCGGTGGGGACAAATCTGGGGGAGGTGCAAATTTGGGATGCCGCGCGGTGTAAAAAGGTTCGGACGATGGGTGGGCATCGCGTGCGGGTGGGCTGCCTCGCGTGGAGCTCGCACATGCTCTCGAGCGGCAGCCGGGACCGGAACATCCTGCAGCGGGACGTGCGCGCGCCCGACGATTACGTCAGCAAGCTCATCGGGCATAAATCGGAGGTGCGCGCGTTTGACTTTCGGTCCGAGACTTTCGAGACATTTACTTTGACCATGTGACAGGCGACGAAGCGCATGAAGCATAGTTTGAAATCGGTGGCGTAGGAGTCTGAATCTAGTCGTAGGACTCGTTTTGGAAAGGAGATGAATATCAGCAGATGTATTGGGCCAGTGTCAGAGGCGGGCTACTTGCTGTCTGCATTTTCCTCCCAGTCGGTCATATGACAGGGTGTAAGCAAAACACGTGTTGGGCTCAAAGGCGGGGGTGACCACAGCTCGTCCCCCCTGCATTCGCAGCGGTACTGCCAAAGGACGTTGGGTCGGCTTTACCTTCTACTTCATCAATCTACTCGCTACTCGTCGTCTTGCACTCTCCGGATCTGCTCAAGAACCTCTTGCTTCGCCAGACGGCAACTTTTTGCAAGTTTTGAAAGGACCCGTCATCCCTGGTGCTGCAGGTGTGTGGGCTGAAATGGTCGTACGACGACCGAGAGCTCGCATCGGGGGGCAACGACAATCAGCTGTGCGTCTGGAACACGTCGTCCACGTCCCCGATCCTGAAATACGGCGACCACAAAGCAGCGGTGAAAGCTATTGCGTGGTCGCCCCACCAGCACGGGCTGCTCGCCTCGGGGGGGGGCACCGCGGACCGGTGCATACGCTTCTGGAACACCGCAACGAACACGGCGCTCAGCTGTTTGGACACGGGGAGTCAGGTCAGGGACTTCGACATTGTCTTGTTTTCAGCGGTTCGATTTCCAGAGGCGGCAGATCATGCGCGAGTCTTCGCTGTGTTACCAGCTCAGTTGCTGAGAAGCAGAGGATCTGCTTCGGATCTCATTTCGAAAGAGGAGATTTTTCTGTTTTGCCCGTAGTGATTGGCCCTTTTTTGCCCAGAAGCAGAATCGCCAGCTGATTCCTCATGAAAAGATGGTGGTTGAAGGATTCTCGATATTCGAATCATCCATCGCCAGGACACTCGACTGATTCTTCGCCGTTAAGCATTGGCCCGGCTTTCGCAGCCAGGTCAAGCTACTCCATCTGTTACCAGCAATTTTACCGTTGCTAAAGTTGCGACCGAGCCGATTTGTTTGAGTGTCTGCTTACTATTGCCTTTTAAATGGGCCCCTGGAGTGCGGGTTGTCTTAGCTTCCACTTCGTTTGCATAACCTACTACAAATTGCCAAGAACATAGAGGAAGTGAGAACTGAGGTGCTAGGCAAGCCTTTTGATGCCCGATTACAGCTAGGTTCCAACTCGGTTGAGCTTCATTTCGTCCCGCAACATCCACGTGCGAAGCAACCCTCTCGGTCCTGCCGGTTTATTCACAGTCTTTTGAGTATCTAGCTTTGCCGAAAGTGCGCAACACTGGATTTGCAAAACGGCTATGCCGGCCCGTTTTCCAAATCCGTATAATCCACCCCCGAGCTCTCGCACTCCGCAAAATGATCAATTAGTTTACTACCTAACCCGGCGCCTATACTTAATAGTCCACGTCTTCCAATCCTGCTCTCCTCTTGTTGCAGGTGCGCCAAGATCAATTCTGTACTTCTTGTCGCCACTCTTCCTATGCTGACTATCAAATTTATCTCTGCAGGCCTTCACTTCTCTTGGGAGCGTTCCTTCTGTCTCGTTCGTTTTACCAAGGTCTCATCACCTTTTCTTCTTCCCCTGAGCTCTTCCCCTCTTTGCCATCGCAGGTGTGCAACTTTGGGTGGTCCAAGAACTTGACCGGATTCGTGACGTCCCACGGATTTCCTCCCATCAAGTCTTTCCTTGCTCCGCTAGTCTTCTCAACTTCTTCTACCGTCTCCACGTCTTCTGACCTCGTTTCATGAATTCACCGCAGGTGTGCAACATTGCGTGGTCCAAGAACGTGAACGAGATCGTGACGTCCCACGGGTACAGCCAGAACCAGATCGTGGTGTGGCGCTACCCCTCCATGTCTAAGCTGGCCACGCTCACGGGGCACACCATGCGGGTGCTGTACCTAGCAGTCTCGCCAGACGGCCAGGTAGGTTCGAATCTCTTGCCTTTGGAAGTTTTGGTTTCGTTGCTTTTCAGGGGCCTTTTGAAGCTTCTGGGTCTGCGGATTTGAGATCAAGCATGCCATGCGGGTGCTGTACCTCGCGGTCTCGCCAGACGGCCAGGTGAGTTTGCGTTTCGTTATCTGGGTTTCCGGTCTGTAGGTCTTGAGTAATTCTAAAGGTTTTGGGTCTACGAATTTGGGCACCCAACGGTCCGTTTGGACCTCCAGGGTAAGTGGTTTTGAAGGATTTTTGGTGTTTTTGGGCTTTGTAAATTCGGGCACCCAAGTATACCGTGGGCATGCTGTACCTCGCCGGTTCGCCAAATGGGCTCGTGCGTATGGGGTTCTAGAGTTTGTAGGTTTTTCAGTCTTCTTTTAACTGTTTTGAGACTCCGGATTGAGGCACCCAAGTACACTTTGCGGGTGTTGTACCTCTTACCCGTGCCAGACTGCTTGGTGGATCTTGGACGAGTCTGGATAAGACCGATTTCGGGACACTTTTTCCTTGAGGTTACAATCCCCAGATACATTGATACAGATGCGGATGCAGATCGTGTCGGCGCCAGACGGGTTGCCGCTGACATTCGGGGGTGTTTAAAGAGCATTTTGTCCATTTCGGTTGCACAATCCTTGTTTCTCAGATTAGCGTCAAAGATCACGCAGTTCCTGTTCAGAATGCTTTCTGCAGCTCTGACAGTAATCTTTTGTAAAGCGAAAGTAGCCATGCGACATGTGCTGCTATTTGGCGCACCTTCTTTCCGTAGACGCCTTCCTTGACTCGACTCTCTCGTTCCTCTATGCAGACCATTGTAACGGGGGCCGGCGACGAAACTCTTCGATTTTGGAACGTGTTCCCGCCCCCCAAAACGAACTCGTCAGTACGGGACTCGTCGGTGTGGGCGATGAGTCGAAGTCACATAAGATGAGCTAGTGGGGTTCGTTCTTTGCGTAGGTATAGACGTTTGGTCAGCGGCGCTCGCTGACTATGTACGCCTCTAAGCTTAGTCACGTTCCAAGGGCGGATGTCATTTCACCCGGGTACTTGGGATCCTTTCTTGTGCGAAGTAAGCTTTGTGTTGAAGCTCTCTTCGAGCGCGCTTTTAGCAATAGGCAACAAGGGGCACTTTCGCCCGCACCGGTTTTGGTAGTTGAAGATGTCAAGCTTCCGTGAGAGAAGGCAATCTTGGCGTGTGTCCTCGTTTCCGGTTCTTGTCGCCTCAAAAAATATCCTCGTCTCCATGGTCGCATCCATTAGTGGAAGTGTAAATGTGATTGCGATCGTGCATCTGCTTCTGATCTCCAGCAAGAATGTTGCGCAACTGTATAGGGCTCTATCATTATCCAACTGTAACTTTGCAACCATGTGTGTTATGCAACTTCCTTTCAATTCCCCTCATTAGAATCCACAGTATTTTCATTGAAGGCATCGACATGATAGCTCCGAACCATTATCAATTCTTGCCCGGGCACTGCGCTGCCGCCGCCCTTGCATCCATGTGGCCATTTTCCTTAAGACCAGGATGGTTGAATAGGATCAACATGTTGCAAATTTGAGCGTTCGGTTATCAAAGTTTTAGTAACCGCGGGCCATGTCCCATTTTGATAGCTACTTGCAATTAAGAGCGGTCTGAATTCACATGTCATCGTACTGCATGGCGATTTCAAGTTAAGGCCTGCCCTGCTTTAGCGGCCAGTGAGCCCAAGGTCCTGAGACCTCTTCAAAAACGAAGATAATTGTAACAAACTTCGAAGTGGATCTTGGATACCTCGCTCAATTGGTCAATACCCTTCGGTGAAATGAAAGCCTAACGCGAAGTGGCAATCTCCTTAAGATTACCGTAGCAGGCATCATTGTGCAGACTGCAGGGCAGTGCAGGCCATGGACCGCTTCTCACTTCATTTGGTAGGCAATGGGCATGCCGCATGAGTTGCATGAGTTGCATGACATGCAATGATTGCGATCGCGATGTCGATCGATCAGTGCGGGTCCAACCGGCCGAAGTAGCTGGGCGGTGTCGCCCCATCGTACTGTCCGGTTTAGGAGTTTTACTCACGTGTAAGATCAAAGATCTACCAAGATATCAAAAATATCCCCAAAAGCAACAGGGCCCTGCGACTCGCGAGATCTCAGATACTGGGTAGCAAACATGGAACGGGCGGCTGAGCGCGGCTCAAATCGACCTGGTACTGAGGTACCTACTGAGCTGTGCAAGTAGGGTTATCTGTGTACTTTCGAGCTGACGGCCTGGAAGCTTCGGTACTCGATGGAAAGTGCACCGTCAGATCCACACAATGGTCATCTGCACCGTCAGATTGTTAAAGGGCCAGGGCACACGAGGAGTAAATGACGATGTTCCGCTTGCCACGTGTGGTTCGTTCGCGTAGCAGCGAAGATCTGCTTCCGTCACGAGCGGCGTCAGTGCAGCGACGTGTCCAGAACTTTTCCGCCCTTCGAGAAGAAACAACTGTACCCACTCTTCTGACCTGTTCTCACTTTCGGCGACCTGCTTCCTTAATCTGAAACTTTGGCTGTGGTATAAGGCAAACGTTACGTGCAATTCTTGTAGATGTGAAAACCTTCTTATATTCTCCTGTTTCCTGCCAACAGACTGCAGGGCACTCGCCGCCTGACTCGTCCCCCTCCCGATTGCGCAGAAAAATCTGGAGGCTTGCCAGCCTGCTGATGCCGTGTCAGAGGAAAAGCTTCCATGTTCGCCAACGCCAGGAACATTCAAGAGCGAGCTGGCAAGAGGGGAACTGCCTTGGTGAACGCCATTGGGAAGGAAAGGAACGTGCTTTTGATCTCAGGGCGAAACATTCTCAGCGACCGCAAAGGAGCAGCAGGCCGGCAGTCCAAGAGTAAAAGCTGATTATACTTCGTGCTGTGTGCGAACCCTAGTTTGCTTTCCGTAGACTTGGGGATGCTGCTAAGGGGCTGTGGGAAGGAAGTGATGTGGATCTAAATCCTAATCGGGATCTTGTTCTCTGTAACGATGTGTCTGTAAGCGGAGGCAAAGTGCGCTTCATCGGGAGCTATGGCCCAAGGAATTGCTTGGTCAGTAGCTTAGGCAAACCAGATGGTCCGGTAAACTCCAAAAAGGTTATCACTGAGGGCCGCAATGGCCTTGTCTGTGATCTAGAGCTTCCTAGTGGGAAAAGACGGTTTGTAGAATGAGCTGCAGGGGACCCTCGGAGACGGGGCTCCCTCCCCATAAGCCCAAGTGCCTCTATGAGGTCTTGGGGCTGTCCAAAAATGCGTCGGTGCACGATATTAGGGTTGCCTACAAGACCCTTGCAAAGGTAAGCCGGTCACTTCAACTTTAGACTCGGTCAATAAGAATCATGTTGATTGCTTTGTGACTAACTCACCAGGACAGTACCGTTTTCATTCTATGATGATCATGGCCGTTTGTCATATTGTTGTTTCCAGCATGATGACACCGCTTGGTCTGTTGTTACTGTCTGCAGAAGTGGCATCCTGATCGGTGTCAGGCGAAGGAGAGGGTGGAGCTGGCCAAGCAGAAATTTCAGAGAATTAGCGAGGCATATGCAGGTATAGCCCTTCCTGTGGCACCTACCGTCTTGGCAATGCCAAGATTGGTATCGATGTTCAGCTACGTGCCAGCATTGCTGAGTATTTGGCCGCAGTCAAGTCACTGATGATGGCAACACTGAAGTTTGCATTATGTAACATGCCGCATTTGTTGTGTTGGCCGCAGCTGAAGTCGCATGAGTTGGCCTGGTACATGACTTTTTTTGGTTAGGCCACAGCCTTGTTGCTTAGTTGAGAGAGAGGATTTAGGATGACAGATAAGACAATTGGGATGACAGATAAGCAATGTCGGAGACCTGCCAACTGGCCCCGGTCCGTTTATGACCTTAAGCGGGCTTCAATCTTAATCCGGAAAGCCATGCTGATGAAACATGTGTTTGTGCAGTCTTGGTGGATCCCAAGAAAAGAGAGAAGTATGACAGGGGGGAGCTGGACCACAACAAGGAACCCATCGTGAGTCATTCCCTTTGAATCGTTGTTTCTACTTGCGAGTAGGGGCTAAAGATGCTCTAGGATGATGTTTTGATCGAGGCTGCTTTGGCTTGTGCTTGTGCTCGTATGCCTGCATTCTAGAAGAGAGCTCTGGTCAAAATGCGCGTGGCTCCAGATCGTATAAGTTGGATTGATGTGGATGCTTGTGGACACAACTGTGCAGACGGGCGCACATTGTCCAAATTAGCTGATTGTAGGCTCTGTCACGCTTGATCAATCTCATGCTGACCTGTCCTTGGTCTTACCATATTTCTTTCAATTGTGCCCCCTCTTCTTTTTGTGGAAGAGTGCCTAACCCACCTTCTGGCTAAGGCTTCTCTTGTGCTTAACGACTCACTTAAAGAAGGCTGAAAAGACGGGCAGATAAGGATTATCCCATCTATCTGACAAAGCGGTTTCCTAGCCCTTTTAGCCCGCTCTCTGCCCCTGCTGTAACAGAAAACCTCCTAAGATTTCAAAGTGATAGCCCCTGCCTATTTCTTCAAGGCTTTCGGCAGCAACTCCGTGCCCTCCCCCCGGCAAGGTTTACCAAACCCCCTGCAAAGCTTTTTCAGTTAGACCCCATGTGCCAGGTCTCTTTACCCCAATTGAATCAAACCTCCTTCGAAGCTTCTTATTGAGGCCCCCCTTTCCTGTGCCAGGCCGTTTAACCCCTGGATGAAACAAACCCCCCTGCAACGCTTCTCAAGCTAGACCCCCCACTCTGTGCCAGGGCTTTCAAACTCTAAAGAAACCAACCTCCTCTGAAGCTTGGTAACCAGTCCCCCCTTGTCTGTGTCTGTGCCAGGACGTTGAGGAGTTCCTGAACGAGCTGCGCACCCTCATGCTGATGCACGGCAAGACGTTCCCCGAGGGCATTAAAGCGTCGACGATCCACAACATCCCGGGCACAAACGTCCCCGACTTCAACGAGATTCGGACGAAGCTGATGGCAGACCCTGTGCTTCAGGCACAGCACAGAAGGGAGTTGGAGCTAGAGGCACAGCAGGGGTTGCAGGGAAATGGATGTGGATTCATGCCGGTGGCGAATGCGGGGGGGGCGATGCAGAGTTTGGGGGGGCAGGAAGATGTGGAAATGGAGGCGGTTCCAGCTGGGGGGGGGGCAGTGGATCATTGGGACGCGTTCATGGAGGACTCTGTGGAAGTGGTGAGGATGTTTTCTTTTCTATCCTTGCGGTTACTTTGGTCTTGAAGGATATATTTCAGATTGGCCTTAATTGGTGAAGGAGCTAGGTTAAGGGGCTAAGCGAAAGCAATGGAATTGTCAGCAGATTGGTTGTTTCTTACTCGCAGTTGATGTTTCTAACAACTCCCCCTAAGAAGGTTCTGCATGCACATTTGGGATCTTTGATAGCTGCTTACATTGTCGGAAGGCCTTCCCATGTGTATTCTGCTTCTGAGCACTTTGCTATCAGGTTTTTTGCTTGATCGATCCATGCCCCTGCGTTCGCCCTGGTAGCATGCTTGAATTCTAGGTAACGTCCAGTTCTAATCCTTTTTGACAGTAAGTGCAGTTTTGTGGGCACAACTTGATTCCCTCAACAGCGCTCTGCACTTATAAAGAGTACCTTCTCCTCAATATCCTTACATATTGTCCCTTTTCTTGTTTACAAATCCTACATTCTGCTCTGAGGTGCCAAGATTTACCCGCTCAATTAAGCTCCTCAGTTTCTGGGCGATGTCAAAGTTGAAAGCACCTTTTACCATTCCTGGTTGGCAGTGACCATAACGAATTACCGATTCTAAACTGGATTGTTCTGATTTTCTTGCAGCTCGGCAAAAACTGGTTCCGTTGCACTCTGTGCACTGGGCCTCGCGTCCCGGTGGTCGTGTACCCGTGCCGGAAGATGATGCGCACGCACTTTGAGCAGGAGCACCTCTGCGACTTCCTCTCCTTTGTAGCGGTAAGGCGCCACAAAGGACCCCTTGCTTCAGTGCTTGGACGTTAAGGAGAAGTCGAGAAGTGTAAGAAGGGTTCGATTGCTTGATGTTCCTGCATGTTTTGTCCGACTTGCAAGGATGTAGGGTCGTAGAGTATTTGTCTGATTGAAAATGTGAGCTTGGAGTTAGCAGACCTCGCCTTCGTTCATGTTCTTCGATATCGTCTTCTGTTGTCATTCCCATTGTTTACTGATTGTTTATCTACTGAATGTTCTGGTATTTTGTCCTCACCTAACCATCACATCGATTCGTTAATGTTTTTGCACTTGGGCTGCCCCGTTTCGTTCGTAGTTGGCTTCTGCATAAACGGGCATTTTCTGTAAGATTGTCCTTCTAAGTGGCGATTGCCGTTCTACCCCTCTCTTTCAAGCCTGGCAGTACGCGACTTTGTTTCGTTTTCTGTCTTGCATCTAGCCCTTCATAAGGTGGAAGTTGCATTCTCAGTCTCGAGAGATCGAAGCGATTTTAAGCTTGCCCCGTTCGTTCCGCAGGAGGTATTCCCCGAGGAGGGCGGTACCGACCCGTGCGAGGAGTTCAAGAAGATGCTGGACGGCATGAACGTGAGCGAGAACGACTGGAAGGTGTGCCAAATGATCGACCAGAGCGCCCGGCAAGCGCCGCCGCCCCACCGCCCCAACGGTTACACCCACGGCACGCACGGCCCGGGGCGGATGCAGGCTTCTCCCCAAGTTCCGTACAGCCTCTCATTTACGGACCTAGCGGTGAGTCTTGCTGTTTTGTCTTCTTTTCAGTGCTTCGTGTGGAATGCGATTTTATCTGATTTGTGTGGTTTGCGATTAGTTTGACGGTGTGCCAAGCTCATTGTGGTTTCGGTGTTCGGGTCTTTCCCCTTCTTTTGGCTGTCCGTCCCTTTTGCTGAGGTGCTTTGAGAGTTTTGCCCAGTTCTGTTCAGTGTTCTTTCTTTGCGCTCGACTTCCGTTGGTCGACTCATCGACAGGCCTCGAACACGGTAAGCGTCTAGCCTGTCGTCGAAAAATTTGTTAGAAGAAAAGGTCGGAACACGTTTTGCCGTGTTCGAGAAGCGTTCGGCGGGTCGTTCATCTGCTCCAGTCTGCCTGCAGGATCCTCCTCTCTTCCGCAGCGCCGGAAAGCGCAAGGCCCTTGTGCCGCGGTGCGTTTCTCACGCGAAACGCCCCCTTTCCCGAACCGTGTCCCCCCCTCTTCGACAGGGCATCGACGCGTCGCCGCCGGTCCCGCTCATGCAGCGCACGTTCACCATGCAACGCTCCATGCCCAACCCCCCCACCGAGTCGCTCTGCCCCGACTGGATGGGCCAGGTACTCCAGCAGGCGGGGGGGTTGGGCCAATGGGACTCCGCCACGTCATCGTCGTCGTCCCCGTCGTCGTCCTTCTACCCGAGCCCGGGCGCGCAGGACGTGGGTTTCGGGGGGGGCTTCGCAGGTTTTACGATGGGGGGTGAGTTCGGAGGGTTTCCGAACGGGGGGGCTGCAGCGAGCGGGGGGAATGCTGGCGGGCGACCTCCTTTGAGCGGGGGGGCCGCGGTAAAGGGGGGAAAGTCGTCGGGGTCGTCGTGTATACTAAGCCGCAAGTGGGGCAAGCGGTAAGGAGTTGTGTCAACAGGGGGTAAAGGGGAGGAGGGCGACTGTGATTTGGCGGGTTACATCTGTGGGCAGGAGCGGCAAGTTTGAGCGGCAAGTTTGACGGCGTCATAGCAGGCAGTTGTCAGTTTTGGAACGGGAAGCCATCTCGTGGGAAAAGCATGTGCGGTGCGATCTCAGCTTCGAGGAGTCGCAGGCAGGACTGTGATGTTGCATGCAGTCCTCGTCAAATGAGTGGACAGCTCGATGCGGGTCACCAAGTCGGAACCTCCAACTCTTACAGCGTATCTTATCGAACAAGGCGCGGCTCTTGTGATTGCCTCCCGAGAACCGGGTCTCATCTGTCTAGAAATTGGACGATTTGGAATCTGATATCTAGCGTAGCATGGAGATTGTGGATACTTTACCTTGTATTCGATTAGCAAGCGCGGCCTAGGTTTAGTAGGTATGGAGAGTCGGACCTGACAAGTCTGTGGTCAAAGTGCTTCCCAGCGTATGTACAATAGATACTAAGCTCACACCATTGGAACATGAGACACCTTAATCGAGTTGGGTTTGTCTGCAAGTCCACAATGAGTTATCACTCAGCTCAACCGCGTGCTCTTTTCACAGCTCAGCTCCATCCCAGCGCGTCTGGAGTGCTCAACCCGAGGGCCGTCTCCAAGTGCCACCAACTGATTTGCATATTAAGGTTTTGTTATCCTCCCTATTCATCTTGCATTGCCAAGGCTGCATACATATTAATGGAGTTTTTATTGCTGCCTTGATCAAGCATGCCCATCAACTGCTTAAAAAAAGAAGAATCAGTTCTCTGTGTATACTGAGATGCCGCAAGTGCACCGTGCAAACAAGTAGTTGGCTGCCACTACTCGATCTTCGACTCAAATGATCACCTTAATTGACCATATATATATGACCGAATTTTGTAGCTAGCCTGGTGCACGGCTGGTAGGCAACGTACAGTATAGTTTGGAGGATCCTGTGGCTGACCTGCACGAGCGCTTGCACACAGCGGCCCGCCGGTTGCTGCCGCAATCGTTTTTTTCTGGGAACCTTTTCTTACTGAACATTCGGGCAGGCGGGTACGGACTTGCTTTAAATAAGAACTCGGAAAAAACAAACGAAAAAGGTTGTCACGGGCCAGATTCCAAGTCCGATGATTCACTCTAGTTGTATGAGTATACTTGAACATGGTCAGTCAAGTGCTTTCATATTGCTCAGTGGCACAATCAGCACCGACCGTATAATCAGGATACTGAGCGCAACTTCTGTACTTGACTTGACAAATGCGCAAAGTATCGAGCTAGGAATGTAACGTCCGCCCCGGAGAAGGATTAACCGCGTGTTTGTTTCTTTTCGTCTTCCGATGCATGCGTGATGTTGTCCCAACGCCTAGTAACAGTGCACGAAGGTAGCCCGCGTTCAGCTGAACGCTTTTCGCTCGATCGTCCTTCGTTTATTTGAAGGTTGATTCTGAGCGAGACTCAGCATCCTCATTTTCATCCAATCGCCTCAAGCCTGCTCGGTACTTCTCCACCTTTGATAGGCTCACATAAAGTTTCACCCTTTCCACCAAGGCGAGCTAAGCTTTCAAAGCGAGGAATCTAATCTAGATTGGCAGTCTGAATCGCAGGTGATCATGGGGTTAGGTGCACTCCTTCCGTGGTGTTCTTCTCTTCTTCTCTTAGTACGTCCAGTTAGCATCACTTGCTCACGTCGACCTTTGTACGAACTTGTAACACTATCGTACGTCAACTTGTCTCGATTTCGTTTTGACTAAGGGCTATGTTGACCAAGGGAAGCGCCCGGGGAGATGGTTGGGGTTGGATTGGGGTTTCGGGTGAATACGGGTCGGAGCATGTCATTTCCTAGTTACGTTTTGTAGTTTTAAGTTCCCCGAGGACATCCCCAAGTCAACAAGCCCTTGGTCAACATGAGATTAAGAAGTATCGTACGTCACGCATGCATCTCACTGAGTGTCATACCATGCACCAGTCTCATTCTAAACTTTCAAGTGCGTCAGATTGCTTAGAAGACTATCTGACTTGACTTCTTCGATTAGATGGACATCTGACGATGTCGAAGTCAGTAGCTCCCCGTGCACTTTGGCGCTTCCAATGGCAGATGACCGAGCAGAGGCAAAGCTTCGTACTTTCTTTCGTCGTCCTTGACCCCGTTTCCGGCAATGCGCCCTCGCTTCGTTGGATGGCAATAAGATCAACTGGTAAGCGCTGCAAAGCTTCCGCAAAGCTGATTAGCTCCCAGTTCTAGTGCAAGAATCAAGGGGCAGTCTTCTGAATATCTAGGTTGTACTCATGCACGTGTATCCTCAGGCCACGAAGCAGGACATCGGGAACTAATGAGCAGGCTTAGCACTCTTGAATCCTGATATGCTTGTCGTAGGAAGAGACGCAACTGCGGAGACGCAATTGAAGATGCTTAGACTCAAGGTGAGCGTGTTCCTGCCTAGCTTTTTGGGTTAGCAGCTGGTTGAGGCCCGGTTAGGAAAAAACCATGGAATCTTCCGCGGCAACACCAATCAAGCTCCGCTTGGTTTTCCTTCACCTTTGAAGACCATATTTGATTCTTATTAGCTTGAACAGTAGAAGCAATTAAGGCAGAAGACTCATCTGCTCAATTGAAGGCCTATTTGCCGACAGATTAGGGGTTTCTCGGGCTGCAAAGCTTCTTGAAAGCCTTGTAAAACTGCAGTCTTGCAACTTACTTGTATTGTTTCTCGATCAGCAATACGTAGCTACTTTCTGGGGTGAGGCTGGAAAACAACATTTGAGAAGTAATACCTGATCTGTCAGCTTGAGCTTGGTGAGAACAAATGCGTCTGTAAACAGCAACTGAACTGAAGCACATTCCCATACAGGCTGCAACATCCTATTTCAAACTTCAAAAGCTCAGGTCGCGATGGAGAAAGTGGTGGCCGAGTACGCCTCAAAGCTCCTCTCCGATGATCCGTGTACCTTGAGCACTGCATACGCAGACCTTAAGAAAGCACAGACTGCAAAGCCCCCTTGGAGCACCAGCTTTCCTAGGTTGGTTCAAGAGCTAGCAATCTACCAGCAAGGCTCCATCATCAGAAAGCTGCTAAAACAAGTTATCGATCAGAGCAGCCCTTCGAGGTTCGTCGAAGGTGCCAATGGCGGTTCTTTCATCATGGGGGGCCTGGAAGAATCCGTTGCTCAGAATTCTTTGGTCCTCCTAGGACTGCTCGCAGCAAGCCAGACGGTTGCGCTGTTCAGTCTAAGAGACGAGGGTGTTGCTGAGAAACTTCTTCGCCGCTTGATGTGGAACTTACCAAGGCAAGATAGCTCTCCAAGGACCGTAGCCGATCAGAATCCGCCTCCGCTTTGTATTCTTCGCTCCCTTGAAGGAATAGTGAGCTACGCAAGAGCTTCCGAGAGGTTTCGTCAGGTCATGAGAGATGAGGAGGGACTTCTCCCCGCGGTCCAGTCCCTTTTCGAGGACGAGAACATCAAGCACATTTGCGAAAACGTCAACGTCTACGCGGCTGTCAGACATGGCGTCATCGACCTGATTTTGAGCCTCACTTTGGCCAAGGACAGCCAAGAGTGGATGATTGACAAGGGTTTCTTGACGCTCCTGGCAAGCATCTGTGCGACTGATAGATACGATATGGAGGAGATACCTGCAACAATGTCTTGCGCTACCGTCCTCTGGCGCCTGTGTGACTCCCCCACCCTGTCCAGAAAGATCAAGGAGGCAGGCGAGCTGTCCTCAATTCTCGAACCTTACTCACGCTTGCTGAACTCAAAGCTTAGAGGGGTTTGGGACGTCTTCCAAGAAACAATGAGGCGCAGGTCTGGAAAAGCTTCCAAGGTCAAAGCAGCTTCGGTGAGGGAGATTTGGAAGTATAATGCATCGAAGTTCATCGGCATAGCGGCAGTCTGTTCTTGGGAAGGCTGCTCGGAGGGGTTGGACCTGAGCCTCGCCGCCTTTGGGCTGGACCTAGAGGGACTGAAGAAGATCAAAAAGCTCAGCAGATGCGGCCGCTGCGGCATGGCCTACTACTGCAGGTAAGTGAGACAAGCGTCGCTACAAAAGGCTGGAGGAGATTGGGAAAAGAAGAAAGCGTTTTGCCTTTTCCCTTACATCCGAATCCCGTCGGATACCCTTTGCCAATCCTTGAACTCCACACGAGGCCTGTGGACGGAGTCGGGACGTGTCAGATCTGTCCGAGATGTTCGAAGGAGCCCGAATTAATGCCAGCCGACCTGCCAGTCATGTTTCCAAGCCATTTTCTTCTCGAACCAGACCTATGCAGGGACTGGGTGGTTTGCTACATTTGCATACCGTCTGACTTTCCTACGGGAAAATCAGCCGATATGATTTCTTATGCGAGGTTATTGCTTGCCGTTTTGAGCTTGTGAAGCCTCAAAACACAAGGTGACCGTCGCAAGTAGACTATGTAATTGTCGAACATTAACACAGAGCTTGACGACCATGCAATCTTTGACAGCGGAACTTCTGAGTAGTGGTCTCCAAACTGGTTTGTCATCTCTTGGTTTATCAGTCTCTACAATCAAAGTGGCTATTTTGGGACAACCTGTCAGAGTCATCCGGTTGAATGCATTCGATGTCATCACACGTCTTTCATTTGTAAGCAGTAAAGACCACCAGAAGCTCCACTGGGTGACGCACAAGAAGGACTGCTTCGATGCCACGGCGAATTGAGGGCCGAACAGATTTTGCTTTCAACTTCGAGGGCCTCAGGAAATTCAGGAATTTTAAGACGCTGAGATAGGGTCACACCGAACGAGTGTAAGGATGACAAGGACAAGGCTGGCAACGGAGGGAGTGCGCACTGCTAATATAGATAGCGACTATGGAATCATGGACGTGCTGACCGGTGGGGGTACGTCTTCCATTTGACCGCAGGCTGTTCCAGTATAGTTACTCTTTTGGCGGTGCTTGCAAAGGGGCTAGAGGCTCGCGTACAACCTGGATTCTCTAAACTGCATAATCGGAGTCGTCCTGTTCTTCTCTCTAGTGGTGTCCCAAGCTATACTCCTGCTCTCTATGATTGTCGATCCGCCCGCCATGCGGCAACCTTTAGGTTGGCATGTCTGTGGGCAATTTCATACTGGTCTCTCGTTCTCTGTGTATGTGCTCGGATGGAGTAGGATCGAGCGGTGTACGTTGTTCCGTGCACTAGCTACTAGACGCAGAAGGCATGTACGATCACGTGAGTGAAGGTTACATGATGCATTTGCATAGTCAAGTTTAGATGGACGGATGCACTGTACCGCGCGGAGACGTGCACATGGGCGCATCTGCAGCATCGTGTCAAATATGCTGTTAATTTGGTCTGATACATCAACAGTATTCAATTTATAGCATGCGTGCAATTCAACCGACTTTGCGTGGCAGCTGTGGGCGGCGGGATCTCATCTTTTTTTATATATAGCTGCAATTTGATCCACGGTGGGTACATTGCATGTGTTCTGCTATCGAGCAGCTGCGGCTAGGATCGTCACGTGCATGGGATTCATTTCATGCGAGTATAATTGCAGGCACAAGCTGAGCTTTCATGCAGCAGTGCAGCTAGCCAGTATTGCACCTGAATATGGAACGTTCCTAGCTGGCCCGCTGCAATTGACTCATCGTACACACTGAGACAGGCACGTAACTTGTCAATCCAACATACATACGGACTTAATCATTCGTATCATTGTCCCGAAAGGTTCAATAGATTGCAAGTGTCGAAGCACTGTACTCGACGATTATAACGACAGTTGCAAATCCGGGCATTGATCAAAGCCAATCTACGGTAGCTTGCCGCCTACCAACTACTTAGAAACTACAGTTTGGCCCCCATTTCCGGGCCGTGGGTCACCAATCTTGCCGCGCATTTGCAGGTGGTAGATTTCAAACGGTGTGTATGCGATTCGGATGCTGAGGTAGCACAAAATCAGTCCGCTCAAAGCGCTGCAGTCGACGAAAAAAGTTGTTCTATACAGGACTGAGAAAGCACACTCACAAGGACTCGTTCTCAAATTCAAAAAGACTACTGTGCAGGGCCGTGCAAGTCAACCTTCCGGTCTACCAACGAATTCTTGTAGGCCTCCCACATTGCCTTTTCTTCAACGAAGCGCTCGGGGACTTCGACGTTCTTGACCAAGGACTCTGCATCGAGCGCACTGAGCATCTTGAGCGGGTCTTTACTGTCCACCGCAGCGTCAACCTTTTCGCCCGCAGAGCTTGGGCCATGGGCGGTGCGCTCGCTTGTTGGAACTCCGTTTCCTGGCGCCGACGCTTCAGCAGACCATGGATCCGGAGAAGACCCAACTTTTGTCGGTGCGGGCCTAACCCCTGATTGCACAGCATTCAGTGACGTACCCTCGTGCCTCGCCGGCCCCTTCTCCGTCGATGCTCCCCTTTCTCTGAATGCTTCCCCTCTAGTGGTGCTCGCCCCGGGGCTACTATTTCGCGGCCTTTTCGCAGCCCCTCCTTTCCGTTTAACGCTCGCCTCTCCATCATGTTCTCCAACAAACGGCACGCGAATCGACCCTAAGATCTGCCCCGCTTTCGCCTGCACAGCTTTTGCCGGCGTCTCTACAGACCCACTCTTCTCGACGGGGCTGCCTCTCCCGCCCGGAACGCTGGGTTTCGGCCCTAAGTCGTTCGTTTTCTGCTTGTTCGCACCCATGAACCGCCGCTGGGCCGAAGCGACCTTTGGCAGCGCAGCCGCCAGCACGGCAAACTGTTTGGCTTGCTGCGCCTGCAAAATGCGCAATAAGATAAGCAAGTCAGGCATTAGACTGACAGGCTTGTGGATCCGCTTAGAACCTTGTTGAAGAGGACAGCAAACTGGGTGTTCGAAAGCATACAGTAACATGCTTGGCATCTCCTTGCCATCCCGTCTCTTCGGTGATTCTCGTTACAGAGAAACCGCTGGCCGGGTCACGAAGATACAAAGATTTGTGGCGCACACTTCGACCGACAAAATGAGCTTCGCTGGTGCAACTCTTTGCTGTTCGATTGCTAGATCGAAAGAAGCACCAACCCTGCGAACCGAGCTTCCAGTCGAGCCGAGTCATGACGCTTCACCTGCATGGCCAGCATGATCTCCTGCGCTTCAAAGAGCCCCTCCTCCAACCGCAGCAGCCGGGCGTTCACCATCGCCAGCTCCGCTTTGGCGGCCTCGATGGAGTCCGTGTTCTAAGGTGCAAAATGGTCAACAGTCAGCATTGTCAACCGTCAGAAACGAACACAGTAAGCCCGGTGTTTTCCTAGAAGATGAGCACTCACTATCGATTCTTGGCAGTACTACCAGCCCAGTAGGACTTCGGGCTATACTTTGCACGTGCGATGGGTCGGCAGGTTCTACTGGGAGATGAGGGGATTTTTGACCGAGAAGAAGAAACGCACAAAGGGAGGCTGAAATAGTGCGAAAGGGATGGAAAAAACGTAAGGAAGCTCTGGAGAAAGCATTCAAGGCCAAAAAAAAGTGCGCGGGTTTTCACACCTCACGAATGGGGTCTCGCAGCGTCCTGCGCGACAACCGGAATCGCACCCCGAGCTTCTCGAGCTGCCGGGCCAGGAAGCGCACAGTCTTGATCCCCGAGTCAAACTCCTCTTCAAGGCGATGCACGCGCAGTGCCAGGCCGCTGCTGTCGGAGCCCCCGGGGAGCGGACCCCGGGGCGGGGTGAATTGGATGGTTTGCGGGGGCGGGCAGAAGAGGCTGATGAGGAGGGCGAGGGAGAGAGGGAGGATCTGTATGGGACAACGGGGAAGTTTGGAACTTGAAGATGATGTTAGATGGAAGATCAACCTGTTGAAGGGGTCTCTTGTCTTTCATCCGTTAGCTTGACAGGTATTCATTTGAAATCATATGTTGGTCAGTTGGCTATATTTGTCAGTTTCCAGTGTGCTCCTTTGTTTGAAGTGAAAGCTACAAGCGATGTGACAGAAAGGTTGTGTCCAGGGTTTTGCCTGATCACAGTGCCATACTTTAAGATCAGACGCGATGGTCTTCGAGCTTCTTCCAGCGGCGGAACGGTCAAAGCTTAAGGCTGTCAACAGGTGTTGTGTCCAGGAGATTAGCCTTGGACCCTCCCTGTCCACAAACGAAGCATAAACGGAGGCCCCTTTGCAGTGCTCGGACTGACTGTAACCATTGAGCAACTCCGCAGCATTGTGTCAAAGTCAGAAACGCATGATTTGCCAAATCGCGGGAGACACGGAGCTAACATTCATAATGCATATCATCCTCCATCTGAGTTCCTGAATTATCAGGTGACGAAGGCCTCACCTGCCAAGGGGCCCAGTTCTGTGGTGCCAAAGGCATTGGTGTCGCAATTCCCACTGTTGCCGTGCTTTCCCTTGTTTGCTGATCTTTCACAGCTATCCTGTATCTTTCCGCTTCCCACAAGCTATAGCCCGTCACACCAACCGCAGCAGCAATGCACAAACCCCCCAAAACTTGCCAACTCGTGACGGATGCCGGCGTCTGGGGATACAACAGCCCTCCCTTTCCAACTTCCGCAGCATCAGGGGGCTGCAACCCCTGCCGCTTTAGAAACCGGTCTGTCTCTTCGTCGGTCTTCTCCTGCCAGTAATGCTCTTGTGCATCCCCAAATTGGTCGTCATTGGACTCTGATGTGCTTGCTTCCGCTCCGCTCTCCTTCCTGACAGGGTCTCCACCTTCTGTCCACACTTGCCCTCCCATCCTGCCGGAAGCCTCCATCACAATATGCTTCCTGGAAGCACCACCTATCCTTTGAGTCATTGCTTGGAGAGCAACAAAGTTGCCACGGTACTCTCGCAGTATCACGTGCATGTTTGTGAAAGCAGAAGGCAGCCCGTGAGTGCATTCTCTCTGCTTGCCATGAGCACTAGACCAACTCTCAACAATCGGTTTTGCCGCATGAGGCAAGCGACACAGAACTGATGAACACCGGGATCTCATACCAGGACTAGTAAGCGTGGCTGTTCCTCTGCCTTGCAAAGTACCCGGCGAGCAACATTGGATGGACATTTTGCAACAATTGAGAAGGTTGGCCTCGTGATGCGCAAGATTTGATCCCGCAGACATGCGCTAGCATACGTGCGCCCTCATCGACGCTGTGTGTAAGGATCTCAAATTGCCTGCTCCATTGATTGCTACTCGAGGGCCGCAGCGAGCCCCTCTGCTGAAGAGCTGCAGGAGCTGCAATCAGCTGCAATCTCTCCGTTTGCATAGGTTCCTCAAAATTGACCTAAAATCTGCATTTAATTGGCACTGATGTCAACAGCAATGTGTTCTGACGAACTTCCATTCAATGTTCCTCAACTCACAAGAAACTGGATTTAGGTATGTTTTGCGCACTTGATCGGAATACGTACCTACCTATAGCGCGCACAGGCTACCTATAGCTATAAAAGGATAGCCATATGCATAT